GACGGTGGTGTGCTGCCCAAAGTCAAGCACACGGCAGGAGGTTTCTGTTTGTTGTTGCTGCGGCTGTCGAGTTCAGATACGTTGAATTTAGTAGCGAGACCGTTTGCCCTAGTTTAGCTTGATTTACTTAGTTGTCGCAAGTAGTTTTTCTAATAATATTTCGTGTAAAATCAATCAGGTTTCATATTTATTGGCGAATCCATTTGTGAGTTTTTCTTTGGAGGATAAAATCAGAGTTAAAGAACTTGGTCGACCTACTCCAACCCTTAAAATAACACAGGATGAGAAAAGCAAAAGTTCTACTTACAAGCGCCAATTTCACGTAAAAACATATGAAGAAAATAAGTGGATTTGTGGATGTGAGATAACAAATGCACTGTTTTGCTTTCCATGCTTGTTGTTTGGCGGTGAAAATTCCTGGAGCAAATTAGGTGTAACGGATTTGGGACACTTAAGCAATTTAATTAAAAGACATTCTCAAAATAAAACACACCTAATTAATGTTTTAAATTTAGCGAATATAGGTAAAATGAATATTGCTACTCAACTTGACAGTGCTTACCGAATGTCAATTTAAAAGCATAATGAGAATGTTGAGAAAAATAGTTATATATTAAGCAAAACAATCGATAGCATTAAGTTTTGTGGTGCATTCGAATTAGCTCTACGTGGGCACGACGAAAAAGAAGACTCTTTAAATCCAGGCGTTTTCACAGGTGTTTTGGATCTTATGGGCAGTGTCGATTCGGCGATAAAAGGACATTCGAAAACAATACAGAATGAACTTTTAGACTGTATGTTAGAGGTCTGTCAAGATGAGATACTACAACAAATTCATGTCTCCAAGTTCATTTCTATTATAGCAGACGACACCGACATTTCCGGCAAAACACAGACTTGCATTGTCGTGAGGTATTTTTACAAAGAAAAAATCTATGAGAGATTCTGGTCATTTGTCAATCCGTGTGGACAGGACGCAGAGGCTATATCTCAGGTAGTTATAGACGCTTTAAATGTCATGGTTAAAACCAACGTACAAAAAGTTATTTCCCAAAGTTACGACGGAGCAGCTGTAATGTCTGGAAAAATCAATGGGGTACAAGTAAAAGTCAGAAGCAAGTTTGTCAATGCATACTATACTCATTGTTACGCACATCAACTAAACTTAATTATGTCTCAAAGTGCATGAAGCAATAAATCAGCCAAAGTATTTTTTGCAAATTTGTCTGCTATTCCAACATTTTTTTCAAATTCCCCCGCACGTCTATCAGCATTAGATGAATCAGTTGCTCGTAGAATACCATCTGTTTGTACAACTCGATGGAATTACCAATCAAGGGCTGTAGATGTTGTTTTTCAAAATCGTCAAAAACTGATCGAATGTTTTGAAGAACTCCAGAATTCTTCTTCCGTTGAAACTGTAAGAAAAGCGAGTGGCTGTCTACGACTCTTGGAAGACTTTGATTTTAATTTTTGGTTAAACTTTTTCCATCGATATTTTATTCAATCTATTTCAGTGGCGGGATTCATGTTGCTCTACAATAAAAAAAAAATGTAGACACATTTTTGAGTATCATCGAGAAAGTGCGAGGAGAAGCAGAGGATATTTTAAAAGAAGTTTCAGAAGACTCGAGTGTGTGCTCCACAGCGCGGAGAAGAAACGAAGACTCTAAAATCCGCGATGCAATAGAAGTTTGTGATATTCTTTCTACACAAGCAAAGGACAGGTTTGAAAATACGGACTACGTCGATATTGCAGAATTGTTAAATTGTAATCATTTTAATCTTTTCGAAAAAAACTTTCCAGAATCTAAACTTACTTTGGCTGTAAATCGCTATTGCTTTTTAAACAAATGTAAACTTAAAACTGAGCTAACGGTGTTATATGAAAGACCAGATTTCAGAAATTTTTCTGGTCTCCTATCACTTTTAAATTTCTTATATGATAACGACTTAGATGATTCATTTGATGAGGTAATAACATTAATTTTAATTTTGGTTATAACACCCATATCCACGACAGAAGCAGAGCGTTGTTTTTCGACTTTAAAACGAATTAAAACTTTTTTGCGAAACACTATGTCACAAGACAGGCTTAATGCTTTGACAATGTTATCAGTAGAAAAAGAGCTAATTCTTTCTATTGAAAATTTTAACACGAAAGTCATAGAAAAATTTGTGAATAAAAAAAATAGGCGTATGGAGTTTGTATACAAAAAATAAATTTCAATAAGTTTAGGCACTTCAAAATGCTTTTTCTGTTCTTTTATGTGTTTGGTTTAGAATTTTAAGAGTTTGTTTGTTATGAATAAAAAATTACAATAAAAGAAGTTCTCAGTAGAGTCAGTTTTTTTTGTATTTTCTACTTTTAGGTACCTGAATTGGAAAATTATCAAATTAATTCAAAATTGCGCAGCACACAGCAATAAATTGCCACGAGCCGCCACTGTTTTAATTAAATGATTAAAAGTCGAGTTAAAAATACCACGAGAACACGGGAATATATCCAATGCAGCCATTACGCGACAGCTACGGCTGTAAAAACAAAAACCACTTTATTTCGGTAAGTTTACACAGTATATCATAAATAAAAAATCACAAACTTTCCGCTCTATATTAATACACTTTTGATAACTAATTAAAGAAAAAACTGCTTTAATTTCACTTTAACTTAACGTTTTTCAAAAAACAATCACTGGCGAAACTGCGCTTTAAAAACGTACTAAAACGTGAGTGAAATGGACTCGAAAGCCACATTACCAATTTATCTTAGCTAGGCTAGAAGTAGAGTTAGACATATTTCATTTATGGATCAAATACTATTATATTCAGAATTCAGATAGATTTTGTGGGATTGTCCAAATGCAAGGAGATATTCAGATGAGGTTTTCATTATTTAGTTAAATTACTATCAAGTTGTTTCTCGCACATTGAATAAAATTTCAACTCTCCCACTGATACTGACACCTGATACCAATGGTTTGAAGTTAGTTTTCAAATTAAGGCAGTAGAACATTTTAGCTTACCAAGACGGCTGTATTGTAATGGAATCCATAATAAGTTGTTCCAGTAAGAACGAAAAGAACCTTGCCAAGACTTCAACTGTGTCCTCAGTTCTAGATAAATTATTGCATAAACTTGCACTTATCTTAGATAATGTCACCACTTATGCTTGGACAGATTCTCTGATTACATTTGGATGGATAAGAGGGCACTTTAGGATGGAAGACATATGTATCTAAAAGTATCTAAAATACACAAACAAATTTCTACATATTGTATACCGATGAATTGATTCTTAAAAACTGACTGGTCTTAAGTTGAAAAGCTCTGCAAGTTCTTAAAACTTTGTGAAGAATTAGAATAAACTAAGGTATAACGGAGTAAATGCACGGATCTTTGGAATCGTAGTATTGAGTAAATACAGTGATTTTAGGAATCGTAGTATTTATTTGACTACGATTTGGACATTGTATATACAGCAAGATAAATCACAGGATTCCACATGTCAGTACAACACTCCTTGATACAATTGAATTGCAGCTAATATTTAGGTGCCCCATTTTCGCATACAAGCCTCGAAGAGGATTGAAAAGTACATCGATGCATTTGTCCATTCGGGTCATTCAAGCCAATATGTTTTTCGGAGTAATGACGATATACGTCAAAAAATAGGGTTAAAATCTCGATTTTTCCTTACAAGTTTACGCCCTTAGTTCAACCCTTTAGCCACTTGCAACATTAAAGCCTTTGGTTTTCCGAAGCCTAATTCTATTAGTTAATCATTTAGTGAACACGACTTGCGGTGGGCAACAAATACCTTTAATTTATATCAAGGAAAATTGAATTTTTCATGTTATCCCGAGAGTCACTCGTAAATTTCCTTTCATTATACTCAAAATCGATGTACTATTCAATCCTCTTCGAAGCTTGTATGAGCAAAACATTAGTAATGGATGCCGATGACATTAAATTAAAAAAAAGAACTCTAGATATATAATTTATCGTAAATACCCAAATTCAGTTAAAACTCAATTCTTGCCAGAAAACCCTAGTTTTAACTATCAACTTTAGTCTATTCTAGATTTAGCTAGTCAAAACTAGAATTAACAAATATGTTAAACTGAGTCTATAAACATATTTTAAAACTAGTTTTTACTAAGCAAATTATAGGTTAAGTGGCAGCTGTAAATAGGATGAAAAGAGCAGAAATAGAAACCGCCATCCAAGATCATTTAACTCCTGGAAATATAATAACAAAAATAATAGTCAGAGGAAAACTGCAACGTTATTATAGTTTATTTGAAAATGCATATCACAGTTTTTATGACAAAGGTCTATATTTTTATATAATTTTGCTATCATTCATTTTCATATAAACTACAGTGGATGCATATAGCACATATTAATGGGGAAGGAAATCGAAGAAAGAAGAGTTGAAAGAGACAGAAGAATTAATAACATCGAATAACGCAGACGCAGGATGAAAAAAAGCCATGTGATGTGACCTGCCATTCTGCACGAAAGTACTATCGAAAATTTAACACTGGTGGACGGATCAAAGAATGTTCATAAACTCTCTGTGCTTATTCCTTCAATGATGCCGCAAAGGTGACTAGAGAATAATTGGAAAATTTGGGAAAACGTTCGAAAAAAACGAGTTGGAGTTGGATAATTCAAATAAATAATTATCATACTGGATGCATGTTGTTCCGGTTATCTAATTGGTTATGGCGTTGAGACGGCAACCCAGAATCCACAAGGTTTTTTGTACAATTGGAAAATACGACAGCAACATGCGAATTTATACGATTTTAAAATGTTTCATAATAGTTTTTTACAACATGTATATTATGAAGGCAGATTAAAAACTAAATATACAGGGTGAATCCTAAGTTAAACTTTTTTTAACAATGTCATTAAAATAAAAAACTTTTTCAAAATATTTAAAAAAACTCAAAAATAGGAAAGATAGCTAATTAAAAAATCAAAATCCGAGCCTGGACTTATTTCAAAAATTATATAACTTAAATTCAATAATACATATTATTAAGTCATTTATTCATTCTTATTAGTTTGTATAAGTTTATTACAAATTACCGTATATCACTGAAATTATTCCGAACATCGAGTTATTTAAATATGAATTATTGAAGTCTGTCATTTTTTAAAAAACAGTCTTGCACCGTAAAACGTCCCATAAGTCTATTTGCAGCACTCTTGTATTCCCTTTAAGCAAACCAACCGTCAATATGTCTGCACGTATACCCTTTACAGATAATAAACTACGTGAAACCTTAAATTCCACAGAATTTGTTACAGAATTAGAGCTTATGTCGGTTTGGGTAATGCGGCGGCGACAATATCAAAGTAATAAATGCAAAATACAGTGCTATTATGTGACACGATCCTGAGAAACTGTCCCGCAGTTTCAATCAATTCTTTCTGGAGAGCTGACAGACCGGAGGGCACCTTTTGAGGAGCGGCAGTCGACGATTCGATTATATCCAAAAAGAAATCTTTCACCCTTTGCTCTGAAAATTAAGAATTTTTGTTAGTAAAGTACTTTACACATGCATGTATTATACAGAGTATTTTGAAATACATATTGAAACTGATATATATTTTTTTAATGCTTCTTAATAAAGGCATTATCAAGTTTTAAAAATTCACTTTAAAATAGAAGTACGCCACTGCCATATATTGACGTAGGGTATTTATAAATTATTTGTTTAATTTAAATAGGTAATAGACTTTTCCTAAATTTTTCTGAGGTAAGGCTATGCGATAATTCATCAATGCCAAAAACCTTTTGCCTTTTAAATATTATCGGTCGAATGGTCGAAAAGAGAGAAATATTCCAAATATTAAATTTGAGAATTATACGGAAAAATTATTGACGTTAATTTTTTGACATCATATACTACTAGCAGTTTTAATAGGTACATGAATTTCAAAAACCCTGTATTGTTTTACTTTATTTGGGGGTTTTCGTGTACATAAATAAATAAAACATAACATGAAGGTCTTCCCAAACTGAGAGACATGCCGAAAAGGCAGAGTTTCATAAAGTTGCTAGTAGATGAGATCGAACCAATTACATAATTAAGAAAAAAAACTACTCACTAACAATTCCCTTGACTTTATGCTCATCTTTTCCTATATCCAAAATTTGTTGCTTAAGATTAGCTTCAGCGGCTTGAAACATATCAGGCAGTTCATATTTTCGTTGAGCTTCTTTTAAATCCAACAATACTTGTTCAGCCACGTTGGGCAATGTTTCATTTAAATCTCTATAAAAAATATAATAAAAATTTAGAAATGCTACCAAAGAATACTTGACAACGTGCCGTAATGAATATTAGAACGGTTTAAGCTTCGCCTACATGAACAAAAATAATTAAAGCAACGTTGCCATGTAGCAACTACTTACTTCTCATTTTTGACGTTTTGAAGTAAAATGCAAATGTGGTCTTTTAAAGACTGTTTGAATTCAGTTATTGACTGCAAATCGGCGCCTGCATTACTTATAGTGACTAGGAGGACACTCGCGATACAGGTTAATCGATAAGTGCGAGTTTGTAAATCAGCTAACCTATCTAGATCCAACATGAATGACTGAAAAAATACATAATTAAAACAAAAAATTATTGACACTATGCTGAATACTTATCATTATCAATTTTACAGAAATTACAATCTTATACTAGGAGATGTTTTTAAAACTATATTGTAGAAATCTTAGGGTTGCCTACATTGTGCCGATACTGACCCAGAGAAAAACATATTTTTTTTATGGAAAAACTGGGAGAGTTAAATAACTCTATGAAATAACCAATAATAATTACGGCTATTGTTATCCCACATAAAACTAATTTGATGCGGGATTGGTTTTATGTGGGATTGATTCTAGGTGAGATTGAATTTGATAAAATTAATTTTAGGTGGTAATGACTTTGTGTATCATTTTCTTAATACACTATTATTGTATTTTATTTTCCCACTACCAGTGGCACATAAAGGGCAGTTTCTGTGACATTTTAGTTGAGCTACTGACCCAAAGAATTTTAATGTAAATCCAGAGTAGAAGAATGATAACCAACTCAGAATATCTGGGTGAAAATAACGATGTTGGTCATCAAAGAAATATGCATTTTAGACTAACTTTAATTAAGAAAAAAGTTTTCTGTAAACTTGATAATAAAAAAGTTTTCTATATGATGCAAAGTTTGTCATAAGTTGCAAACTTTTCTTGTCCCACTTACCTCTGGATACTCCACGTTTTGAGGCCAATCAATTAGGTCGACACAGGCTTGACAGAATGCTCTCTTTACGACAGTTTTAATAAATTTTTCATATTCTACATTATCTGGTACAGTTTGATCAGTATTTACATATTTTAATAGCCAATTTCTGGTGTTCGCCAATCCATCTGCAAAATAGTTATTTAAGAAAAAGATGGTTAAAGATAAAACTTTGTTCTACTTACCATATTGGACTGCTAGATAATCAGCAAATTTTTTACGTTCTAATTCGACACTGGCGGCAATGATATCCGGTTTAGCCATCTGTATGGTGAAATTTGCCATATCAAGCTGCATTAGATCTAGAGTCTACCAAGAAAAATATATTAGTCACAAAAAAGAATTATCTAATACAATCGTAATCTATTTTAGCAAAAAAAAAACAGAAAATTACCTCAAGTATACCTTTGAAAGTGTCAATAACATCTACAGTTTCTGTCAATTCGTGAATTTTTTCATCTCGTACAGGAGCACATAATTTTGCCATTACAGATATAACATACTGGGCGTAGTTCTAAAAGCATTCGATATTAACTATAAATATGTCAAAATATTTTTATTTATCAATTGTCTGACCTTAAAATCCAAAGTTCCATTCTCCGCTTGCTGCTTAATCAAATCAGTATCCAACACTTCCGAAATTTGTTGTTTAATTCTAGTATGTTGAGGTAATAGTACTGAGAATAATCCCTGTTTAATTTCTTCTAGAAGACCAAACGCCTACAAAAAACTCTTCGTTTTGGTCGATCCCCATTTATAAACAACAAAATGATTGGCTTGATCTTTTAAGTTGTGTCCAATGCCAATTCACAGAACATATTAAATAAGACTTCATAATTACCTGTGTATAAACTGGCGGATCTTCTGCCAACTCTGACCTTAATACATCCCAGAATGCTTTATGCATAGTGTCCTTAATTATTTTTTGCATAGTGTTAGGTTCTGGTTCAGCTCTTTTCAGTTTAAAATCTTTATCAACGACAATCTGATGGACCAATGCCATGTCTCGCATACCATTAGCAGCTTGCATTATTTCTTCTAAAGAAACAAATTTGGGTGGAGATGCCGCTGTTAGCCCGCTAGCTACCATGAATTGGTGAGATGTTGTTCTTTGTCTATAATAAATGGCAGAACTTTACCTACTACTAAAAAATCGTGTTAAATTGATAATGACAATGAATTAAAATTAATTAGAATCAGTGTTTAGTAAGTCAAGCAAAAGGTTGTCTTATATAGAAGATTCTGAGTGGATGTTTTAAAAAATTCTAGAAATATTAGAACACATGAAAGCATATTATTAAGGTCTGGAAGATTACAGTTAGAAATTGGAAAGATATGTAATAACGATGAAAACAGAAAGAGTCATTGCAGTTAAAATGTTATTTCTTTTATTTGGCGCAGTCGGTCCGTGGTAGTAGGATTTTTCAAGTTTTAAAAGTGAGATATAATCAAATATGAATTTAGACAAACTTTTCCGCGACTTCTGTATATGTATGTCAACTTAATAAAGAAAAGCAATTAAAACAGAAGTAGTTAAGAAGATAGTGAGATCAGTAATGCTACATAGAGTGAACCCAAAGTAAAATATTTAAAAATACGTAAGAGGTAGGTAGCAGATCATGCAGGCTCAGTGGCACATCCAGAGTTTAAGTCTGGGGGTAGTGGAAATAGTTAAGACTTTATTCTTGATAATAATACATTTTAGTACCAGTTAGGTTCAAAAATTCTTGAAGGGAGGGTAATTAACCCAATTAACCCCCGTATGAGCCTATATGTTGGCTTATGAGTGTTATTCCACAGAAGACAACAAATAATTCAAACGACTGACTCAGTTAACTGAATTATATTCTATCCGAACATATCTCACAACGGCCTGGCATAGTAATATACACATTTATTTATAATTATACATGGGTAATACCCATTTAAAGTTTTATGAAAATTAAGTTATACAAAAAAATATATATTTATATAATATATACAATAGTAGTAGTATTTATGCCGACTGCATTTTACATTTAATGGGAATCCACAGAATTTTTGTTTCCATTTTCCATTAAGCAGCAAATTGGAGAGAATCTTACATAATTAGTTTTGTGAAAAGGAATGGCAAATAATTCTGTGTTTCTCAAATTACGGGGTGGTACTCGAAACGAAATCATAGACAGTAATTCAGGACATTTGATGAAATTATTAAGGGTCTTATATAAGAACTGTATATCAATTGCATATCTTCGTTTGCATACATTGTCTTATTTGTAAAGCTAAAAAATATTCTGATGGGATATGTAATTTAGAAGAAATATATTTCAAATATCGATTTTGCAGTCTTTCTAAGGCCGTTATATGGTTTTGATACATTGGACACCAAACAACTGCTGCATATTCAAGAATAGGTCGAACTAGGGTGAGATATAAATATTTTAAAGTATTCAAGTTGGTGAATTCGTTTGTACACCTACAAACAAATCCTATCATCTTAAATCCTCTATTTTGAATATATTCATAATGCTTTCTAAAGTCAATGATCACCCCAAGATCCTGTATAGTGTCTACTTTTTCAAAAGGAATTCCCGCAATATTTAAATGAGGATATAGAGCTTGAGTTGTTTCAAGTCTAGAAAACAACAAGTATTTACACTTGTTGACCTGACACCAATCATGTAATTTATCGAGATCATTTTGAACTTTAAGAAAATCTTGGAGATTGTTAACAGCAGAGTAGAGTCTAAGGTCGTCTGCAAATAGTAAAAATTTACAATTAACAAATACTTTGGCAATATCATTGATAAATATATTAAATAACAAAGGACCTAAATGGCTTCCTTGAAGTACGCCAGAGGAAACTTGAATTTGTTTAGACGTACTCCCATTTATTTTTACTACTTGCGACCTATTTGTTAAATATGACGACAACCATTCCAACAATTTTCCATGGATTCCAACCTGCTCGTAATTTATTACATAGAATTACATGATTGACACTGTCGAATGCCTTGGAAAAATCAGTATATACTCCAACAACTTGATGTTTAATTTCTAAGGTCTCTAACACGTCCTGTACAAAAAGAAGCAAATTAGTAGATGTTGATCTTCCTTGGCAGAACCCATGTTGCTGAGGAATGATAATTTGTGCTACTTTACTATTAATTTTGTTGTAAATAATATACTCTATAATAATTTAGGTATTGAACTCATTATGCTGATAGGTCTATAATTTTTTATACTATTCTTGGCACCACTTGTATGCACTGGTGTGATAAAGCTACATTTCCAAGATAAACGGATAGATGCCAGTTTGTAGCGATATATTAAAAAGTTCATGAATTGGTTTCGCCAAGAAAATCTACATTTTTTCAGCAGTATTGGGGGGACATTGTCTGGTCCTGGAGATTTTCTAATATCTACAGTTCTCAATTTTTCCAAGACATCGATTAAAATTTCTTTATATTATTTATTGAGTTTTCTGTAGAGTGAATATAACATGCAGAAAGTACGTGTTTAATAGGTTTAAACGGGACCACCGGATCGAATGGCTCCGATTAGTTTCTTTAGTATTTTAGTTGCATGTCGTCCGAGGCAAATAAAATAAGCAATTTATTAAAGAAACTTTTTTCTACATACTCGCTCAAGGACAAAATCACAAAAACACAGAAGGCTTCGACCTCTAGTTCATCAAGCTTCAACAGACGTATAAGGAAGTTTAATTGGAATAATATATATTTAAAAAGTAACTGAATTTGTGGATGTAATGAAAAAAAATGCATTTTTTTGTTTTGTGTACGTTTTGTATGTAGGCGATCAAAATTTGGGAATGGCACCCAAAAAAGCCTCTGGTGTGATAAACTGGCCTGGCACCACCTGTACGTTAAGGCACGAGCCACCACTGCATATACATAAGAACCAAAAAAATATCAATGATATTCACTAAGGGAGAAATATACATTCTTTGTACTTAATTGACTCGGTAATTGAAAAGTTTAAATTTGTGTTTATTTTGTAAATGCAATAGTTACTTAATTTTATTATTGTAAATTGCATACTTAGAAAAGTGTTTTGCCATAATTAATGTTAATTTTTTTATTTATAATATAAGGAGAAAAGTGTTAATATAATGATAACTACATGATATGTGAATAAATTTGACAGATCTTATTATCCAGTAGATAATTTCAGATTCCATAAATTGTAAAACTTTGCTATAATGTATTTCCATACAAACCATAGCTACAAACACACAAAGAAGTTAGTTTTACAATAAAACTAATCGAGTTCCCTTCCTAAACTAGAAATCTTGAAACTGGCACTCAAAAAGGCTTTACATACAAACATGCAAAAAATTAGTTAATGCCAATAACAATAATTAATGATATGAAAAGTAAAATTGTTTAGATGTAATAGGTACATGTTTTTATTTTATTTAAAAAAACATACTTATCCATTATCCATACACTGTTTACAAATATGTATAAAAAGGAATAAACTATTAACAAAAAACTGAAATTAGATGTATTATAGGATATTTCTGAATAAAACTTAAGAAACTATATAAATTAGGTCAGGGATTAACCTGTTTAGATAATTGCATTGCAATCCCGACCAAAAGAGGGGACAACATGACCTAGTTAACAATTTCTATTAATAATTTTCACTCACCTCCTTCCTCCTGTATATCCTGAAGCACCATCGTCACTTGTATAGGAACATTCACTTGTTGTTCTAATTCTAGAAGGTGAATCTTCTCTTTCGTTTGTACCATTTTTATCATCGCTCATGTTAAATTTTAAATTAAAATGAATATGTTTGGGCGAGCACCACTCCTCGAGTTTGTGTTATCTAAAATTAAAGTGTACTGTATCTGAAAACACTTCTTTTCTCGAGTTAAACGATAGGAGGAAACAGGAAGACAATATAACAAGGTTATAATAAGCGAGTGCTGAAATGATTCATAATCAAGTTTTATGAGGTATTTTCTTTGTTGTGAAATTCTCTAAATACGTAAATTATGTCGTTTAATTTCACACTTTGGCAAACATTACATAATTGGAGAAAATAGACAAACTTACGTGCGAACAGGAAGTGCGATCACGAAAAATTTTGAAATTTTATTTTGAACTCTTCTTTCTACTTCAATCTCAGCTGTTTATTGTTTACCAACAAAATCTGAGGTTTCTGAAAATCTTTGCAAATTTTTTCATTGTTGTCTGGTGACTTTGATTTTCCAGTTATGGTAATACAATGCCAAACTACTCCAGTGGCGTAACAACCATAGATATATAACCAAGACAGATAGGATTATTTACAAAATTTTTGAAGAATGAACGGTGGTGTCCGCGGTAGAAACTCAATAATCGGATTGAACATTGATGCCAAGTTTACGTGCTTTTAACTATAGATATATATATATATACAACCAATACAGAATACACAATTTCTGAAGTCAACGCGGATGATCCTCGACAGAAATGCAATATTTGGATAAAATTAAAATATTGATACCAAGTTTGCGATGTTTTTAACTGTAGTAATGTTATTGCGTTTTCTTGAATTACTGTTAGGTCTTTAAATTGTCAAAAAAAAAAAAATAATGTGTGACAACAGCGGAAGTAGAGTAGACGGCAATTGTGGAGGGTCGTATATTGTTTCATTCATAAAAATTCCTTCGATACAGAGTACTAGTCCAGGAGCCAGTGAATTGTTTCGTACTTGTTTTCCCGGTCCGTGTATATTTAAATAATCTATTCCCGGTGAACTGTATATTTAAAATGGAACGCCAATCTATTAACAAAAGTAAGCCAGATTGAATTCGCGCATTACGTCACATCGATACAAGTGAGATTGTTTACAAAGTGCCTTTGCAGGCCTATTTTGCCCATTTCATGTATTTGTTTTTAAATCATGTTAAATTACTATTTTTGAAACTCAACAAGGAGAAAATCCAATTAACTCTTCTGTTGTGTATATATATATATATATATATATATATATATATATATATATATATATATAGACTTATAAACGCTCTTATACAGGCCCGTACAAAATATCTTTAATTCGTTATGAAGCCCGAGGCGACGTTGTAAAGCCCGACCTTGGGCTTCACAACGAACCCCGTGTATTTAACAACCATTCGATTCCGCTTGCTCCACACATCCTTCTACCAAAATTTCTCGTTGGGCTTTACAAAGTACCATTTATACATTTACTTATACAAAAAGTTTTGAAGACCTGACTGTAGAGGGCGCTTTCGTGTATAAGATTTATACAGTTAAATAATTTCATTTAAACAGGTCGTTGCCGGGCCCTACAACTGACAACACTGCTAGGTCCGAGAACGTGCGTAAAATATATTTTCAAGAATATACAGTCGGGATTTGCAACGCACATAGTATATCTTGATAAAAGATACATATAAAACTGTTATTTAACACATTGCATGTCACGGTGTTAGCAGATAACGCTGTGGGCCAAACTGATTACTGAGTGGAAAGTTGCATTCGTTGCATTATAGTTTCAGAAAACATTTTGTTATTTTATTTTTTCTCTGAAACTTTGCTTGTAAAAGAAACAAAATAATACGTTCTTGTATTTGCAATTGAAAAGCTTGCATTAAAAAAACCTATCCTTTTATAAAAAAAAGTTGGGGGTCGCAGCAAACCCCCTCATAAAATTAAAAAAATTAAGAAACCTCTTGGTATTTTGCCCCATAGAAAATAAAAATTGACTTGTTTCAGGAATTTTGTAACAAACCTTTTTTAACTTACAGAATGAGTTCCAGTTAAACGTTCTACTCTGTATTGTATTTGGTACTCAAATAAACTATGCCATTTTAGTGTTTTATTACTTTTTTATTATATTTAATTTTTATGGTGTATTTCTTGCATGAAAGAAGTGAAGATAGTGTATTTTTTGTCTCAGGCCACATCTTTTAAATATAAAAAACACCAAAAAAAATCAAATATAATACTAAAAAAAAGGAGTTAACCCCAAAAAGGGATAAACATATTTTATTTCAGTACAAAATATATACCAAATCGGGCCAAAATGCTTTACACCTGCTGCGAGATGTATACTAACAACCACATGTGTTTATTATGTTTCAATAAGACAAATAAATGTTTTTCTTCTTTTTACATTTTTCCTCTTTTTTTGTGTAACCATAAGAATTATATGATGATTTTACCAGTAAAATGTAATCTTTCCGTTTTTTTTATTATAACCAACATGTGTATTATGTTCGGTAGGGGCCACAGTTGAGATACCTCATTTAAAATACCCTGTGGTGTCCATTCATATTTAAATGGCATCGTCGTGAATAGAAACCTACCTGCCTTACAAAAATATCACCTCTTTCATATTTGACGCAATGTGTTAAAGAGATGGTTTGTTTTATTTTTTATTAATTATCTATAGTTTAGAGCTATTTTAATCGATTTAAGTGAATATTGGCAGGTTTATCCCAAATAATTAAACTTATTTTCTTCAGGTGCATTTGAGTAGTCATGTCATTTAATAATATTTAGAAAAATGGAGTGATTTTTTGGGCTGATCTTTTTATAAAACAGTAATTAAAAATTAAGCATCTTTGCCCTTTGAATTTTCATCATGACACACCGTTTAAAAACAACTAATAATCTTCACTTTTATTTAATTAATTATTTCCGGTCATACCTAATATACTTTATGTTCTGCAATATGTTTTACAGGGGTTATCATTTTCTAAAATAAAGAAGGATGATAAATTTATATGTCAAAAAATAGTCTATCCTTGAAAATGTTAAACTTAAGTAGCAATTTATTATAAATAATAAAAAATCATATTTAAAACATTATTTATTTCTAGATTAAATTGGAAAAAGTACAAACGTAAATAAATCATTGAAAATAACACAATACAAGAAAAAAAGCTTTAAAATGAACAAGAAAGAATAAATACACTTAAAATAAAATAAATTAGATCAGAAATATAAAATAAGTCTCTACTCATAGTTGGTACAAACGTACCTCCGGCTGAATTTGTGTAGTGGTTGGCGAGACCATCAGAAGTGTCATCTGCAAATATATAGTTTAAAACCCCTGCAAACGAGACGTCAGATAACTCAAAGTTGTAAAAAATATCGACTAAAAAAACGATCGTACCTCCGGCTGCAAATTTACGTAATAGGTAGTTAATATTAATATGCTCTATCACTAAATAAATTATTAGATGTTCAATATTCAAAATTACAAATAAGACTAATACTGGTTCATTGAATAAAATATTCTTGTGGTAGAACTATCCCTACTCACAGAAAAGGATTAAATCTTAACAGGTATATGTTTCACAAAAATTGGAAATACCATTAAGGGGTTTAAATATTAATGCTGTCGGCTTATTCCTTTAACTATCCGTAAAATTTCTAAATAAATCTTTTAAAATGAATTAAATTGTCTGGTTATTGGAAATAAGATTAACTTTTGTCAATAAGTAATCCGAAAAGGAAATAATAAGAGTTGTCATCTGCTGGAAAGGACGCTGCATACTTATTACGCAGAAAATCAATGAACAGATAATTGAAAATAATTTTAAGGTAGCAAATAGTTTTGTCGAGCACTATAGTAATTGGTAGACTTTTTTATGCGATAAGATGCCTTGATTAAATTAAAAATTGACTTGCGCCAGCATTTTTTACAATATTTTATGGTACAGAGGTTAATTATGGGTATTAACACATTACGTTCACAATCTATAATGACAATGTCTTATTCAAATTCTTATGAACAACCCTAAACCATAAGGGATACTTAAATACTATACACCAATTCAAAAGACCGTGTCTTACTATGAACACTACGATTATAATATTAATTGCCAAATTGAAATATTTTAAACTACTATAGTGAAATAAAAAAATATAATAGTAATTTATGTAACGAGTGCACAAAGTGGTACTTTTTTCACGAACAGAAAAATTGAACGCACAAGCGTCAGGTGTGTGCGGCAATTCCATAAGTGAAAATAAGACATGCATATGTTGCATATCATATTTTTTCTACAGCCATATACCAATAATTAAATAAATTTGGAATATTTTAATTAAACTCCTTCAGTAAATTACAACTATTAATAAATGAATTGGAAATTTTACACAATAATATTAGGAAAGTTATTATTTATTTTAGTTTTATTTCGAAATTGTGAATATTGAATACTCAATTTTTTAGTTGAGAACTATGAATATTTAATGCAGTTACGTTAAAGATAGAGCGTAGAAAAAATTACTTACCTAACTTCCAAAAAAGGCTGTAGATTAAATAGTATTATATTTCTGTAAGCACAAACACTACCATGAAACGCCCGATGGCGAAAGAAGCAAAACTGGAGAATACTTAAAAATCATCTGAGAGTATCATCAAATCTAAAAATAGAACGCACCACTATAAGTAGAAATGGCAGCACCGCTGGGCTTCACTGTGATTCACTAGTATCTTTTTTTATACGTGTGGGTTTCGTAACGTCTTAAAGATATCTTCTTGGGCTTCACAAAGGTATAAATGTTTATATTGGACACTCCTGTTTCGAAATCTTTACCCCTCTACTTTCCCCTCTATATGTTTTCTATCATTTTAAAGCGATATAGAAAAAGTATACACGCCTAAACCACTTGCAAGCGCCGGGCTCCAAAGCGGCCCATTTGTCTCTCGGGCTTCATTACATACCATTTATAGGTATATATATATATATATATATATATATATATATATATATATATATATATATATATATATATATATAAGATAAATTAACTGAAGTTTTATTAGTAAAGTATTAATACTAAAATTTTAATGTAATTTACAGAAAATAGCTAGGTATGTATTTGTTTTTAAATAATTTGATAATTTATGAAAAAAGGGAGTAAAAGTGGAATGACCAGTGGCCAGTAGGTCAGTCAATACAAAGTATCATATATTTCTATTATAACATAACTAAAATACCTACATCTTTTAATCATAAGGACATAAGTTAAAAACCATTTTAATATATGCATTATAGAATGAAGTAATAATAACTTAAAGAGACGAGGTCTTAAAGTAATAGCTGGAACAGCATGTTTTTTAAACGTTTCCTCATTTGCTAGAATGAAATCACTTACTATGAAATGTGCTCTAAAAACGGCATTTATAGCAGTCAGTGTTCAGTCTTAGGATCTCTTCCTAAAGCCCTCATCCAAGCTGCATACATATTAAAAAATAATTTAAAAAAAAAAACATATTATATACCTATATAGTTTTCGGTTCTGGGTGCCCTAAAAGAGGACGCACTTAGCCGACAATTTGGCTCAGATAGCTAAAACCCAAAAGTCACACCCCGAACCAGGACGTATTGCTATTCTTTTAAGTAAAAAATAACTACAAATAACTTACCTGAAAAATGAAGGCGTAACTTTACACCAAAAAAAAAACATACACTTTTTCCCATTGTTGCAAGCACCCGATGACGATTAGGTAGATATCAACTAGAAGCATGTACTTAATGGTTATAAAGCTTATTTTAACACAAAAAGAATAAAGCACTAGTCGAAAAGCAGCAATCAAATATAAATTGACCACAATATTAAAATTCAAATTAAAAACTATATAAAAGACAAATACTCTAAAAGCGCTAAAGATCAGAACCAAATAAAATGAATAACCATAATAACCTAAAAATCACATTAAAATTGCAAAAACTATTACTGTAAAATCATGAGATTACATCAATAATGCATATGCGTCGGAGTATCGCAAATGTCAAAACTACAGTGTTTCCATGAAAATTTAGCTATGCAAGCAAGCAATCTAAACTACAAAGGAATGGCCAAGCTACAACCAACCCCACCAACCAACTGGTTAGGTGAAACATTGTGATATATGATTTTATTTATGTGTCCTATGCGTACACCGAGGCGTACACTTTAATATACAAAACACCTGGAACATTCTTTAAATAATTGTGGTCGTAGAAATAATTGTGTACATAACTCGTTTGAAAGTGTATTTCATGCACTTTCCAAATATATTATCCATACAGATTAATCAGACTATTTTTTTACTTAACTTCAGTACATCTCTTTTACTATAATAAAACTATTTTTATCAATGGAAAAAAAGGGCCGTGTTCTCGTATGTTTTGACGCATTTTCGGCCTCAGCCCATCGGATCCCCCCTCTAAATATATATGAATTTTGCTTAGAATTGCTAATCCTACAATTCTCTATTCGTGCTTGCTGACTGGGAAAATAAATACCGAAAATCGTCACTGTCTCCTGGACTATACAATAGATGATGATGATAACTTCACAACAAATACACTTTTATGAATGGCTAGTTGGGGATGTGGTTACGCCACTGTTGCAGAAATTTCTTTAATACAGGTCCGGTACACTCAAAAATGCCCGAGATTTCCGATTCACAATAACATAATTTTGTTTGAACCTAGGTACGTAATTTATCTACGATGCACCCTTAAATTATAAATTTTCAATTTAAGTAGAAAATTTAAAGGGGCAATGTTTGAAAGGGCGCTCTTATTGAAGAGTCAAATACTAAGGTGTTTATTTTCGAATAGAAATATTTTTGAAACTTATTTCTTCAATCTCATCACTTCAATTTCTAAGATTATGACAGAATAATTAAGTATTCCAAGAAAATAGAACGTTCAAAATAAAGGATATACCGAAGTGTAAGAATAACAAGAGAGAAAGTCAGAGCGAGCGATTAAATATAAGAGATATCGCTTATTACCTCATAGGCGTCCTCTAAGTATAGTAAGTAGTATGTTATCTTCTGATGTCATTGTTGCCACGCAAAAGGTACTATTACACCTATGACACCTGACCTACTGGCAAATCAGAATCTAAAGTGTGTCTTATACGTTATATCACTGCCAGAGATAAATGTCTTCTCTCTGGTCACTGCTTTGTGACACGACTGGTATAGTGTCACATATATAATTTTATCCTATTTTGTTTATATCACATATGTATATGAGGAAACCGTTCTAAAAGGGATAAAAAATAATATCAGTACTTATGTTTTAAATATTTCTCTTGCCAAGAAGTACAAAATAGTTTTTTATTAGGTTTTACTTTTCTGACTATACTAACATTGTGAAATTTTGTAGGGAAACCATTGACTTTTTTTTAAAGAAACTTTAATGTGAACTTTAAATAGAAAGCATGCTTTGGTTAAATCTGTCTTTACAGTTCTATTATGAAATTAGTCCCAAAAAAGCTAATTCCACTGTCTCTAGTTTTACACTTGATACTATTCTATCATGCTGAAAATACCTATTTATATAGATTTTTTATTTGTGATATTTTTTCATGAATTTAGTGCCTCATCTTGATAATCTTTGGATATATAAAAAAGTGGTGAACCTACTTCCAAAATAAACTACGAGGAGTCAAACCAATTCAAAGTAAAATAATTCCAAATTCAAATCTAGCAAAGATTTAAATAAGTAGAAACTCAAAAGTCTGTATCACAGAAAACTACTTCTACTACCCTGGCTAGATGCTTCAATGGGTGGGCATGGAATTATAGGTATCTAGAGAAAAACAGGACATGGAAAATTACTTTCAACACTATATTTTTGATTTTGCTTACTAACGAGATCATTCTTGGTCCTTTATAAGAAATTCAGATTCTGTTAATATTTCTGGTGGTGGAAAATAAAAAACAAATAAAAACTTAAGAAGTCATCTTATTACTAAGCAGTCTAACAAGTTTTGGTGAACACATATCCAAACAGGTTTGGTTTTCTTTATTTTTAATTTCCAGGTCAGCCCCATTTTTGACTAAAAGCAGCGCCACTTCTTGCCTATCTTCTTCACAAGCATAATGAAGGGCTGTGTTTCCATATAAGTCTTTTGAATTTATTTTTAACTCATCTTTGTGATCTAGCAGAAGATTAACCACTTGGAGTAGACCCTTAGATGCAGCTCTGTGCAGAGGTGTACTTCCCCTTTCATCTGTTATGTTGATATCTGCACCCTTTTCTAGCAGCATTGCACATATCTGAAACAATATCAATATTCTAACTGTAAAATATGTTTAATTTCTACTTTTGATTATTAGTAAAATGCCAGTAACTATGATTTTTTTAATAAAATATTTTATAGCTTAAATACTGTTAATACTTATTAAAGGTTTACATCTGGCAAATCATACTTTAACTATCCTCACAAAAGTCCTTAACTGACTCTCCCCACTGCAATTGTGTTGGATATTGGCTATCCTAAGATCTGTTCCAACAACGATCAGAAACCAGTCACTGACACTAGGATTCTGCAGTGGATAATTTGGTGGTTAGTGACTGGTTTCTGAATGTTGTTGGAACAGACCTCTGGTCAACATTGTTTTATGTTTTAAATAAATAGTATGATTTGGTATTAAAGTGGACATTGAAAAACCTACTCATTATAAAAACATTCAACAGAAATATGTGTGAATATCGATTTTATTGAACATATCTTTGTAGAACAAAATATAAAATAAAATAAACTAATAAATAAAAACAAAGAGTAATCTTGTAGTTTAGGTGAGTACTTATTAGTTTTTTATAAATGTTTTGCAATCATAAAAATTTCGAATATTTTTTCTGTTATACAGAAAAAAAATCAATTGATATTACCTGGGCCCATCCTTTTGAAGCTGCATATTGAAGAGGGGAATGACCCTGAGCATTTTTGTGGTTAATATCTTTACATTTTTGCAAGAGAAGTTTCACAATTTCAACATGTCCTGCAGAGCAAGCCAATAATAATGGTGTATTATCTGTATCATCTGCTGGATTATCAGGAGAACCCAATTCGAATAAATATGTAACGAGTTTAAGATTTCCGCTAAGAACAGCCCAATGTATAAGCAATCTTTTACTCTAAAAACACCATATAAATTAAAAAGCCATTAAAAAAATTTAATAATATACTCACTGTATCTAATGCCTCCAATAATTTAGGGTCTTCCTCCAGTTTTTTCGAAACAAAATCAAAATCTCCCCTATGGGCAGCATCATATATTGTATTTCTTGCCATTTTTCAGTCAAACATATAGAATAACATGAGAATGAATTGATGAATTGAGAATAATAATAGCAGAGACAACAATAATAGAAATGACTTTCAATTTTAAATAAAATGCCCACTTGTAAGCTGCCACTGCCAACTGCTACTGTCAACTGCCATTTTATGGCCTATTCCAATTATTGTTCACAGCTAAAATAGTATGACGACATCTGTTGATTTCAACTTCTACTATTGAGATCGATGCTTTTACATGAATATATGCCTTAGGTAATAGTGGTTAGTGGTTATTCTGTGCCTTAGGTATGACGTCATCATTTTCCAAACGTCAATGTCAATTTAGTCAAATCGAGAATCACCACGGGTTGTTGCACGGGGGTTTATATCATATGCACAATACGTAAACACGTTTCTGCGCATACTCCTCCGCGCTTGGGTGCTCTGAAGTCCGTTTTACAATAGCAAAATTGTATTAAAATGTAAAGCACATTGATTAATTTAATAACATCTCGTTCAGTAACACACAAAAAGTGTTGTTTCAAAAATTTTAATTCATATATTACAACAAACTAAAAAAAAACATATCTTCACTTAGTTATTTGTACTATGTGAAGATGGCTTTCTGTCCGCTGCATGACTGCTGGCTGCCCGCTATAGCAGGCCCCGCGCGCGCTGTCAACAAATAACATCAAAATCAAACAAATGTGTGGTTATGTCATGATTTGGTTGTCGACGAAAACATGTGAGTGGAACTACTTTTATTTTTTTAGATATAAGTTATTTAGGATTATTTAAAATCAAGTAAAGGTATTTTGATGCTTTAACATGTCTTTACTAGGCAGAATTCATTATAAACGCATAATTTCTAATGGTTATAGTACATTTTATAAGGCCCATTCCAAACGTAAATTTTAAGAACAAACATTTTTAAATTTCCTTCTGATATTGATCAAAAAACGGAATGGTGTCGTATTTTAAACATTCCACTTACAACCCCAATCATTATACATTATGAGAAAATCATATTTTGATACAAAATTGTTTACAAACACAAATCGTTCAAGACTGCTAAAAGATTTGCTTTACCTTGCTTTAGCATCCTCAAAACCAGATACACCAAAGATAGTAGTACTTAGTAATATTGTTATCACACCTCCAAACAGAGTCCTGTGAGGATAAAGTTCATTTTAATAATATATATAAAATTAAAAAATGAAGCAGAATTTGAGTCAGGCCACTAGTTATGTTGCAGGGTTTATTAAGAAACTTAATAGTTTTGACTGCAAAGAGTGTAAAGTTAATTTACAGACATGTTAGAAGACCATCGATACTTTTACTTATTTTAAAGAAAATTATGATAAAAGACGTTTTATTTATGTACAAAGAAATGTTATTGCATTTCTTTCAAAAATTCTTGAAATAGTTTCACAACTTTTGGGTCATATTGACAACATGTTGATTTTAAATGGTTTAGATCAGAGGCGACTCGTGGCCTAGTCTATGAGGAGACTACTTTTAAAAGGCACACCCTATATACTTAATAAAAATATATGTCTATAAGAATTCAAAAAGCAGAAATATTACATAATAGAAATATATATTTGTATAAAGTATATAGGATGAGCCAGCTTCCTCACAGACTAGGCCACAAGCCATCTCTGGTTTACATATAAAGAACATAAAACATACGTCTTTTCTCATTTAGTTGAAACTTGCCTACTATTAATAATAAGAAAGTATTATAATGATAGTATGAGGGCTGCTGCAATGTCTAACAGACAAACAAAATGATTTGAAGTTACTGCATTTAATTTTTTTCTGTTTCAGTTTATATGGATGGTTGCTTTGTCTGATTTCCTAAGATTCAAGAAGAATTTGTTGTTTTGTTTCTTGTTTATTTTAAAAATTTATTTACTTAGGCATTAGTTTTCATATCAAGTAAATTAATTATTTGTTATGCAATTTCTGATTTTTGTTAGCCAAAGATAGATAACGTACTGAAATAGTAATGTAATGTTTGTGATATTAGAGTAACTTTCTTAAAGAATCATTTATAAGACGTCCGGGAGCGCCATAGTAAATAATAATAATAGACATTCTTGCTTCGCATAAGCTCGCTTGTATGGGGGTGAAGTGCATGAAAAATATTTTTTTGTATTGCCATCTCTGATATATTTTTTATTTATTTTTCTTGGGAATTTTTAGTAAATATAATAATTATATAAAACTTTGTATGATATTTATTTTATCCCTCATAATTATTTGTCATAGAATTTTACATTTTTATTGGGCATTTCATAATTGTTACAAACAGCTAATAAAAAAGGAAAATTTTAATTATAATTAAGAGAAAAATTTACTTAAGCAATTATCTTTTTCTAAACAATACGAAATAGAGCCACACATATTTCTATAGTTTAATTTTACTTTTTAGTGAATGAAAAATATATACCTTCAGGTAAAAGTGAAATGTCTGTTTTTCTGGAGCCACTATTCTGAAATTTGATTTAATTATTTTGTCAATTTTTGAAATCTTTATAAAAACAAAATTTTGCGATTTATTGCCATCAAAATTTAATTAAATTTTGAAAAAGTGGCTCCAGAGGAACATATTTGAGCTACACGTACATGTTTTTTATTTCACTAAAAAATTAAAAAAATTACTATCAAAATTTTGTATGGCTATATTTCGTATTAGTTAGAAAATAATTGCAAAAGTAAATTCTCCTTTAAAAAAACCCGCCAATTTTCAAATTAAATATAAAATTACGGGTAACTGCATTACCGACAGAGTAAGAGTTGATGGTAATACTGCTGGTAACTACATTACCGACAGAGTAAGATTAGTTCTACTCCTCCACCCCACAGGTCGTTGCAAGCAAACATGTTGCCAAATTTCTACAAAGAAACGGCAACTCTTAATAATCTTTCCTCCATGGGTTGTTGATTCGCGATTCATTTTTTGGGGCTCTGTATTTTTTTCGTCATATTCTTTGTGATACATATAATAAATTGTATCTAAACTGTGACATGATAAGTCACTAATATCTCAAATTAAACATCTAAAATGAGTACAACCGAGAAAGAAGCTAATGGGGCTCCTTCTCCTTCAGGGCCAGTTGAATCTACTGCCAATGAAAGCCAAGTGAGTTTTAATAAATAATTATCTATTTTTGTTGAATCTAAAGAATCAATAGAATCCGTTTTATTTAAAAAAAATTAAATTTTTCAGCAAAATAGGCTAACAGCGGCAGAATTTAGACAGCCTTCCAAACTCGAATCTTTTCTTGCAGTAGCCAAATCTCTAGTAATAAGAGGAATTATTATGTATTTTATATTCTCATTCTTTAAAGCACCACAGCCCCAGAAAGTAGACGATAAAGGGGTCAAAGTGGTGCAGAGTGCAGCTAGAAATATATTCACTGATGGAACACCAATGAATTTGTACATTTATTTATCTGAAAATGAAACCATGGATGACTACAGTCATTCGAATATATTTTGGTATAAAGAAGGGTTGGAGTATGGGGACTGGACTTCAGGGGAAGAAAGAGATGGGTGTTATTCTATAGAAAAAGAAGTTCCTATTACTTCTAATATGAAAAACAATGGATCCTTATTTCTACATGCCTATTTAGTAAGGGCGGGATACAGCCCTGATCCATCTGCCACAAATTTTGCAAGAGAACAGATGTCTTCAGTTATGAAGCAACTGAACAGGTATGAAGAAATTTTATTATAAACATAAATAATTAGCTACACTTTAAATGTGATTGGTTGCATCCTGTTTAATTAAAATCAAAAAGCAATTTTGGCATTTTCTGGACTAGAAAGTTTAAAAGTTATTTCTCAAATAAAGCAGTTATCCTGTTACCAAAGATATTAAATAAATAGTATGCATAATAAAGCATTTATGACAGTTATTAATCAAAAAAATCTTAATTAATGTTAGGTAGTTAAATTTTTTGTTTCCATTGTACAAAACTTTATTCATATCTAACTTGATAATTAGGTAAGTCATTACAGGTATGTTATTTTGACAATTACTTCTAAGTCTGTTCTTTTGTTTGAATATGATTTGAATATTATCTTTTAAATTAGTGATAGTGAAGGTTAAGTAAATATTTTGGTTAAGGATTAAGGAACCAGGTAGTGTAAATAGACATATTTTTTGTGATAATCATATAATAATTTGAAAAAGTACTTAAAAGTAATTTTGAAATCCTTTGCCTTATTTTAATGTCTCCTCAATTTAAAATAATATATTATAATAGTTCTTGCTTCCAACATTTTTATTGACAATCCAGAAAATGGTGATAGTTCTGTTAAAATACTAGGCCTACAAGTTGATCCACAACTTAGATCAAAACACTTTGCTCTAAACTATCACAGACCATTTTTGCTATCAGAAAAATATGTCAGATATGTGGCCAGGATGCAGCACCCAAGCTATTTTTCAAACTCACTTAACATATGGACTAATATGTTCAGGCAATCCAATAGACATGCACATTAAAAGGGTTACAAAAATCAGCCATAAGAGCCATAACACTTGCTTCTTGGCAAGCCAGCTGTAGATCTCTTTTTTCAGGACTTAAAATAATGACTCTGTAGGCAATAATAATTTATCAGAACCTGCTATTTATAAGAAACAACATGAAGAATTTTTCTTTACTCTCTCATGTACACAACTACAAGACACAGAGAAAATTTAATATCTATAAAATACAGACTTAAAAGAACAAAGAAATGTGATGTTGAGCTGTTTAATATGCTTAAGACTAATTTAAAAATATTTTTATTCAAAATTTGCTTATTGAGTATAGAGGAATACAAGACCTACATATGGAGGATGGAGACTTTACCTTTGATCCTTGAATGATTTTGATTTAATTGTTCAATAACTTTTCTTTAATTTTAAACTATTTTGTATTTATTAATATGTATTTTTTTTATTTTTTCGAAGAGCCAAAAATTTTTTATTTTCTAAGGCAAATAAAGATTATTATTTTTTCATTTGGTCCATCCAAAAGAAATTAGCTAAAATAAAGCACTGAAAATATGAACTATTATTAATGTAAGTTCTTCTAATAGCAATTTATTAAAACTAACTATTGCAATCGTTTGTCCACATATTATTTTTGTTTGTCCAAGCCTTATTTTCTTTGGTCCATCCAAAAGAAATTAGCTAAAATAAAGCACTGAAAATATGAACAATTATTAATGTAAGTTCTTCTAATAGCAATTTATTAAAACTAACTATTGCAATCATTTGTCCACATATTATTTTTGTTTGTCTACCCAACAGAAATTATTTATTGAAATAAAGAACTCAAAATATGACCAATTAATATAAGTACACTGCACGTCAGAGAAAACGGACCACCCAAAAAATTTACGAAATTCTCTATCTTGTTAAGTTTCTTATTTTTTAATTACGTAAAACGGGTTAGTTTGCGTACTTGCGAAGTCATGCCACCCTGTAAAGATCATAAACAAATTTTCGGAACCAATTAAACCAAAAAATTTATCAGAATACTTTTTTACCCGTCAATTAAGTTTCATGAAAGTGACTGTTTTGAGAACTTTATGAATTGTATTGTGTTCTAAAGAGTATTAAAGGTATTTTTGTACTACACTGGTCTTCGTAGAGTAACGTGTAATCCTTAACATTATTGTAAAATGGAGCAAGTTAACAGAATGTGGCGCAAAAATTAAATGTCAGTCATTCGACTATGCAAAGAACACACCAACGGTTTCTTGCAACCGACTCTTATCACCGTCGACCCGGTACAGGTGCTAAAAAAACCAACAGCCAGAGAAGATCGCTTTACTTACCATTGCTGCTTTACGAGACTGAACCCAAACTGCTAAAATGCTCCAAAGCAGTCTTCAGCAAGCTCATGAAACGGCAGTCAACATTTCTACTGTTCGGCGAAGGTTAAGAGAAAGTGGTTTGACAGCTTGCAGTCCAGCTACAGGACCCTTGCTTACTGCAGCACACAAAATCTACTGTTCACGGATGAGTGTGAATGTGTATATATGGAAAAGATTGCCGAAATAAGGTTTACAGAAGAACTGGAGAACGTTATGATGCCTGTATTCGGTCACCTCGAGTTGCAGAGATCCTAGAAGAGCATGTAATGCCATATGCTGGGTTTGTTGGCAATGATTTGCTGCTAATGCAGGATAATGCGCGACCACACACGGCAAGGATGGTAACACAATATCTTGAAGAAGTTGGTATTCCCAAAATCGATTGGCCTTTTCTAAACCCGGATCTTAATCCTATTGAGCATGTTTGGGACCAGCTCAAAAGGCGTATAAGACGTCGCTTACCTGTTCCAACAACACGTGAAGAGCTTCAGTTGGACCTTATTGAAGAATGGACCACTTTTCCTCAAGCAAACATTCAGACCTTGCTGATTTCTATGCCAAATCGAATAAGGAGAGTTATCCGTAATCGGGGTGGCAATACGCCATATTGAAAAGTGATCCTCACCATTTACTGCCTCTTTAATTTTATTATTGCAACTGTAATTTTTCAATGAATTTATGATTTCTCAATTTTTTGCTTTCTTTTCGTTTGTGACTTATGGTAACATCGGATAACATGGTAAAACAATTACTGACTTAATACACAATATATTTTGTTGTAAAAATTAGATATATTTAAAAAGATGAATTATTTCGTAAATTTTTTAGGTGGCCCGTTTTCACTGACGCGCAGTGTATTTCTTCTAATAGCAATTTATTTAACTACTGCAATCGTTTGTCTATACATTATTTTTGTTTCTCCAGGCCTTATTTTGGTTTGTCCGCCCAACAAATGAATTATTAACAAATTTGAACTCAAAATATGAACAATTATTAGTTTAAGTACTTGTAATTGCAATGAAATAAAACTAACTCCTGTAATCGTTTGTCCACTCATTATTTTCATTTGTCCGGGTTTTATTTTCATTTGTCCACCCAACGGAAATTAGTTATTAACAAATAGAGAACTCAAAGGGCAAGTTTGGCTAAGAACACAAAAGAGTACGCTCTGAGTGCCAAGACGACCATAATTGAGGCATACCGAATGCACTCTGAGTACAGTGAGTGCCAAGCCGAACTCAGCCAAAATATGATGATCAATTTTTAGTTTTAATAAATTGTTATTAGAAGAACTTCCATTAATAATTGTTTATTATATTTTTGGTGTTTTATTTTGTTAATAATCAATTTCTTTTGGACAGATAAACGACAATATTGAGTGGACAAACGATTGCCATATTTAATTCAAATGAAATGTATTAAGGCTGACCCTAAGAACCTAGCGTATTATTATTTTTTATATATCTCGGATTTGAGGGATGGACAAATGAAACTTTTGGTTGGACTGAGGTGCTTTCCACTGTTCAAAAATTTGTACACCTATTGCCGTATTTCCTAAACAATGCTGGCATTTCTGAAACATTTCCTGCATTGCCGAAACATTTCCGGCATTTCTCAACTATTACCGGTATTTCCGAGCCATTGCCGGCATTTCCGAACCATTGCCGGCATTTCCGAACTATTGCCGGCATTTCCGAACCATTGCCAGCATTTCCTACACATTGCCGACTTTACGTATTGTATTATCGAACTATTTTTTTTAGTCCAGGAAGCTAAAATTATGAAAATGTATGTTCGTTAGGACATTTTTACTTTCCTAACTGTTACGATTTGGGGTCCCCTGAATCCGTTGTGATTATTTTCGCAATGTTGTATGTGTGCATGTGTGTCTCTATACTCGATAACTTATGAACGGATTAAGAGAAAAACACCAAATTTTAAATTTAAGCTTCAATATCATCTGTGGTAAGCAGATTAAATTTTGGGAATAGTCGGAACATCTGGGGGGGGAGCACTTTATACACGGTCCTTTTTCTACTTTATAGAATATATTTGTTATTTACGCTTGGCGAAGAAAATTCTTTCAATAAAAGTTACTTATGATATCATTCTCTACATTTTTGCCCCATACATAATTTTCCTAAAATGGTCCGTATTCGAGAAATTTGACAAAAAAGGGCAAAATTCTAATTTTTAAGAAAATTGTTTAAATAAAAGTTTCTTGTCATTCTCTATAATTTTTGTTCTATACATATTTTTCCTAAAATGGACCGTATTCAAGATATTTGAGAAAAAGTTAAAATTTCAAAGATAACTTAAAAACGGATTAAGGAGAAAAATACCAATATTTAAACTTAAGCTCGAGTTAAGTTTTAATTTATCCTGCGGTGAGCTAATTAAATTTTGGGCATTGTCGAAGCATCCTGGGGGGTTCTTTATAGGGTATCTTTTTTACTTTTAAGAATCTTTTTTTACGATTGTAGAAGAACATTTTTCAGATAAAAGTTGTTTACAATATCATTCTCTATAATTTTTGCCGTATACATAATTTTCCTAAAACGGTCTGTAATCGAGAAATTTGACAAAAAGAGCAAACATCGACTTTTTAAGAAACTTGGTCAAATAATAGTCGCTTGTGATGTCATTCTCTATAATTTTTATTCTATACATGATTTCCCTAAAATGACTGTATTCGAGATATTTGAGGAAAAGTGCAAATTTCTAATTTCAGTTCAAAAATAAACATATTGATTTGCAAAAATAGTGTTAAAACCAAGATTCAATGAAAACAATAGATTTTTAATTAAAAAATACTAGAACAAGATAAAAGTGACCCAAACACTAGATTATCTACTATACAAACAGTAAATCAGTCAACACTGACTGCAATGACAGTTAATAGATGGGTGAGCTGATGAGCACAGGCTTTAACCGGAAAAAACAGCTCACGATCATAGAAATAGTAGTCATTACTATTGTCAATTTAAAAACTTCCCATGGACAATCTCTTAATAAAAAAACAATAAAAATTGCTTAGAACCGGTAAGTTTTTTTTTCCAAATGGGATACTTTTCTCAAATTCCATAATATGTCATTTATCTCCCCTCGGTCACAGTACAAAATACAATCTAAATAGAGAGAGTACAAAATAAGGCATATTATTAAAAAGGTAATTAATTTGGTAATTATATGGGAAATTCAGAAATATTGCGTACTTTTGATTTTAGAGCCCTCTAGCGAGATAAAAAACTATTGTAAAATGTTAAACTTAATTTGAATTATTAGTAATTTAATGCACAATATAATCAAACATAATGTAATGAAACTTACTTTAAATAAGCATAAGAATGTTTCTTTTTAATCGCAATCAACCAAAATAGCAAATTTATGCTACACATTAAATGACTAATGAAATTAGCTTTTAAATAAAGAGTCACACTTTTCATTCTGGACGTGCTCAAACTCTCCCCTTTTCTGTTCAAAGGCACACCAGCCAAGGGAGGATTTGAACAAATGTAATGGGGTTGTTTAGATAATTATTTTAAATTTTTTATAAAAGTTAACCCTGGTTTAATAGAAAATATATGTTTATTAAGGAACACTGTGTAGTTTAACACACAAAGACCTAATAAAATGTGTTTAAATAAAAAGTTATAAACAAAAGACCAAAAAGTGTTCAAACCCTCTCCCCTACTTTGTACTTGAAATAAAAATCTACCTCTCTCAAGCAATTTATAATATTCTTTTTTTATTGTGAGATATTGCCAATGGAAAGTTTTTAAATTGACATTCTGTATAACTGTCATCAGTATGTTGCCAACTATTTAAAAAAAATCACATCGTTTATAGTTACCTGTTCTATAAAAATATTCGAATGTTTCATTATTATATTGCGGAGCAATACAATGTCACAATAACATTTCGTATTCAATTTCTACTTAAATAAAATGTTATTAATTATTTTATATCATTCCTCACTCCGCCTCTGAAAATACCTATTTACGAAATTATGCAGTAATCAGTGCTCTCTGCTTATGACTCATTTGTCAAGTACTACAGGAATAAGTTGTAAGTTGCTGCACATGCCGAAAAACTATTCATTATTTCGAAAACGTTCATAAACAGATCCCCTTAGGGCAGGCCCGCACAATTCAGATTTGAAATAAAAAGGTCAAGCATATAATTTATAAACAATTTTGTTACTGAAAAATGTATAGTTTGACATAGGCGGGTCAAACTGGTCAACGGACAAAGGGCCGCATGCGGCCCGCGGGCCTTATGTTCTGCAGCCCTGCCTTAGGGCCAAGTAAATAAATAAGATTTATCTTGGAACTTGAAATAAAATTAAAATAAAAGTAGCTAATTATATTGTTTCAAATGTTCTGAATATTTTATCTGCAGTTAGATATTAGGTTTATTTGATTATATTCTATAATGTTGCATATTACAAACAGAGCCAAAAAACATGATATAAACTAGTTGAAAATAGAATTAAAAGAAATACGGGCCATCGTTTTATCATTAATTTTACAGCTTTTCACTCTACACACCGCTCTAAACACGTGTTAGTAAATGTTTATTTTAAGACGGGGATGAATTGGTCGAGCTATTGCCTTGCATTTCCGAGACAATGCCGTCCATTTCCGAAACAATGCCGTGTATTTCCCAAACAATGGCAGTATTGCCGAAACAATGCAGGCATTGCCGAAACATTTCCGGTATTGCCGAAACAATTCCAACATTGCCTAAAGTATTTCCTAACATTTCCGAAAAATGTGTACACCTATTGCCGAAGTGGAAAGCCCCTCGGGTTGGACAAGCCTGGATAAATCAGACAAACACATTAGTATAATAAAAATTAATTTAACTTTAAGTATCTGTTAAATTAATACAATTTACTTAGTAGATGCTAATTAAAAAAAATATATATAATAAGTCCTAGCCAAGATCTTGAGAACGGCACTCTATCGAACTTTGAAAAGGGTGTATTTTTGTTTAGAATGGTTCAGAAAATTGAATTTTTTTTTAAATAGCCATAAAGGGCAATGAGAAAAAGATATGGCAATTTTAATCTGTAAAGAGTACAATAAAGGAATTGCTGCAATAAAAAAGGGACTGTAATAAAACGATGTCCATAATAGGGTTTCTCATAATAAAAAAAAACTCCTGTACACTTATCAAGTATTAATGCAATATATTAAAAAATGTATACAATATTTAAACAAAATGTATTTTTAAATTTCTCGCAAATTAAAATTGTGCCTACCTATCTTTGTACACATAACCGTTCTGTATTCATTTTAAAAGCTCTATTAAGTGTTAAAGTTATGTTACAAAAAACTGAAACACCCTGTATATAAAAAAAACTTATCAAAATCAATGACAGAATGAGAAAGGTTTGTTTTTGTTTGACTAGTTGACATCACAGTAATGCGGCATAGTTCTCTTAGTTCAATAAATTAGTCAAAACATCGATATTAATAATAATAATAATAATACCAGAATTGCCAAACGGAAACAACAGGTATTAAGATTTAATTTTAGGAAAGGTCTAATGAAAATTAAGACAATGGTCTCTCCTCGTAATTTAACAGGGTTATCAAGAATAGTATTATTGGCTGCCACAACACTTTCCAATCTTCTTGGCATGTACAAAATTAAATGTCACATGTCATAGAAATCTACAAGCTCTTCCCAAACATTTTTATTAACTTCCCATAGATAGTTGACTGTGGTTTGCCAGCCTAAAGTCTCTTAATAGATCTTTTTGACAAGTTCAAAGCGGTTGAAGTCATGACTTTTTGCTTGCCATGGCAAAACATTTATGTTGTTGTTGACCCACTCTCTTGCTATTCGAGCTGTAAAAATTGAAGAATTGTCCTAAAATAAAAATCAATTATTAAAAAAATTTACAAGTGTACCAAACTGATTTCATACATGTTGAAAGGTAAAATTGTCTAAGATGTTTATGTTATTCTCGGCTGTTAATCACACATTAATTTGTCGCCACATTCTAGGACCGTTAACATACACACACCCAAATGTGGATGGAAAAACGCCTATTCTAGGACTATAAACTCGTAGCCTTCCACTGTTAAAAGATTTGAACATTTTTTCATCAGAGAATACCACATTATTCCAAAAGTTCTCCCCGTGAATTAAAAATTAATTTGCAAACTTGTTTTAAACGCATTTGAGCAGTGGCAGCTTTATGCAGCACAACACATGAGGCAAATGTGGAACGTTTGGGGAGATGCAGAACCAGGCCAAACAGATGAGGAACAAGATACTTTGAAGGAAACTTTATTGGATACAAATCCCTATCTTTTAGGAATTACGGTAGTCGTTTCCATCGTTCATTATGTGTTTGAACTTCTAGCCTTCAAGAATGACATACGCTTTTGGAACACCAGAATTTCCCTGGAGGGACTATGTTTCTTCTCTTGCTTTCACAACGGTTTCAAAAGCATTTTGACTGATATATTCTACGATATGGTGTTGCCTTCAATTTCATAGAGACCTTCCCTACACCTTGTCCGAAAAGTCTTCGCAATCCTTGTCCTTCTTGCCAGCTTCAATTAAAAACTAAGTTTCTTCCAATGTTGCTATAGCTCTCGACTTTTGAGCATCAGTTTTTAAGAGCTGTCAAAATTTGAATGAGATAAATGACACCATTAAATTTTGCCGTTTACATTTCGGTTTCGTCAACTGTAAAGTACATGTATTTCATTAATGCTTTTTTTTTCACTTAATGGTCGTTTACTGATAAAAAATATATAAATAGGCAAAAACAAGCATTCTATCAACTTGACGTCATTAACATATTTTTCATTAAAATCGTAATCCTAATCAATATAAAAAACACTTATTGCTAATGCTTCTTTATAAAAAATTTCCACTTAACATCAATTCCTTCTTTTGCAGATATAAAAAATTAAAATCAGCAGGCACCAAAAACCTGCTGACTGGAGAAAGCGACAAAATTGAAGTGGAGGATGGCAAAATAGTTTCTCATTGGCATCCAAACTTCACTCTAAACTTAGTCACAGACCAAACGCTATGGACCCAAGGCGCAGTTCCAGTTCCTCTGGACCAATATATAAGATTTTCAGAAGATGGAAAATTGTACAAGCCTGTGTTGTTTGCCAACGATTTTTGGAACATGGCTCGAGATTACAAGCCTTTGAATGAAACTTACTCATTAAAGTTGATTTTCCAGCCATTGACTCTCTTCAAGTGGCAACTTTATGCAGCACAACACATGAGGCAAATGTGGAACGTTTGGGGAGATGCAGAACCAGGCCAAACAGATGAGGAACAAGATACTTTGAAGGAAACTTTATTGGATACAAATCCCTATCTTTTAGGAATTACGGTAGTCGTTTCCATCGTTCATTCTGTGTTTGAACTTCTAGCCTTCAAGAATGACATACAGTTTTGGAACAACAGAAATTCCCTGGAGGGACTATCAGTGAGATCGGTATTTTTTGGAGTGTTTCAATCCATGGTTGTGCTCTTGTATGTATTAGATAACGAAACTAATACTCTAATCAGGGTTTCTTGCTTTGTGGGGCTGGGTATCGAGTGTTGGAAGATTTGGAAAGTTGTGGATATAAAATTCGAAAATGGTTGGATCACGTTCAAAGATAAGAGTTCATATCTTCAATCTAGCACTAAAGTGTACGATAAATTAGCGTTTAAATATCTATCGTGGGTGTGTTTCCCTTTGTTAGTAGCTTACAGTGTTTATGCTCTTTTTTATTTGGAGCATAAAGGTTGGTATTCATTTGTATTGGACCTATTATACGGGTATTTGCTCACATTTGGTTTTATCATGATGACGCCGCAGTTGTTTATTAACTATAAATTGAAGTCTGTAGCGCATCTGCCGTGGAGAATGTTGACGTACAAATTTTTGAACACTTTCATCGACGATATGTTCGCTTTTGTGATTAAAATGCCAACTATGTACAGAATAGGTTGTTTCCGTGACGATATCGTTTTTTTGATATATCTTTATCAACGTTACATTTACCCTGTCGATAAAAAGAGGGTAAATGAATATGGTTATTCTGCCGAACAGGAGGAGAATCAGAAGAGCATTGCTGGAAGTCCGGAGGAAAACCAGAAGAGCATTGCTGGAAGTCCGGAGGAAAACCAGAAGAGCATTGCTGAAAGTCAGGAGCCTAGTGTGGAAGAGACGAAAAAAGAAAAATAGGTTGATTTTTTGTATATTAGTGTGTAAACGTCTGCGTATGTTATAGTTTAAGGAACTGTTATTGTTTAAATTTATTGTATTTAATGCATATGGTATTTAAAATAAATGTAATAAACAGTTGGTCTTTCTTTTTATCAATAGGAGTTTGTAGTGTTATATTTCATATAAGGCTGGGAATTATCCTCATTTTTTTTATTTACAAAATACCCAATTTTACCCAAAGTCACCAATAAAATGCAATAATAAAGTGATGAAAATGTTTTAAAACATAGTTTTGCAAAGCATTAGTGCATTCTACTAAACAAAAAATGAAAGACAGTTTATAAGTTGAGTATTAATAAATGAAAATTGGTTAAAATCCCCTGTGAGACGCATCACTAAGTGAATCATTAATTCAAGAAAATACTGAATAACGTAATTACTAATTTTGGTAGACGCACTAATCTATAAAGTAATGGAGGTGCCTATTTTTAGTCTAAAGACGTCTAGAGTCTTCAAGAACAAGTCTGGAGCGACACATTTTTGTATAAGTAGCCCAAGTTTGTCGTTATGTTTTAGTTAAGAGGTCGTTGAGTTTAGATAAATATTGTCAATATAAATTAGTGTATTAGATTTAATTAGGTCTGTGGGCCATGTGGTCTCCTTCACCTTGACCTTTTCAGATCTGTTGCGGATATCCTTTAATCGTTATTTAGAGTACCTTTTCTAATTCAGTCTTTTGTAAAAGACTCCTGAGTAGGAAAATTAGTGTATTAGTAAAAGAGATAGTACTGTATTTAGTACATATAAATTGTTTTATAAAATAAACAAGTGTTTTAGTGAAATAAACGTTCCAATAGTGTCAGATGAGCGGAAACATATCTATTTTCGGATGATGCGTCTTCTGCTATAATTTCTTCTTTGGAAAATACAGTGTCTTGGTTGTTCTTCTATAAAAATGAAAATTTCTTTAGGAAATGGTGGCCGTAAAAGGTCAAAACAAGGCAGAGAGGGACTTAAAGGATTACATCATTACTCGACTGGTCGAAAATGGGTCGCACGACAATACACAAGCGAAACCCAGCTGATTTCTTTTGTTTTTAATTGGAATTTGTCTAAACCAATAACTAGAAAGGCACCAATTCGAGGAACATGACTGGCTTACTTGACTTATTGTTGCGATTGTATGTATTTAAAATTAGTTTCTAAACTTATTAGACTGGAAAAATCTGTCGAAGTTTGCAATTTTACTTTGAGTTTGAATTTCATTCAAAGGCTTGTGTAGTTATCACAGACTAGACTCGTTTCTGTCATGCATACTGTCACGTCGTGGGTGTCAGGGTATTCTTTTTTGGATTTTGGGTAGCTCAGATTTTATCTGACTACGCCACGACGAGCTCTAGCTCGCCACGCTATATTCTGGGTAGCTCGGACTTCTCCAAGGATTGGAAAAAGTCCGTTCGACCCAAAGTACAACCTGGTGAGGAGTATTTATTAATTTAATTTAACCACTGTTCTGCTTGTTGGAAAGAAGAAATTAAAATCACTGATAAAAACTAACACTTTTATTAATTAAAAAATTAATATTCAAACGAGTATTCAAATGTACAATATTTACATCTAGCATCTGGAATTTACAAAACTATTCTTATATTTAACAAACTACCACACAAAAAAAATTATAATTATATAAAAATACTTTTCTTACCGCATTATCCTTTAGGGGCACGTCCACAAATTCTTTTTTAAAACCTCAACTATTTATTTTATTTATTAATTTTTTTTTTTAATGGAGCTTTTTAGCTGTCGCTTGTGGCTCAGGACTTTCCTGAATGAATCCCGTTTGTTAGAACATTTACCTTCTAAACTCATTTGCTGATTTTGCATATTCATCCAGTTAATACAACTAATGATGTTTGATTTGTAGTTTCCACGGTTTTGTGAAATCAGCAAAATTAGCAAATTTTATTATTGTTAAACATGAAAGGAAATATCTTATAAAAATTGAGAATTGTTTAATATTTTGTTACAAAATTATTATATTACTGGAACTTGAAATAAAGGTAACTGTCCGATTATGAATGAATTAAATGAATTAAATATGAATATATAAAATTTGGAAAAATGTATTAATTGGAATTTGTGACATATAGAGGTACTCTCAATATCTGTATACAGACAGGAAAGTAAAAAAAAAGCATCGTACTCATACGTGCTCTGGGTTGTCTGGTACATTCATAACACGCATGCTCGCAAACGCCATCCCCACTTAATTTAGTAGGGCGTCTCGCTCTTTCTAATGCGGCAGCCGAAACGACAGTTGTCTAGTTCAACGGCGTTGTCTCTGTTCATGTTTACAAACATAAAACAACGAACTGAATACTTCCAAGAAAACAACTTGTGAATTAAGGATTGATCTTAGTTATTCGTTTTTAAAATTGCCTAATATAAAAGGAATGTTATTTTTTTATTATTTTAGGACAATAGATACATGAATAAAAAAAATTACACAGTAATAAAATGAAGATTTAGCATAATTTTTTGAAGAAATTCGTGCTAAGTTATAAGAGTGTTAAAATTGTTCATAAGTACACTAATTATTATGATTTTAAATATACCTGGCAACAAAACAGATAAAAATAGACATTAATAAGTTCACTGAAAACCGAATGCTAATATTTGGTTTGGTTTTCCCTTAGATTATTATCTAAAGGTTTTCCTACCTGATTTTCTACCTGAACAGTTTTTTAAAGAGAAATAATTATTCGTATGACTGTAAATTATAAAGAATGTATAAAGTAATCTCATAATTTTTGTTTAAAAAAGGACAATTTTTTTTCTATATTTTTGACAAATTTTGACCATTGGTAACCATCAGTCCGTCTATCAATAAATGTTTCTTTCTAGACCGGTTGACTTATAAAATAGGAAATGTACAGGGTTGTTCATTATAAATTACTCGCCCTTTATCAATGTTATTATTGCATATACAAAAAAATGTTTGAAATAAAAGTTATGTGGCGATGACTGAATTTTGTTAAAATTCAATTAAAAACAGCAGCGTGTGGCGTGTTGATTTTACGGGATACAACAATATAATATACAGGGTGTTTCCGAACTTGGCGTCCAAATTTGTAGGGGTGGCCGTAGTTCGCATAATTTGAGAGCGATTGGCAGATTTCATTTTTCTAAAAAAAAATATAATAAAATAGTCATTATAAAAAAAATCAAAAAGCGGGTCCTACCCTGAGCGCGTAGCGCAAGTCCCCGGCCGGTATCGAAAGACGTAGCCGATTGTTTTTCTAGTGCGTATTGCTTTATTGGGTTGTTTACGTCGCGTTCAGAGAATTGATCCCATCGCTGTACAGGACCGTACCTGTTTAAAAATTTTAATTATTTTTATTTTAAATATTTTGGAAAAATAAAATCTGCGAATCGGTCTCAAATTATGCGAACTACCACCCCTACAAATTTGGACGCCAAGTTCGGAAACACCCTGTATACTCTTTCTTCCTCACTGTAAACAATTTTGATTATTTTAGATTGTGTTGTATGTTCTTTTATGGAACCGAACACAAGTTCAAACTGAGCACCACAGTTATATAGCATGTATATAATTACAATATATGTTATAAAAATTACATATCGGTTATATAACTTTCCTCACATAAAGATTATATTAATTTATATATCTATGTGTAATCTACATTAAAGTAACAATTTGTACTAAATTATTTCGTTCAAAATGTTGCATACCGTATATATAAATAAATGATGTTGACCAAACGGTCCTTGAAATGCGCATGGTTTTTAGGTAGGTATCTGGTGCATTATTTCTAGCTTCCTCCATGATTTTTTGTAGCGCTTCATGTTCAATGGGGGCTATATGCGTTTTATGGAGGTACCTGTGGCATTTTTGGATTTTTTGTGGAAAATAGCAGGTATATTGTGTTTTTATAATGAAATCGAGTTATTGTGTGTGTTGTATTTCGACGATACATTTGAGGTGTAAATATTAATTTTTGTTCTCTTTTCAGGTCATGCTTTATGGGGCCCTGAATTTTGAAGTGGTGGATCATCGCGTTAATAGCAGATATTTTGTGATTTTTATTATGAATTTGGGTTATTATATTTGTGTGCAATATTTGTATAATACATTTTTGGTTTCCGTTATGCATTCGTGCAATAAAATTATTGATATATCTAATAAATACGTTTAAATTACTTTTCTTTGTTCCCCAAATATTTTCGACGTTTTTATTTGTATTTGTCATACTTTTAAGTTGGAATCATATGAAAACTTTTTTATTATTGGTTTTGTGAAAAAAATTATTCTTGATAAAAGTTCTGCATGGTCCAAAACTTAAAATGCAAATATCATATATCAATTGTTTTTAAGCTGTATACGAGGTTTGTCAAAAAATATGCATTTTACTCAGGAGTAAAGTACCTTTATTTTTTACAATACAGAAGAATGTTATAAAGTTATTTTGACTTAAAAGTTATATTCAAACAGGTATGTAATTACAGCCATTTAGCATTAAAATTCAGGTCTGGTGATTGTTTAATTTATAACTTCATATAATTTATAATGTAAAACGTAAATAATCACCTAACCTGAATTTTAATGCTAAATGACTGTAATTGCATATTTAAATATAACTTTTAATTCAAAATAACTTTATAACATAAAGGTACTTTACTCTTGAGTATAATTCATATTTTTTGACAAATCCCGTATATGGCTTAAAAAAATTATATTTGATGGTTGCATTTTAAGTTTTGGACCATGCAGAACTTTTTCAAAAATACATTTTTTCACAAAACCAATAAGGTAAGTAGGCCAAATAAGGCCCACTTAAGAAGAAATATTTTTTAAAAAATAGTTCCAGCAGTCTTAAAAATCTGAGACTAAGGGATAAGAATTTTTCAAATGATGTACTTTTGTTAAAAAATATTACATTTAAAAAATATACATGTTTTCTAATTATTTTTGTGATTTAAGAAGTGGAGTCTTGTGGGCCTTATTAAGATCGTCATGTTCTTAATAAGGCCCACATCATATTCCAAATAAGGCCCATCACTAAAACTATGCTGGAAATAATGAAATGTGTCTTTTTTTTTATAAATAATTTATTTAAAAGAAGTCTTAAAACATTTAGTCGCAATTTGGACACAAAAATGCATTTTCTTTGTCAATGGCAGTAAGCCCTACGCATTCTTCGTGCACATATGTATTGCATGCGACGCAAAGCCTCATATCCTTCATAACATCTTCTTGACATAAGTAACAAAACCAACTTTCGCCTTTTTTCTGGTTTTGGTCTTCACACATCTTTTTCTTTTTTTGAATTCCGCTAGGTCCTGGCACATTTTTATCTTGTTTCTGTTTTGTCCAATATTTTCTTCGCAAATTTTTGTCTCGTTTTGTTTTCTTTTCTCATTTTGATCATCACCCATCTTTCCCTTTTTTTGAATTCCTCTTGGTCCTGGTATATTTTTATCTTGTTTCCGTTTTTGCGCAATATTTTTTTACCAATTTTTGTTTTATTTTCTTTTCCTTTCACATTTGTATCTTGTTGAAACAACGCTCTGGTAACTTCCTGTGCGCGATAGTTTAAAGACTTCTTTCGTACAACTTTATCTTTTTTTGGCTTCTAAATCTGGTGTAATTAGCACATTGTGAAAACTAGTGGATAATGCTGGCTCAGAAAAATCCTCAGAGCTCGAAGTATCGTGTAGAGAATAATCATCATCGGAGCTTTCGGAACTGCTACCGATATCTTGGCCTATTTGTTGATTAAAGGGGGTAGATTTGGAAGTTGAAGGGATAGAGGTATCTAGAAGCGACTTTTGTTGCGTTATTTCAGATGGGGCAAAAGCAATGTCTGGGATAACAGTGGGATCATAAGGGTATATCCCAGTAGCTCGAAAACCTGAGATCACATTCGAGGCTACAGTAGCTTTTGGCCACACCTTAGAGAAAATATGTCCAAAAGAAAATTTAGTGATTCTTCGATCAGGCTTATTTGTCCAATAGGTCATGACTTCATCATCCCAGTAAGACAGCCTTATCCATGGGCTGTAGTTCATGGGTGGTGTTACTGGGTAAACAGAAGAGCGATATATCGTGGTACTCTGCTGCGTCAACTATTCCTGCATCTAAGTGAGAAGAAGCCCCGTCGAAAATAAGAAGCAGTACTTTACCAGGAGGCTTAAATTTTGCAAAATAATGGATCCAGTTAATAAATACTGAAGTAGTCATGCTTCCCTTGTTAGTCATCTCAACCACTGTACCAGATGGCATATTATCCAACCTTTTTTCTTTTACCCTTAAACAAAATCATCGGCGAAATCATTTGTCCAATGGCATTTCCACAGGCCACTATTGAAACATTTTCAGCGTGTTCTTGAGAAACCAAGTGCACTCTTTGACTCCTCTTCGAGCAAATACCTTTTGGGATTTGTGCAAATTTAGGCGGCATCCCTTTTCGTCAATATTAAATATGCGTTGGGGGTTCTGAATAACTTCTAACTTTATCATGATTTCTTTCAGTTTTTTGAAGTAATCAGTCACAATGAATCTATTCAATTTTGCAGGGTTCATCGATTGCGACTTTCTTCTAGAAACATCTGGGTGACGGCCTAGGAAAAGTTTGAGCCATTTTCTGCCAGCAATGCCCTTATTATCAAATCTAGAAGGTATATTATTTTTTTGGCAATATTCATAAACAGAACGCCGTATCACTTTAGCAGTAAGCGGCATTCCAACATCGGCGAGTCGAAATATTCTCTCGCATAGTTCGATTTCTTGTTCATATGTTAAACATGAAGGTCGTCCAATTCTTTTTAGTACTTCCACTGAGAAGGTGATTTCTCAAAGTCCGGCGTGGAATATTGAATTATTTCGCAGCCGTTCTTGCAGCCATTCCATTTCTCACTGCTTGCATGGCCCTTTCCATTTGTAACTCAGTCATAAACCTCTTTTCGCCATTTTTTTTGAAGTATTGTTCTGAAATAAAATTTCTGATTTCAGTTTGAACTACACCATACTGTTTCAGATTAATGTTAATTAACATTTTACATCAAAAGTATATTAAAAAATACAGCGTTCTAATGTGTTCCAAATAAGGCCCACCTGGGCTCCAATCAAGGCCCACCTGGGCCCTATTAGGAACATCATGCTTTCAAATGTTTTTGATAGTTAGATTATATTAAGCATAAACATATTTACATACCTGATATGTACCCTGGTTAACCAACAAAGTTACATAAAAATTTACACAAAAGAACAAAAGTGAACACTCTGAATTAAAAAAGTTCGCAGTCCAAGAATTATAACGAACCGTACATGAACGTATCTGATTGTGAAATGATGCAATCTTGCGCGTCGCTTTCCAGGTTGTCATTGTAAGTTACATTTCTCCGACGTTAGATGGCGGTGTTTTTTAAGGGACTAATGTTATTATTCAAAATTAGGCAATAGGGAAATGATTTACAGGGGGTGGGCCTTCTTAGGAACTGGGCCTTATTTGGCATACTTACCTTAATAAAAAAAGTTTTCCTTATGATTCCAAATCAGAGGGGGATATCGCGCATAGTGTCATGGCGGCGCTGACGTCATACGTAGAGTGAGTAGAGTTGGCATCAAGTAAATATCATATGCCTATACAAACTCTACGCATGACGTCATGCGCGTGGTCGTCCTATTTTTGACACAGTTGATATCCTACCTTCTATTTTTCATACCATGGTTCCAACTTAAGTGGACACACTGTATAACTAATACCTACATTTTGAGAAGACACCTTTACATAATATTTATAAGACTAATGTTATATGAAAAAAGTAATGTATATATATGCTGTAATAATGAAGCATATTAAATGTTATAATGGTATTATAAATGTTACATGTCTTCCGATATATAACATTGTTCCTTACATGTACTTAACCCATTACATCACATATAAGGAACCTGCTATATAACAAAATTTGGTAATTTTTCGCAGTAATCACGTGAGTTATTATGTATGTAAGTTACTTTATATGTAATACGGAACTAGTATACAGTATGGTTCAAATGAAAGGAATAAATTCATTGTATTGGAAGTAGTTGGTTTTTCGAAAAAATGCTCGGACAGGTCAATTTTGTTTACATAAAGCGCAATTTTTTAAATAAAATTCAATTTTCCCCCACTTCCCATTTTTGGGCAGTGACGTCATTGATAATTTTTTTAAATAGCAACCCCAATTTTTTTTTCTTGATTTTGATAGATCTTGCAATTTCCTACTCGGAAACATAATATTTGAAATATCTGACATAACAATTTTTTTTGAAAAAAAGTCATTTAAAGATCAAATACATAAATTTTATGTTATTTTGAAACACAATAAATTAATAAAAGATAATTATTTGTAATTAAGTGCTTAATCTAAAATAATAATAATAATAATAAAAAGAATTTAATGACTTCACAAATCCTTTTTTTTATTATTATTTTGTTAGATTAAGCATTTAATTACAAATAATTATCTATTATTCATTTATTGTGTTCTCAAAATAAAATAAAATTTGTGTCTGATCTTTAAATGTCTTCTATTCAAAAAAAATTGTTATGCAAGATATTTCAAATATTATGTTTCCGAGTAGGAAATTGCAAGATCTATCAAAATCAAGAGAAAAAAATTGAGGTTACCATTTAAAAAAATTGTCAATGACGTCACTGCCCAAAAATGGGAAGTGGGGGAAAATTTAATTCTATTTAAAAAATTGCGCTTTGAGTAAACAAAATTGACCTGTCCGAGCATTTTTTCGAAAAACCAGCTACTTCCATTATAATGAATTTATTCCTTTCATTTGAACCATACTGTATGTAAATGATACATATATGTTACATGTTTCTGTTTGATGGGATATTAGTTTTCATTTTTATAACTTTAATAATGTTAACTTTTGCATATTTACACTAACTACTGCCTTGGGAACGAATCTAATACTCCACATTCGCATTCTACTCATGCTGCCTTACCAACTAGTCCATCAGGCCTCCATTTTTTATTTTTCCAAACATTTGTTTTCACTTTCTAGGTTCAAAAATTGTCTCCATTATTTTGTAAAATGGAATTTCCGAAGAATTTACTTTTATCAATCTTTTAGTTGAATTTGGCCCATTTGTGACTGCTTGGATATTCATCAGCCGCCACTGTTTTTAAAATTATATCCCGTTATTTAATAGACCTAAGATTTGAATTATTACCTAACACATATTAACTTTGGTAAAAATGAACTAACCGGTAACACATTATGTACTATAACTGCAATATTTAATTTGCACCAATGCAAAAGAAAATATTAGCTTAGTTGTAAAAGCGATTTTTATTTAATAAAAATCTTACATTACATCTGAGTCTCTAGAGCAGTATTATGATATGGAAAATATGTTGAGACAATTATTGTATTTGTTAATGTTCAATGGGTTGTATACAGAGTGTTACTTGGTGTCCGAAAACGACGTTGAAAATTATGACCATTTTTTTGGTAACGAATCTCTTGAAGGCCGACAAGGAAAATGTAGGTATTATAACAATAAAAGACGCTTTTGTAACATTTTCAAACTTATTTTCGCAAATTTAAAAATATAGATTCAGATTTTGAATTATCTGACATAGAAAATGAAATTCCAGAAGAAATTTTGGAAGCAGCAAAAATGTACATTTAACATAAATATTCAAAAATAATGTATTTGGTTAGTTTATGAAATTGTATCCATTATCATTGAATAATTGAGTTTACATCGAAGTGTCGGTCTTAAAAATAAAAAGTATATTGTACGTCACGCGACCGATAATTAGTGTTAAGCAGGTCTCGCGCCTACAGCTCGCCCTGGAATCTGCTTGTCTCGACCTGCAAAACACTACTTTTCGGCCTTGTAACGTAAATTACTATTAATTTAACTACACAGTAATTAAACTACTTTTCTCTGAGATACATAATAGTTTTATTTAACCACTTTTTTAAAGTATAATTTGCAAAGCTCTGATTATTGCTTATATAATGGAATTATGGAACTGTTTATGAGGGAAAGCCCACTCATGCGACATGTCGCGCGCGGCAATACTTTTGATGTTTTTAAATGACCACGCGACAGAACCGCGTTAATGGGCTTTGAGTCATTTAAAAACATCAAAAGTATTGCCGCGCGCGACATGTCGCGTGAATGGGCTTTCCCTCTATAACAGCTGTATTTGAAAGGGTAGGGTACGGTAGACCGTAATTAAGAACTAAAAATACATTGAAAGTTTTATTTTGATCATCTTAGGTAAATTACTTTAAAATAAGATTTTTAGAAAGAGTGCTATTTTTATTTTCTGTAAAATATATAATATAATGGCTTGTTTTAGTTTTTGGTGTAGGTCTAGTAAGATTTGCCAACGCACCCTGTACTAGTTCAAGTAATTTAATAGGAACCTGCTATAGACGAAGGCAATGCAATGACATCAACGGGGGAGCATCTGGAATATGCGCAAATGGAATTGGAGTTTGCTGTGTCTGTAAGTTCAACAAATCAATATACACAGTGTGAACTTTTGAAATAGAAACCCTGTAGCGTTGACACAAAAGAATTTAATTTAAATTTGTATGATTTTTTTCGCATGCATTGTTTTTTGAAAGTAACTGTAAACCCATATTATAATAATAACAACAGTATTTATAAATAGAACATAATAATATTATTAAACTAATGTTCCAATTAACTGCCAATAATAAATAATAACCCGACAAAATTATCTTTGATAATATCATGGCCCCACAAACATTATAAGTTAATGACTTTTAAACGTATGTACGTTAACTAATGGCCTTTGGTTGGGGATCTGGCATTGGTAAGTCAAAACGGGCGGCAGAAGGCAGTCGACTTTATCAGCAATAAATAATAAAAGACCTGCAATGGCCAGCAGTTTTCTATATTATAACTTCCCTTCAATGGGCTTGCATATGCTCGTAACTTTATTAGCATAAGTAATGAAATGCCTGCACTTGACCAACATTTTCCCATAATAGTAATGTTAACGTTGCTTTGAAGGGCTTACATAAGGCTCTTAGCTCTTATATAAAATGATGGTAATGGATCAAGTGTGGCCCATCAAAGAAGGTAATTTTTTGAGAAGTGCAACACATTACGAGTATTATCACAAGCCTCAATTTTAGCCCCTGATAGAAATGATAAATATGAATAAAGGGCGCATTTAAATAATTAATAACAGCGTTTTTACGGTTTTGTTTATAAAATAATTGTATGCATTGTGTCTAGTTTTTTATTCGGAAATAATTATTATAAAGCATCAATATCTTTTTTAGTCGTAAGAACCTGCGGCGGAAGTTCACCTTACAATAGTACATATTTTACGAATGCGGATTATCCCAGTGCAGTTACAACAAGTACCAGCTGTGTTATGATTATACAGAGAGCAACTAGTAACACTTGTCAGGTACGTGTTTAAGTTAGAGGCTGAAAATACTGATTTCAATAAAATTAATAAACTTATTTCAATGAGTTTTAGAAAAATTTGAATTGGCATGTGAATGTTGATGTTCCTAAAGTCTAGTTTTTAATTAATTTATTTTACCGGTATAAGAAATAAATAGTTTATTGCTCTCCATAGCAGATACTGTAATGCGAGCCATTTTCAACCAGTTTGGTCATGTTATAATCTCTTAAGTCCATCTCTGCCTTATTTGGGCCTCTTATGGCCCCACTTGTCCGATTATCAAGAATAGTTATAGAAATTAATCAATTTCCGAAACCCCTAAGGATACGCATATGACAAGACCGTTTAGTAGAAGAAACTTTAGTCTACTAGAAAAATTCTAGAATTTGCCAGAAGCACCAGTCTACAAAATGGTGGGTCCGCCGACGTAAGGTAGAAGGACGTCTAGAGTTTACGTAAAGTTCTGGTGAATGCGAGAACATTTGGGTTCGCCAAACTTTTATGCATAGCATTTCAAAAGTACGAGGGTAGATTCCTTTTTTTATATCAACATAGGTCCGATTCTGCTTCTATGTCCCCGGTGGGATGTTTCTAATTGCCCAAATTTCATATCAATCTTCCACGTGGTTTTTTAGATTTTGAGAAAATTATTTTTTTTTTAATTTTGACACCCTATAGATCCGGGACGAAGCAGAATCCAACCTGTGTTGATATGAAAAAACTCAAATTTGTATGTGAAGAATCTACCCTCGAAAGCTTATGTTTTTTGAAACACCCTGTATAAATAGGCTGTTTTGCTGTTGCAGTGGGTTAGTTCAAGTTGAGACTTAGCTGTGAGCAAATCACTATAGTTAATATAAATTATTATATAAGTAAATATGCACATAAATTAGTGAATAAGTAAATGTGATATATAAATTAGTTGTAAAATATATTAGTATAAATAAATAAACTGTTTAAAATAAATAAATTAACGTTGCAATGCCATATATATGCCTCTCGAGTAGAAACTAGAATAAAATGTTTTAAACATGTTGTTACAATTTCTGACAATAATTCTTAACCCATAGCATGTTTAACTCCTCAGAAAGAGAGTCTAGGTGGAAGGAATGTTTTATCAGGATTTAAGAAAAATCTCGAGTTTAAAAACCATCCCTTCTCTGCCTTTATACAGACAACGCCTGTACCTAAGAAAGCACAGAGCTATCCTCTGGATATTTAATTATATTTTGACCTTTGATACATTTTAAAAATTAGGGGACCTAGGACAATGCCTTGCAGGACACTCTCGGCGCCATCCAGCGCTTGTGACTGTATAGAGACTAGTCGTATTATCCTGTAGTTTTAATGTATGTGTGCACTGATGTTTTAATCTAGTTCGGTTCTATATTTTAGAATCCGTAATGTTGTAGTTTTTATAAAAAATATTGAATCAATCAATATTGTCCAAGATGCTTAAAACATATTTAATATTAAATAATAGGCACATGCTTAAACAACTTTTTGATTGATTCAAGGAAAACATATATAATTCACACCCTTATCCACGCATCACTATTTCTGCTAACTATATTTTTTTTACAAATTTAAATTTTTATTATTTAGTTATATAAGTTATAAATATATTATTATTATTTTAGTTATTATGTATACCTTAATTATAATTTCTTTTATCTACTGCGTTTTGGCAATTTCAATTTTTAATAAAAATTGGCATTTCCCATGCTCGACTTAACAGTTTTAATGGGGTCAATGATTTATTTACATTGAAGTTACAATACATATGTTTGTGTATTATTGTAAAACTTTTATATTATTATTATGTGTGAATAAATATTATTATTATTATTATATTATCCTAAAAAGTTCCACAGGACACTTCCGACATCCAGAGAATTATAAATTTTGGTTGATAGTTCAATAATGAATTTTATTTACAACCATATATGTAATGTTGTCATTACTGACGTCATTGTGGTTGGGAAGTGTCACATTACACACCTCTACTTCCCGCCCTCATTTCATCTATTCTAGATAAATATTTTTTATATTTAAAAAAATAACACATTTTGTTGACAATTTTATACCTATTTAATGGCAAACAATAAAAAACAACAATGAACTAAAATACAACAAACTACTTATTGATATTTATTATTTGCGAATTTAATATCCAGCTTTATCTGACATTTATTTATATTGGTGACAGTTGTTTACCCCGTAATCACAGTAACAATATATTTACTTGATTATTCTGAGAAAACCGCGCGCTTGGTAATTTGTCGTTAAATGTAATATTTTAGGTATGTTCAGAACGAAACAGAGATTTATTAACTTTGATCGAAATATGATGGTTGTAAATAAAATAGTATACAAACCTCGGTAGGAAGTTTCATTCCTGTCTCGAAATCATAGCTAACCTCGACGCTTCGCGTCTCGGTGATCTAACTAATCTCACGACAGGAATCAAACTCTTCCCACCTCGGTGTGTAATATACTAATTTGTGTTCCCTTCAACAAAGAAGACATGTTGACGGACACTAAACTTGATCTGTAAAATTCTGTATAATTTCGATGCTTTATTATTAAGTATTTTTTTCCAGGTCAGAATAGACTTTCTGAGCTTTATTCTGGCCCAGCCAAATGCAACGGGAATCTGCAATACCGACGCGCTGATAATAACAGGTGGCGCTGGATCACTGCCCATTATATGCGGTGATAACACTGGCCAACACATTTACGTAGATTTTAATGGAAACAACAACATTATCATGACCATTACAACAACAGCCGGAGATGTTGGCAGAATATGGAACTTTTTGGTTACTCAAATCGCTTGTGATTGTCCCACTAGAGGTTAGAGAAAAAACATGATATCCGCCCTTAAATTGATCCATCAACTTGTCCTATTAGCGTTTAAAATTTCAAAGTTGAAAGAGATCCTAACTCTTTGAGTATAACTTTAGATCAAAAAGAAGTATATTTAATCAACACTTCAACATTTAATATCACACAATAATTACATGTTAGACATTGTTCTATTTTTTCTTATAGCTCCATCCGGATGTTTACAATTTTATAACACAACCACTGGTACCATAACAAGTTTAAACTATGGTGTTGGAAGTAACATTATAGATAATACAACGGGGTTACCTGGCACCAGACAACTGGTAAATCAAAATTACGGAGCCTGCGTTAATATGCTGCCAGGTTAAATTATATAGATAACTTAGTAAAGTGTTTCCCGTTTCTATTTCTTTATATTTTAAGGATTTTGTTCGATCCAATGGTCTTCAAACGGATTTATGGTAAGCGGTATTCCAAATCTAGGATTTGACGCTTTAACAAATGGCGATTGTACTACAGATTTCGTGGTTATAGCAAATCCGTCATATGTCGGTGGAACTCCAGTTAATTCAGATCGTTTTTGTGGAACATCCTTTAATACAGTCACCAGTAAGTGTCAAATATTTGTTAATTTAACTATGAATTCCAATATACACCAGATGTTAAACATGAGCATAAAATATATGCCTCTCAGTCTAAGCTGTAGACAGTGGCCGTAATCACAAATTAATTCAATGAACAGTATGTCTCGGTTTTAAAAACTCGAAACACTATTTCTTTCTTTATATTCTAGATAAAATCTAAAACAGAACATTAGTGACGAAAATATACAAATTTTGTAAAAGTAAATAAACCCCATATATTATAAATTTCTAGATCTATAACCACTGACTGACTCATCACGAGATCCCCAAAACTATAAGCCCGATTGACTTGAAATTTGATATAGTTACTCGACGTAGACACCCACTAAGAACGGATTTTATACATATCACATTTTAAGGGGAGAAACGGAGCAGTGGCGCATCCAGATTTTAAGTCTGGGGGGTAGTGGTAATCAGGGCCGTCGAGAGCCATTGTAGGGCCCCGGGGCAAAACACTGGCCGAGTCCGCTCCTTATATATTATAAATAGGGTCGGCGGATTTTCAAAAGGTAATAGCGAGACAATGGTGACGATAGGGAATCAGGTTCAAAAACCAAGCAGGTCCAAAACATCCTAGTTGCCCCGACCCCCCCCCCCTCTCGTCGGGCCTGGGTGGTAATAAAGTTTAAGTCTGGGGGGGTAGTGGTAATATTCGATAATAGTACGTTTTAGTACCTATAAAAAGTTAGGTTTAAAATTTTTTGGTGGGTACTTCCCCATTACCCCCCATATATGGGAGTATCAATTTTTTATAGGTAGGAACTTGAAAATTGGAATACATAAATAATAACGTGTTTTAGAGTTTTGTATTTTCACACTTTAAGGGGGGGCAAACAGTGGTGAAATAAAAATTAATAAAAATAATTAAAAACAAATAAGTGCAACTTCTTACGCCCTGGTATGAAAAAAAGAGGAGCGAATTGATAAAAACGACATATCTCGATGTCCCGCCAGTCTAAGGGAGGATTGCTTTTCTAACGGACAGTTTTATGAAAGAAAGTTTAATAAAGTTGTGTATTAAATTTCCACAGTTGTTTAGAATGAGTAATTGGAAGTTCACGTAATTCATACAGATCACATTCTTAAGCTCTGTTAAAATTTAATTTCATCAATGCTTGGCGTACGATTGTGTCCTAATTTTGACTGATTTATTTTTCAGCTGCATCAAAACCGTTTGTTTTGTACGTGATTACAAATGGAGATGAACAAAATGATGTCGCTAACACTGGATTTTCGTTAAGCTTCACTCAACAAGCATGTTCTAATAATCTATTTGGATGAAATATACATTGTAATATAAAAATTAAAATAAAGGAAATGCTTTTACATTTTCTATTTTAAATACATATCAATATTTTTTTATTTCTAAATTACAAGATTTAATCAACGATGCTGGTGAGCACAGAACACACATATATCCAGTGTTGTCATATACCTAACCTCGATTCTCCGAAAACACACGAGAACTAGCTTTTTTCGTATAAGAAGGAAAAATTCACCAGTCCTCTGTTAACACTGGACCATGTACAATTCAAGTCCAGTGTTAAATAGAGATGCTTGAATTGCCGAAATAGCCTCGGGAATTTGATGCATTTGAAAAATTGAAATTCTCCACGAATACTCCATTAATTTCATTCTGCGTCAAATTCTCCGAACCTTCTCAAAATTTCCGATAAGCCGGGAATTTCCGCCCATTGACTACACTGCATATTAGAAATTGTGTATATTATGCTTGTACCTGTCACGTCATACCTCTTGTGGAAAATAAAATAAAACATTTTTTGTTCATATCGTGAAATACTCGTCCATTTTTTAAATCAATCAAAACAAAGTTTTACTGATGTTCACATTTTTTACTTCCCTCTATAAAAGGAAAGTATTGTAATCGTGAAAAGTCGCCTTCCGAGATTAGATCAGATTTTCACGTTTCGGGGTCCCTAGATTAAGAAAAACATGGTTCTCCATTCCGTCGGTCTGTCTGTTGGAGCGGTAGCTCAAAAACGGCGTTATAGAAAAACTTCAAATTTTGTATGCAGATAAGGTTCCTTTCTGGCTCAAAACCAGTTATACTGCTATATACTATCAGTTATATGCGGGATGAGCAGTTAAAGTCGGCAGATTTCAACTAAAATTGTTATCTGAGAATTTTAGAAATCAAAGATTACAGATACTAAATAAATTTTTAAAAATTCAAAATGGCGCTGAAAGGAATCGTATTTAATCAAGAAAGGTCTCCCTTGAATGGAAGTAATAAAAATCGTCCTTTTGGTTTGTGTAACTGGACCATTTTAAAAGCTGCCTATAATTATTGTTCAATAACGGTGATCGTGACGAAGATCGATGGAGAGAGAAATGTGAAAAAGGTTATTTAATTATTAAAATTTAAGTGCTTAGGAGTTCCCTGTTTTTACAATTTCTATATCGAGGGAAGTTCTGGGTAAAATATCGATTTTTTTTTAATGGGCCTTGGCTATGAAAGGTTGACATATTTTACACATATATTATTGGTTTTAATTAAAGGCTATGTGAAATTTCAATTTTTATAATTTAATGCGCGCTATAAAAAATCTTGGAACTAGGAAATCCATCTCGGTGGAATTGTGGTTAAAGACAAATTCCCCTTAAATGCTTATTTTTTCTGGAATATACTTTCAATATCATAAAAATACTAATCTCACAATTAATAATAAGTTACTACAACACTGATGTATCTCTTATATCTTTGATTGATAAATAAAAAAAAGAAATACAAATTTCCTAAATAACCAATCAAAAGATTGCGTTATAAGAAAAAGGCCAGCAAAAAGATCAAACAAATCATCAACAAAACATGAAGATAATGAATCTAAAATCTTTTTAGCATCTGTTGTTTAATTAAATAAGAATCATTATTAAAGTCCATCCACTAATGGAAGACTGAAGAACTGGCCAATAGACCTAAAGTAAGGTGATCAATGATATAACGAAAAATTACGTAAAGAAAACTTATTTACATTATAAAAATTATCGGCTAGATTTGTCTCAACAAGATATATTAATTAGACTTTGAGATATTTTTCAGATTCGGAGGTCTTCGATATTGAATATAAAAGAAATCGATGATTCACTATGGTCTAGGTACAGGGTAAAGAGGAATCATTTTCTGAATAAATTTTTAGAAAAGACATTCGATTTTTCCATTTTTCGATTTTTCCTTTTTTCGATTTTCTTTTATTGAATAAATGAGAAGTTGGCCGCACCGCTGTGCCGGTCGGAGTAGGGGGTGTTAGGTTTTTTTTTTCGTCACGGTGTTACGGAATTTCTTGATTCGGTCGCCGCGCTCAAAGCCCGCGATAAAAGCTATGTAATAGCTTAATAAAAAAAGAAATTAATAAAATTGTCACAGTATAAAAATGAAGTCAATAGTATAATGAAAGTTGACGCTTTAAAGAAAACAAACCTGTATTAAAAATGTCATAATTTGAAAAATACTTATTATAATCGGATATCAATCGGTCTACAAATAAATTCTATCCATAGTTACTTCTATGAGTATTTACATAAAATAGTTTAATATGCCTAGTAAATCTGGCAAGAACAAGGAATCTTATAAAATGTACCAGGCTGTCACTATCAATCAAACCATTTAATAACTTATACAGGAAAACAAGCGATGCTTCTCGACGTCTGCATTCCAAACTCTTAAGTTCGCACAACAGAATTCTGGTTGGGTAATCTATAATTTGCGATGAAAGCCTATGTTTATATAGTAGATACTTCGAAAATTTATTTTGCACTCTTTCTAATTTATCAATATGACAATTGTAGTTAGGTGCCCAAATCACTGAGCAGTATTCTAAAATGCTTCTAACTAAGCAGTTGTAGAGACTCTTCAGAGCTGCCGTGTCATAAATTTGCTTGGTGTTCCTTTTGACAAAGCCCCGCAGTTGAAAAGCTCTATTTACAATTTCTTCCAAATGAGGAATGAACGATGACATAATCATGCACAATTATATTAGCTGTTTTATTGAACCTTACGACTTTACATTTATCGATATTCAGTTTAGGCAAGTTATCATTGCACCATTGAACCAGAGAGATCTGATTGTAAGTGATTGTTTGAAAGGTCATTGACGATTGAAAAAATGTTTAGGTCATCTGCATATAGGAGGCAACTGGAGTTATTAAAACAAGTTGTTACATCGTTAATAAAAAGTATGAACAATATAGGTCCTATATGCGGGCCCTGTGGCACACCTGAATGTACGGAAATTTCGCTAGATGTGAAACCACATAAATTCATTCTTTGACGACGTTCAGTTAAATAGGAACGAATAAACTCAAGGTAGTTGCCGTTAATATCCATCCTCTTCAATTTATCTAATAGCAAGGAATGACAAACGCTGTCAAAGCTTTAGACAGATCAGTGTAGATAAAAGACCACTTTTTTGCCATCCTCCATTGCAGATAAAAGAAACTGCAGTCGTTGATCGCCCTTTGAAAAAACCATACTGTTGTGGTGCAATATAACGCCGAAAAGACAAATATCTCATTTGTTATTATAGCCTCCATGACTTTAGGAAAGCTGGATATAATCGAGATTCCTCGATACTTTGAAACATTATATTTGTCGCCGGATTTAAATATTGGCACTAAGTTAGAATATTTCCAACGTTGGGGAAAGAAACCATCATCAAAACATTTTTGGAATAATTGACCTAGAGGAGTAGAAAGTGAGGATTGACAATTTGTTTAAGAAAATGGAAGGAATCCCATCCGGACCAGGGCCTTTAGAGACATCTAACTGATCTCTTCTTCAGTGAAAACGCAAGAGGAAAGATTACTAGAGAAATCAGTAATGAGGTTAGAAGAGGTAACAACATTGTGTTTAACGTAATAGGCCTGAAATTGAGAGGCAAACGCCTCAACTATTTCTTCAGGGTCATAAATTAACTTGCTATTAGATTTCATTTGTTTTAGAATGTTTGACGAGTCTTTACGCAGAGTTCTTATATATGACCAGAAGTGCTTGATATTATTAGGAATAAGGTGTTCCATGTTAGAAGCAAAGGTAAGATAACATAAAACAGTGCGATACTTTGCTTCGCGCCGTGCATTAGAATATAACTGGTAGTCACTACTCAGACCAGAGTTCTTATATTTTTTATATAGTCTATATTTTGAGGCAATACATTTTCGAAGTAACTGTCAAATCATTTTGGATATTTAATGTTTTTTATAGTCTTTTTTGGGACAAATTGATTGATGCCTTGAAACAAAATGTCATAAAATTTTTCAACTCTGTCTTCGATGTTTGGTGCTTTATTGACTGACGTCCAGTCCAGTCCTGGTTGTAAAAGTTATTACATTTTTTAAAATTAGCGACTTTGAATATATACACAGTACTATTGCGAGAATTGGATTTTAATGGAACTTATTTTGAAAGATCGATGAACTACTCGACAGGAGGGAGAAATTTGTCAACATTAAGCAATGGACTTTCGCTAGGTAAAACAAGGAGGTGATCGAAGTCAGATATGGAGATAAAATCGAGAATACGACCAAGATTATTTCCAATGGAATTTATTTGTTCAAGTTCAAGAAAATACATGGACGTAATAAGAGTTTCGGCATTAGCAGAGGGGGTTCTTACAGGGAATACGGAGGTGGTATCCTCATCAGAGGACCAAATAATTTGCCGTAGCTTGTAATCGCCAAATATAATTAATCTACAGTTGTCATATTTGTTACTTAGATTCACAAATACTACAGAAAAGATCGTAACTTTCAAAGGTTGAGTTTGGAGGAAAATAAACGCAACCTAAGATGATATTGAATATTTTGGTCCGAATCCATATATCATATAGGTCGTTGGTTGGAGCTGACAGAACTGATGCATTAATATTATTGGATACGGCAATTAAAACTCCTCCACCACGTTGACAATCTTATATTGCATAGTTTCTATCGCGACGAAAGATAGCAAACTGATCGACATAAGAAATTCTGAATTCCGAATACTATTGTTAAGCCAAGTTTCTGTGAGCATGATGACATTAAAAGTACTCAAAATTTAGATACCATAAAAATGGTCGACTATTTATCACAGTCTTGTTATATTACCCTTGATAACATCACCACAACGCAATGCATTTACATTATTAGCAAGATTATGTTTGCAACCAAACTAATGCCATTTGCTCATAATGTACTGATTATATATATATATATATATATATATATATATATATATATTTTAGTTCCGAGATTTTTTCATATCAGATAATTTGATAACGCTGCTTCAAGTAATGAAAATTAAATATAACAGAACAAAACCTTTGAAAAAATATGAATTTTAATATTATTCACTGTGAAATGTCCATAGCCAAGCACAATTTAAATAAAAACAACTTTAGATAATATTACAAACTGTTGCACAATTCTTACCATTTTTTTTTCTTGGGATGGCTGTTTTTACTCAACATAAAATTTTCACACACTCAGCTATTAGTCTTTTTCAAACAAAGTAGGCTAACGTCAAAATATGGAAAAGAAAATCGTCAAATTATTATAAAGATTTAATATTCAATATGCCATATTTCTACTCATTAAAAAAGATTTTTTAAAACTTAGGATAGATAAAAATATTAGAATACTTACAGTAATTTAAATCTTGAGATTGAAGATCACTCTCATCAGTCATCATTATCTCACTGGCCATGGGCACCGCCACACGAGGGCAAGGGGCGTCTGCCCTTCCTGGATTTGTGACGTTTGTTCACCATTCCTTTGACTACAGCCTGCACCGTTTTGACCCAGCCTACAGACTTGCCCCTCCCCCCATTAGATTTTTTTTGAACGGCGCTCATATCACTGGCCTTTGCTGTCAATTCTCACATACTGTCAGTAGTTGAATGATTGGTTAAGATTAATACAAATGAAGTTTGAGAATGTTTAAATGGAAAAACAAAACTAAAATAGCATGATATATATTTGTATACAACATATGTATAACATAATTAAATTTTTTTATAAATGACTAAACCCTAACAAATACAATATAAAGAATAAAAAATATTAGTAGGTAATTGTAATAGTTCAATTGATATGATTTTTTCGATCAACAATATAATGGCCGTAACTAATCTTTAGAAAAACAGGAATTATTGTAAAATTTGTGCTTACAATTATATACGCGATTTTAAAGGATTCCTTTCTTTTTACAAAAAAAAAAAATTATACTCGGATTACTGAATGGCTGGAGGAAATTTAACGGGCATTCTTATTTTGTTTGAAGTGGCGGATGGTTAATGGTTGGTTCTGTGTGTGTATTCTGTTTTGTTCTAAAATATGTTACTTTCGGACTCTTTAGACTCTAGAGCATACTTTAATGCGAATCCTTTGCATTATCACTCCGTCTGTTCGACAATCCGAGTATAATTAAAAAAATTTAAATCCTTTTTTATAAATTTCGTAATAAAAAAGTGCCAAAGTTTAAAAAGCCATCGCAAGAATAATTTCAACAAGGTAAACTTCATGTTCAATTTATACTTCAGGATGTTTCCTATTTTGCATATACATTTCTCCAAACAATTTCACGTTAACAAATTTTCCAAATATGAAACATTTTTAAACAATAAAAATAATCATTTAATTTCGAATTATTAAAGAAAAAATATATAATATAATCAAATTTTTTTGATATTACATACTTCATCGCCTTGAATAAAAATAATTTTTGAAACTTTTAAAATAAACAAAACTAAAAATTGACAAAAAAAATTTAAAAATCAATTTCCTACCAAAACAAATAAAACTTGATCACATCTCATAAGGCAATTTTTACAATAAATAACATTATCATTTTAAGCTAAACGCCTGAATATAGATTAATACATTATATTACTGATGACGTAATTTGACCCTTTTAATTATTATAGTTTTGAACTTTTATAAATATATTCAAATAGTAAGTAGATATGTCAATTTCAATGATAGAATGGTTTGTTTTTGTTAAAAGTCAACTGTCATTGAAACACAAAGTACGTCACACTAATTTAAGGTATTTTGCTTTAGAAATTATTAATAGTCGAGAAATAGAATAATAACTATACATTTTATCAGAAAACACCCTGCGTAGTGCGCTAGACAAAAAATTGCATCTAGCGTCTAACCGGTGCACTTCACAAATAATCATTAAACTAGGATAAAAATACATAAAAAACAGTTCGGAATGACATTATCTTCAAAAATAAATTTATGGAAATAAATTTAATCTCAAAAACAAATTTTGGGTGTCCCCACTCATTTAAGATGATTTGTGATGCGTACCAGGTAGAAGCTAGTTAAAAATTGCACATCAAAAATACGGTCCGTGTCCGTGAATGTTTTTGTATAATTTGGAGGAATGATTTTCGCCATTTCGTTATCGATATAATGCTGTTTCAAAAAAGGATGGAAATATTTCAAATGGCTGCTTCAATATTTTTTAAATGTAGAATATGCTCAACCTAGAATACAGGATATTGTACAACTGATCACATTTAACATATGTCTACAAGTGCAAAAGTAGTGGAGCAATTTAACATCCAATATATTTTAAATACCCACTGAACTCCTCAACAGTGGAACGCTACACGATCCTGTCAACCTAATCAAAAATGGCACAGCAATGCGATGCTTAGCTGCAATTCAAAGCACGCGCATTACGGAGTATTTGTAGAAATTTAATAGAAAATTACATATATGCGTCATTGGTTGTCTATATTAATTATCAGAACTGAATCGCCTCGCCCGCCCGCTTTTTACGTACTTGTTGAATTGAGAGTTAACAGTGATTTTGTAATTATTCCCGGCCTAAGTACATATTTGCTTTGATTATTTGTTTTTGTATTATTATTTGGACACTTCTGTTGTTTCTACATATTTCAATTATTGTAATAAGTTTCTTTAGTGTTTGGTGGTGAATCAGGTGTCAAAAACAATGCGTTGTATTGTTTTAATTCGTAAAACTCCTATTTTCGTTAAGCAGTGTCATGATTTATATTAGCTAGTGATGTAGCGATTTTGAAACTACCTCACATATCAAACTCTAGTCAGGATACAAGATACAAGCCAAATACAAGTGCTTTTTTGTGATTTCTGACAGGTTTAGGAGTTTAGGCTGATAAAATACCTAGCAATTTGGTTAGTTCAGCAGAGGTTTGTGAACAATTATCATATCTTCTTTTTCCATTCATGATGAATAATTTGAAATTTTCTCCTTCATTTTCAATCAACAGTTGTTCATTCTTCAACATGTTAACATAACAGTAGCCAAAACTTACAATTGATCCTGTAATTTTTATGTTCGATATCCTTTATTTCTATTATTTTTATATAGCCCTTTTAAAATTTTTAGCAGGTTTTGTAGTTGAACTTTTTAATTTAAGAAATATTTCAGTTTAGTGATGGGTCGCTTGGAAAAATCCGCAGACAAGTCCGATGAACTAGTCTGAAAAGTTGACGTATACAAACACACTTTTCAAAATTGGAAAAGTGTATAGCTCATTCATGAAATTGAATTAAATTGACTAAATTTCTTACAAAGGCAAGAAGAAATGTACGGTAGCTTAGGTGTCTACGGCACCGCATTCATTTGCGAGCCAATTTTGTGGTAAAAAAGACACGGGCTTCGAATCCTATAGAAGACTATGTGAATTTTATTTGCATGGTTCTCTATAAGATTTGATGGATGCAGTATTAGCAGAAATTTAATTTCTGTTGATATGACACCCAGATTATAAAAATCATCTTTAAGTCGTCGCGGAGCGCCACGGCAAATAATATTAACTGTCCCTTCCTCTACACAAGTTGCTCAGTTGGCTTCAGGGATTAAAAATTCACTCGTAAGGGAGTGAATTAAGAATATTATTATTATTATTATTATTATTATTATTATTATTATTATTATAAATACCACCCTAATGAGTTATTCTATATCTTCAAATAAAAAAGTTAAAAATTAAACAAATAGCTGTCGGTTTCTCCGATATACATTTGAACTACTGCAATTAATGAATTCAAAATTATTTGTATTTTTTTTTTCAGCAACTTGTACCTTGTACATCATCGTGCATCCATTTAAAATGCAATTTATCATCTGGTACATTTGACCTACCACCTGAATCGGCAGGTTTTATCTTTCAATACTTTTGAACTACTATCAAAATCAAAAATTTTGATCATCCTGTGACATTATAAAACGGTTTTTAATTAAATTTAATATTCAATACATTTAAACTTCCGATTTAATCAGCATTTCATTCATTTGAAATCTGGTATACTAAAACTACTGACTTAATTATTAATCATGTTGAAAAAAATATGTGCGATATATACGATGTCGCCGAAAACAATGTTCAGGGTATTAATACGAGGCAGCCATCTTAATACCCACTCCAGCATTTTACCATTCAATCTTTCAAAAACCTTCATCCATCCAAATAATATCAAAACGTATTTCTAAACACAGCACACGTACCAATAGAAAAATTAAAAAGAAACCTATTGTCGCTCTATCATTTCTTGACGAATGTCAGCGGTTCTTGTCGCTCCTTCTCCAAAATGTTTCTTGTGATATTGAACGCCTGAGTTTTCATGAAATCGACTTTCTTATACACGGTGTCTTCCTGGTGCTTCACGGGCGGCGTTTTTGTACTGTGACTCGAGAAACTGGCTGTCGAACCGTCGAGATCGAGGTCCAAGTACTGCATTTTGCCGGCCAGATGATGATAGACCTGTTCTTCGGTTTGTGTCAGAAGGCTGTCATGGGACCGACCCAAATTGGGGGGAACGGGGCTAGGAGCGGCGCGAATTTTTCGGTGGTCTTCTTCTGTGTTGAAGTGTTTTCGTTGGTGAGCCTCCTAATGTTAAAAAAAACTGTATGGGAGCTGGTACGGAACTTAAAAATTAGTCAGATCAAGTCGATAAATTACGGCAGAATAACCAATTAAATCAGAGAAAACACAAAAAAAGATCTGCGTTTCGCTCTTTCAAGACGTAGCTCAGGCTTTCGTAAAAGTTTGGTAAGAGGGCCTTGAATACATAATAAAATTTTAGCTATAATGTTACTGGCCAGATAGAAGAAGAAAATTCCACTCTTAAAGAAGTTGAAGCAAAGGTACCTCAGGGGATTGTCATGCCGACAGTTATTTACCATTTTTTTTAACCTGTCACTTGAATAAGCTTCAAACGAGTTTTCCTTTCCATTGTGAACTATAACCTGGTAAGTCAAAGAAGTAAATTATATAATCTCATTTATACGATATATGCAATTTAAAATAAATAAAACGCTGCTACAATAAATCAGATTCTTCAAAATAAATAATACAGTTCGCTTCATTTTTTGTTCCGGAACGATCCAATAATATTTATAAAGAGCTATTGAAATTAGTATGGACTTACAGCCAGTAAATATCACATAAATATAATACTATTTCAGAACAAATTAGTAGTATAGCGAAAGTAAAAGTTGGAAAGGCTTTTGGTAGGCAGAGAGGGGGTAAACTTCAAACCACGTCGGACGGCTTCGAGAATTTCGCAGTAATGTTTACCTGCCAGTGTCGTTTCATAGAATAAGTAATTTTAAATTGTTATCGGCGGAACCGAACAATCGCATGTATTTATGGACTATAAATAATTATTAAACATGTATTATAATATTCAAATCATAATTTTACAAAATTTCAACAGCTATTCACAATTTATTAAACTATTTACTCGAAATTGTTATTAACATCTATAAAATAATTTTTTACGCCAATGTATCGCGTCCACTTCGATGAGATCCGCCGCAAACCTGTCAATTTATGTGTATAAAGTGGGAGAACTGGGAACAACTTTTACTTCTGCTATAAACACAACTTGGTATGTAAGGAATTCTAACCTTTATGGAGATCTGAGAATGCCAACTGCCGAAAAGAGGAAACAAATTCCAAAAAAAAAAAGGAAAAGAAAAATGATGCATGCCCAGCTGAATATTGAAGTTACATAGCTCCTGGACAACAAATACCTAGCGAGAAGATTCAAAAGAAACAAACCATTTGAATTAGTAATGTGAAATTGTATGAAAGAACAGTGCGTGTGTTGGAAAATTAGAATAAAAGGTGGATTGGATGAACTCTTAATTTTAAACTTCTTAAGTTTACTTAATAGATTAAACAATCCTTAATAAACCAATTAAAATGAAAGACTATATTACTAACCTGGAGGGGAGTTGTTGGAGGTTTCAGTTTCCTGTCGACAGAGGGGGCATTGCGAGGAGAAGGTGGTTCGGGATTGGAAGATATCGAGTGCGAATCGGAGAGTTTTCTTCTTGGTTTGAGCTCCCTGTTCACCATGGGCGGCGGCATTAGTTGAGTGGCGCTCAAAGAAGGACTAGGTAAATTAGAATAGGCGGGAGCCGAGGAAGAGTGTGAATGGGCGGGGGAGGGAGGTTCTTCTTGGGATTCTTCTAAGTCGTACCTAAACACCTGAAAGGGAAACGATAATATATAGTCAATAATACTCTTACATACGGGTACAATACATAAACATTTATATGTTTAAGAAAAAGTAAGTTATTCATTACACAAATGTGGTATAATTCATAAATGAGAGGAGGGAAGTAAACTCAAAGTCGAAATATACATTTATTATGTAGGACGTAGGGCAACTAGGTTCGGCCAATGGCCATCAACGAGCCTAGAAAAAAAACAATACAAAAAAAAATAGTAGAGTGGACAAGCAAATAATAAGAAAAAATCAAACAGAATAAACAAGACATTTAGTAACAAAATTAATATCTAAAAATAAAAAAAGTTTAATAATTAGATTGAGTAAACAATTGACAAATTTTAAATAAGAGTTATAAAAATAGTTAAGTTAAAGAGTTATAAAAATAGTTAAGTTAAAGAGTTATAAAAATAGTTAAGTTATTAGTTTAAAAAAATGATTCTAGAGAATCGTAAATGCATTGACAATAATTAAAGTAACTAAATTACAATATAAATACTTACAAAAAACAATTAAGGATGAGGGATCTAGAAAATCGCCACTACATTCTTTAGGCAAAACATAATTGGGTTTTAAGTAAGTTAAATAGTGACATGCCATCGCCCATCGATGAAAGTGTCGTGTACAGTTTACTAGACATTTGCCCATTACACTGTGTAAAAGTGTTAAAAGAAAAAAAAGCTATCGATGTCACTTATTTCATGAAGTAGAAAAAAAGATCGAAGACTAAAAAAGTAGGCAGCCATGCCAAAAAATTTAACAATATCAAATTAATGCTACCAGCACATTAATTCAACAAATATTTTTTTTGCAAACTTTCAAAATGTCCTAACTTTATAATATGACAAATCTGATTCTGATTTTCCAGAAACTTGACTATTTTACATTTTAATCACAGTGTTTATAGCAAGTCAAAGAAAGTTTATAAAAAAAAATCAAGTTTTCACTAGAAGTACTTTGTATCTGAAAGATGTTTTTTATAACTGTCTAAAAAAAAATGTTTACTTACCGTTGTACTCGTGCCAGGCTTCGGAGAAATATCGTATCTAAAAATCGTTCCGTCAGGACAAGGAACAGGAGCGGCATTGTTGTAACAATGCCTTCGCTTTAACGTAGCCTCGCTCTCTATGTGATGCGACCTCGGGAAGTCGTACATGTCGTCTGTCAAGACTTTTGGCGGTTGCTGGGGCTCGGCGGGCTTCGAAGAGTCAGGTTCAGGTTCTCCTTTCCTCTCCGTTTTCGTAGAGGTAAGATTAAGGTAACATGGCAGAGAGGCTTTATGGGCGGGTTTCGGCGGCCTTGGCGGTGGTGCGCCGCTATTAGTTTTAGTAAATTTCTTAGTGACTATCAGATTTTCACCTTCGTCTGAACTGCCTTCTGATCGTCCTGTATGTTTTGAGGTATCTAAAAAAAATATCATCTTGTAAAACTAGTCGAAATATAATAAAGTGGGCGACAGCTGTAAAAATACTGAACTCATAGTCTGAGCTAATAAAACAAATTCGGCCAAGTGCAAGACGTACTTGCGCAATAGTGTTTCAAAGAAGATGTGGAATGGTGATGAATCAGTGGAGAAAATGGGAAAGAAGGACCTTCAAATGGTAGTAAAATAAGCCACCGCTACAAAAGGATTAGGGTGATAGCACACAAAGAGTAGAAACAAGAAATTCAATAAGCTTATAACTAGGAAAAAACAGGGAAATGAAAAGAAGGGTAAATAAATATCAGAAAGAGATTGAACATTCTGCCATATGAAGCGAAGCGTATGGACCTATTAATAAGATCAATATAGACTTCATGTCTGTCATAGTTGTCCATAAGAAACACAACACCTAATAATAGCAGATTAAACAATAATACTTTATAAACTAGTAATTTTTTTTTGTTTCTATCTAACTTCAAATTTACTCCCAAAGACATGGGACACATTACTATAAAATGAAAATTTATTTCAATCCATGAATTAAGCATTTTCGTATCCCTCACCCGATCAATGATGATTATTGTCCAGAAACGAATCTTACTTAAATCGGAAGAAGTATTGTGCGTCCAATCTTCATCATTGAACACGCTATCCGAATCTGTGGGACTTTGTAAGGGCGAATGGTTTTTTTCGTTGTCTATATCGTTTTTTGGAGCGTGTGGCGCCAACTTTCTGGGACAGTCATAGAATCTAGGATCTTCTTGGACGTTCAGACAATTCAAATAGTTCCTACTGGGCAGTTCGTAACTGTCGTTGGTGTGGTGTATTGTTTCCGATTTTATAAATGCGTTTTTCATGTTGTATTGCAGTAGAGTCTTGAAATCCTAGAAGAAAATGTAGAAATATCGTAAATGGTTTCATGGGAGAATCCAATGTTATCAAATAATATGAAGGGATTTAATCAGTTTTAAATAGAAGGTAAAAAACAAAGCGGTCATACAATAAACATTACTGGCCTGTATTATTTACCATTATTTTTAATATTTGAATTATACGTTTGTTTTTTTTTATAAACCATACATACACCATTTTATTTGATAATGAACTGGTACAAAATCAACTCAATTATGAATTATTCGAGAGACGATAAATTGGTGGTTCCCACTTTAACCGAGACTTATGGCTCCACTGTCAAACTCATAGCATAAAAGAAATAGAAAACGATTTGATTTTAAATGAAATATAATAAGATAGATAGATAGATACTTTATTGTTTTAAAATATAAAATTTTATAAACAAAGGCTAAGTTCTTATAGTACTAATAGGTATTTACACAATTTAAAAATAAAATAAGAATATAAAATTAGGTATTTACACAATTTAAAATTAAAATATAAAAATGTAATTAAAATAAAATAAAATTGGTAAATATTACAGTACACATAAAATTTTAGTTAAAATTATCATTATAAAATTCTTCAATAGAATAATAAGTTTTTTTTAGCATAATTTTTTTCACACTTCCATAGAATACTTTATAATTTGTAATTTTTCTTATTGCCAAGGGTAAATGATTAAACATTTTTCTTCCGTTGTATATAATAGAGTTCCTTATTAATGCGGATGATGGGATCGGTAGATAAAGGTAGTACGATTGCCTTGTATTGTATGTTGAAGTTATAATTATTTCTTCCTTAAACTTTTTATGAATAAGAGCTACCGTCTCTAATATAAACAGACTGGCTACTGTTAAAATTTTATATTTATAAAATAAGGGTTTACAAGAAGCATAATTATTAAGTTTACACATGTACCTCAGGGCCCGCTTTTGCATAATAAAGACTCTATTAAATAGCTCGTCAGAACATGTACCCCAGAAACAAATGCCATACCTCAAATGGGATTCTATCAGCGCAAAATATACGTTTCTTGCAGCCTGCAAACTTAAACTGTAGGTCACTGAACGTACTGCAAAACAACCCGACGCTAACTTTTTACATAATAAATTTATGTGACTTTCAAACTTTAGTCTATAATCAATAGATAATCCTAAAAATTTATTTTCATTTGTAACGTTAATAATTTCGGCTCCCATTGAAATATTTTCCATTTCACATTTAAAACAAACAATATTGGTTTTTGAAATATTAAATGTTAGATAATTAGCGTCACACCATTGTTTAATTAATTCAATGTCCCTGCTTATGATACGATGCAAGGTTTCATTATTGTTGCTGAGCCAAAGCACTGTCGAATCATCAGCAAAAATTGCAAATTGTCCCTGAATGTTAATAGTGACAATGTCATTAAAGTATATAAGGAAAAGTACTGGTCCCAGTACTGATCCATGCGGAACTCCGCAGTAAATATGTTCTGACATTGAGGATTGATCATTTAAAGTTACCTTTTGAATTCTATTATTTAAGTAGGATTGAAACCATTTTAAAGCAATTCCTCGAAAACCATATTTTTCAAGCTTGTCTAGCAGTATTTTGTGATTCACACAATCAAAAGCCTTGGTTAAATCACAAAACACTGCTGCAGCCACCCGATCGTCATTAATTTCAAGATATAGTTTTTGCAGGAGAGAGAACATAGCATCTGTAGTGTTTTTTGCTGATTGAAAGCCAAACTGAGAATGGGAAAGTAACGAGTGCTTATTTAAAAAATCCAACATTCTTGACTTCACCAATTTTTCTATTACTTTCGCTAAGGTTGGTAGTAAAGATATGGGACGGTAATTTGCTGGATTATTATGGTCTCCCCCTTTGTGCAATGGTATGATATTCGCAACCTTTAAAGTGTCACAAAATGTACCTTCAACAAATGAGTAATTAATTGCATCAGCTAGTGAACTTAATATTGTGTCTGAAAGTTGTAACAATACTTTGGCTGATATTCCTTCCCACCCAGAAGAATTTTTTTTGGTTATAGATTTTAAAACTTCCTTAATCTCTATGTAATGAGTGGGTATAAAATAAAAAGTGTCGGAAACATTAACGTTATTTAAGAATGATAAAGGGTCAATGAAAGATTTTATTTGTACAGCCAATTTTGGTCCAACAGAACAGTAAAATTGATTAATATCGTCTGGACTAAGATCAGTAATTACTGGTTTTAAATGTTTGCCCCTCAACTCATTAATGATTTTCCAGGTCTCTTTCTGTTTATTTCCTGAAATTGCAATTCTTCCTTCGAAATATAGTTTTTTAGCTAACTTTATTGTTCTTCTGTAAACTGACCGGTATTTATTAAAGTAATTTAAGAAACTTATATTGTCTGCTCCAACATATTTTTTGATCAAATGCAAGGAGCGTATATTTTTAGCTGATGTCTTAATTCCCTTTGTCATCCAACCTTTTCTGTTTTTATCTTTAAGTATTTTATGGGAAAAGCTTCATTGAATTTATTTATTAGAGCATTATGAAATTGCTCTATTGGGTTATCAGTTGATAAAAGTGTATTCCAGTTCACTTCCGAACAAATTTGTGAAAACTTATTATAGTTATGTGTACTATATATTCTACCTTGTCTATTTGAAGCTTTAAAGGAGATATCATGTAATATATGGCATAACACCAAGTCATGATCTGACAAACAATTTTTAATTACATTACACATTACCTGATTAGAAATAAAATTAGTACAAATATAATCTAATAAGCTCGTTTTTCTTGTGGGGTCTTTGACATGCATTTTTAAATTGAAACAACTCAATAGATTATTTAAAGTTTTCATGTTTGAGTTATTAGGCCCTAGGTAATCTATATTGAAGTCACCACTTAAAATTATGTTACTATTAGGTGCTATTTGAGAAATAATATTTTCTAGTCCACTAATAAATGACTGGACGTTCTGACTCGGCGATCTGTATGCAACAATTAAAAAAATATTTGATGTCTGACTCCAAGACATTGAAAATTCGAATTCTTTTTCTTTTATCAGATAATCATATTTACTAATATTAACAAATTTGTACTTTTCTTGGAAATTGTTTTTCACTAAAATTAATGTCCCTCCGTCAATAGCTTCAGTACGACAAAACAAAGACACTAAGGTATAATTTTGAATATGTATACATTCCTCAGACTTTAACCAATGTTCCGTCATCATAATAATTTCGGGGTCATCCAAAGTACTCAAAAACAACTCTAATTCCTCCACCTTGTTTCTAATTGATCGAACATAAAGTATCAGAGTAAACTTTGTTCCACCTGTGTTGCTTCTAAAAAAGAAGAATTAGAATTGTTTTCCAGACTTGTATCAATATTATTTTTATTACCCGTATTACTAGAGTTTCCATCAACAAGCACTGGCGTATTACCAGAGTTTTCATTTACAATCACTTGCGTGTTACTAGAATTTTCATCAACAATCACCTGTGTGTTAGGGTAACAAGGAGGTAAAGTGTCATTTGTTAAAATGAATATAAGATTCTTACTAGTATTTGTATAATTAGCTATTCCATTAACAATTTTAGAAGCAATGTCGTTTTGTTTTGATTTAAAACCTCGGTTTGTGTTTATATTTAAAAATGACATTTTACCCTCTGTGTACAAATTAAGTTTGGTAACAAATTGTAACAAATGTTTGTTAAACTTATTGATAATAATACTTTTCTTGTTATTTCTTGCCAGTATTGGGCTAGATAAGAATAGCACATTTGTATGACTACACATTTTTAATTTGGTTACAATATTTTTAAATTTTGGTATATTGTTCATTTCAAAATCGTTATGTCCTGCTATTATGATAACTAAATCCTTTAAATTAAATTCTTTTACCTTTTCTTCCAAGTTTTCTATTACATTATTGAAATTTCCTCCTGGCTTGATAAATGATTCTATTCTGTATTCTTCCAAGTTTAATAGTTTTCTGATTAAATTATTTAAGTTAAGACCCATTTCATCTCCTAAAATTAGAATTTTCCTTTGTTTTTGTTTTATGTTATGAGAACTGTTAATTTTACTACTCTTGATACTATTTATTAAATTCAGAGGTGACAAGGAAATAGATTTGTAACTTTGGACGTTTTCTCTTGATGGGTCCTCCTTTAGAGATTTTATTTCTTCCCTTAGCTCTTGCATTTGATTTTGATATGCTTCATTGTCAAGTTCAAGAGTTCTAATAGTAGATACCATATTTTTACTAACTTCACTAATTTCTTGTAAGTCATTTTCCAATTTCTTACTATATTTCCTATTTTCTAAAATGTTTTTTTCCAATTCATCATTTTTCTTCTTAAAATCATTTAATTCTATACTTAGACTAGTAATTCTATCATTCTTTTTTTTTAGTTCAAGTTCAATTTTTTTATCATTGTCAATTACATCTTCTTCAAATTCTATAGACCGTCTATTAATTCTGTTTAAGTAAGTGTTTTTTCATCAATTTCCTTTCTTAAGTCACATATTATGCTTTCCAGTTTTGCCTTGTTTTCATTATCATTTATTTGTTTATTTTGACACTCCACAGAACAATATATTTCAAATCCTCCCAATTTAACAACCTTCCTTCTTTCTAAGCAACTTGGGTGAAAAACATTGACACATATAATACAAATATAACTTGAAAAATCTTTTTTCCTGCAACATTTGTATTTGTCCATTGTTGGTAAATACGAACCTGTTTATTTATCTTTTAGAAGTCGAACAAAAAGTTCTGACTCCATTTTGAATATTTTTCTTCATATTAATATTTTTATTGGAACGCCACTGGTAAGGTAATAAGAATTATTAAGATTATTAATTTTCAGAATTGATTGGCATTACTTAGGCTAAACCACGTAAATGATTTTTACATTCTACCCCTGGTTTTTAAAAAAACATTACTTGTCGCCTATTGATTAGGGTTTACAAATTTCGCACAACAGGTGCAATGTAATGAGTGCAAAAATCTATTTTTTACAGGAGAGCCTTTTAAAAGGTTTGCTCATCATAAACTGAAAGGTATTGGAAGTCAAATGATTTAACATTGGTTTATTTATTATATTATATTAACGACATTGCTGCACCTGATGCAGAAGCAGATTATGCATAGTTTGTGACAAAAAAATCACAATATAATATTTTTGTATTAATGACATAGTTGCACCAGATGTGAAAATTTGTTAAAATATTTGGACCCCTTACCCCATTAAGTCTGTCAATGTAAAAATAGTTGGTCCCTTTAATCCTTAAGCTTGCCATCAAAATATTTGGTCTTTTTATCTGTTAAGCCTGCCCAAGTATATTGGGACCCTTTGCCCCTTAAGTCTGCCTATCTAAAAACAATTGGATCCTTTGTCACTTAAGCCTACACATGTAAAAATATGTGGTTCCTTTGCCTCTTAAGTATGTCCATGTACAAATATTTGGGCCTTTTGCCCTTTAAGCCTGCTCATTTAAAAATATTTGGACCTTTTACTCCTTAAGCCAGCCATGGTCCCTGTAGTCAGTCTAGTCCATATGCCTGCCCAGGTAAAAATATTTGGAACTTTTAACCCATACACATACCCATGTAATATTTGGCCTATTTATACCTTAAGTCTGTCCATGCAAAAATATTTAGTCCCTTAAGTCTCCTATATCAAAACATTTGGTTCCTTTACCACTTACGCCTATCTGTGTAAAATATTTGGGCCTTTACCTTTTACCCCTTAAGCTTGTTCATGTAAAAACATTTGAACCCTTTACCACTTAAGTATATCTAAGTAAAAATATTTGGACCCTTTAACCCTAAAGTTTATATAAGTAAAAATATTTGGTCCCTTTACACTGTTCGCCTAACCATGCAAAAACATTTGGCCCTTTCCCCTTAAGCTCCCATGTGAAAAACAGATCTCAAACCCTTAAGGGCCGAGCCCAATGTTGGGTTAAACGAAGATTAAAATGACATTTTTACATTAACAATGTCATTTTAATCTTCCTTTAGTAATTTAAACTAAGTTTAACACAACGGTGGAATCGGCTCTAGGATATGAAAAAATTATGACTTGACTCTTTATCTTTTGATCCTAATATAAAATTCAGGTACACGTTCCATTCTGAAGTTCGTTAAAGGTTGTGCAAAAAATATCATTAATTCATCATCATGTATTTTATTCACAAAAGATTCACATTTATTTCATATTAAAACTATTATTTTCATTTATTTTCACTTACAATAAAAAAACTACTCTAATAAAATATTTTATTAGACTTTCAAACATTTTTAAATAATTTGATACTTAAGAGTGGCAGCAATATAGAAAAAAAATATCACAGTTGGCAAACATGACCATCCATGAAGAGAAATCAGTAAGGCTGTAAGGGTGTTTGAGTGCATAAAATAAGTTCCAGAACTAAATGCATTTCATTTTAAAAACATTGACATTTAAAGCATTAAAGTTAAACCGAAAATTCTGAAGAAGAAATTATTTAAGAAAATCAAAAGTCGATCGGAGCTTTTGTTCGCATTATCGTGCTAGGCCTACATCCACATACAGACGATTTTTTTTGCATTTTTGGATTTCTATTGTTTGGAAATATGGAGAAGTTTTAAAAAGTGGGAGTAAAATTATAATTGTTTATCTACAGGAATACAATACTGTGGATCCATAGGTAGAAGGCCTCAGTAATTTAGCCATACACTTGAATATCAGATACAAACAATGTTGTCAGTTTACATTACTCATTATTGAATACTAACATGTTATCATAGAGAGTGGTTACATTCTTACACATCCACTTTCTGATAACAATGACTAATGTTTTTAATAACTGCACATGTATTTAACCCACACAAAGCAATAAATAAACGATCAAAAACAATGTTAATACATTATTTTGTTACGATTACTTAAAAATAATAGTAATTTACGTAATAAGTCCAAAAAAAAAAAACAGTTACCAGGCTTGTTGCGTACTTTATTTTTTCGGCAAATATAGCATGACAAATATCATTAAATGAAATCCTAATAAAAATAAGCCCAGAAACTTATAATTACTTTTATATCAATTTCAATGACTGGATAGCTCTCTCAACAAAAATTCTGTCATCTAAGCCATACCTTTAGTTCATAAAAACACCATTAAAGTGATGCCTAAAATAAATACACGAAACCAAAGTTGGGTTGAGATCAATATCAGAAGTTATTTTCAGAAAAAAATCCACTGCAGCGTTGAATAGCCTTATGGCTACTTTCAAATGAATCTGATAAAAAAAAATGTTAAAAATGTGTTTAACAGAAATCTATTTTCTAGAATAATCTCTTTATATTGAACCTATATCTTTATATCTATAATGAAACTACAAACCCTAGAATTAATATTGGACACTTCAGGGAGGGTGGAATATTCAGCCCTCTCATTTATTTGATTAAGGTATCAGAAACGAAACGAGGACATAATTTGAAGGAAAAATCGTATAGTTAACAGATGACCTTCGTGAATATTCAGACAAGAATACAAATATTTATAAAAATATGGAAGTTTATTGTTTAATTATTGTCGTACGAAACATATTAGATAGAAATTATTAAATAATAAATGGCGCTTCATTATAAATTTTTTTTGAGGGCTAGAAATGTTTTATATCTAGTATACAATAGAAAGACTTACCTTGGGATCAAAAATGGGGGATTTCCCAGTGATACATTCTGATATGGGTATATATGGACTAGTACTAACAGGCGAGATAGGTGGGGTTTCGTTAAAATTATTCATTAACGTTACCCTTCTGCTTTCATTAGGTTCTTCTGTAATCTCCACATCTGGGCAGGGCATTGGTATTTGTGCTGCAACAGTAAAACATTCTACACTAAACTTGTTATGTGCATAGATATTATCACAATAATAATTCACAAGCCTACTATCTTTTAAATAAATAGAAATTCATTTAAGGGAATATAATAGTTACTAGAAAGGCCCCTGATTATAGACAATTTTATATGGATCCATTCCAAATTTGTACATCTTAGAATATGACATGAATTAACTCCTACTAACTCAAAGTTCGTTTTTTAAAAAATTACTTTTATTACTTAATACAACAATTATACTTTTTATTACAACTTAACAATATGGAATCTAGCATCTGACTGACTACTCTAAAAGAGAATAAAAACGTCTAACAATAAAAAATGCAAAATAAGATAAAAATGAATATATCAGAACAAAGAGTTTTACAATGTCAGCATTCTTCTATAAGGGCCATGTATAGGAGTCGACATAATTCCTCCCCCCTGAGTTTCAACTTCTGAAGTTAGGATGAAGGAAGTTGAACAGCTGTCGGATCTATTGGAGACTGGGTCAATTTCTTATGTCTGCATATTTTGGGCATCAGTTTCTTGTATACGAAGAACATCACCAGGAATACAAGAGTCCCGTAAATTATTAAGGTCCAAAGACTGGGAACCATCAATACATTCTCAAATGATAACTTGGGTTGGTTATGAGTAATTTGTGACTTTATGGCTTGTAGATCATCTAGTTCAATATTTTCTAAGTGAAAATTAAAATTGCTTGAAGTGGATTGGATTGTGCTATTATCCAAATCTAGGATTAACACTGGTTGGCCAAAAGTTGTTGATGATTTCTGGTTACTTATAGTCCCCATATGTGTGGTTAATTGACATCCCTTTGGAATTTCTACTAAATAAGTCCCAGTGGTGAAATATTTCGTTTCTTCGTTTGATGGACATTTAAGATATGCTGTGTCTTGATAAGGCACAGTGTATATCCAATGATTAGAGTTGGCTAATTGCTTTAATAGTGGCTTTGATAGGCGAATTGACGTTTTTTCACAGGTGGAAGTAATTTTCATTTCCAACAATTGTATTTCACAGGGGCCGTCTTCTTCAATTTCAAGCAGATCAATTCTCGGGCAGACAAATTGCCGAGGGATTATTTCTGTACATGGATTGCTCGTGAAAGCGAATTTGGATTTGTTTTTAACCAAAAATTTCTTTCTAGGTATTATGACCTTAAACTGACTCTTTTCCCAAATAGGTACCGCGAATAAATGATATAAATTAAAATTTTCAGATTGAACGACAGGGATTTTTAAAATAAATGTTATTTTATTATTAAAAATAAAACAGTCAATTTTTATTAATTTTTCGAATAACAACACATTATTTAAATTAATTTCCAGAGGAAGTTCATTTTTGTTTAAGTATTTTTCTAATAATTTTAATTGATTATATAAATCGATTGTTTTGATTATACTAGGGTGCATAACTTGAATTTTAGCAAAGGAAATTGAATTTTCTATATCCTGTAGAATAGAATTAGTGATTTCAAAAATATTTATTATTTGTACAATACTGTCTTTAATGTAATTAAAACGAGAAAGGGTGATTTCTTCATTCATTAAGGATTCTATTATTTTAATTCGAGAAGTTAATATATGCTCATTATTTGTTATCTGTTGAATCGTTTTATTAAATTTTTCAATTAATGCAAATGACACCGAATTTTGTTCCTTAATATTTGTAGCTAAATTAATTTGATTATTTTGCAGTTCTTTGATAAGAGTTTCAAATCGTTCCCCATCATTGGCATCTAAATTACCTGTAATCGATTTGAAAATTGATCCTAGACCATTAATTATACCTCGTTTTTTCCTATTTTGAGATGGCAAATAAGGCATTCATTAATAAAAGTTTGTACTGATTCTTTAATATGTGGCCAATAATATTTTTCTTTTATTCTTAAAAACGTTTCGTCTATTCCTCGATGGTTTGACTTCCCCTCGTGATAATTTCGAATTATTGTTTTAATTTCATCTTTATCGGTTACATCTAATAATTTTTTATTACATTTCTTTAGTTTGATTGAAGGCCATTTAAAATATTTTTGGAGAGTTACTGAGAATGGTTCATAAATTTCTGGGTTTTCGAAGTAAATATGATATGGAATGCCAGGAGCTATATAATTTTTTACAAGATTTATCACGTCCTGTTCAAAATTATTTTTTGACAGTTGTGCCATTAATCGTTTTTTGGTTTCGAATAAAATAGTTAATTTTGGTTTTGCCGGTGAATGCAATACGGAACTTACTATAATTTGATTTTGACCTAAATTTAATGCACAATTTGAAATTGGAATTCCTACTACGGGATTTCGTTCAGCATTTGAGTGAATAGTATGGGAGTCATCGTCCTCAATGTCTAACCAGTCATCACTATTGTTAAGGTCAGGGTGTGCAATCATTGACATTTTATCTAACTCATTATTATCAGATGTTTCTGGATTAGTAAATATGTCTTGTATTATGCGGTTAGCGTTTGGATCGTCTGTCACGTTCTGTATAGTGTTATCAATTTCTTGAGAAATTAAATCGTCAAGTTCTTTTGTGTGAATTTCTATTCGAGATAAAGCGTCGGCGTTGGTATTTAGTTTCCCTTTTTTGTATATTATTTTATAATCATATTCGTCAAGTTTAATGCGCCAACGAAGTAATTTTGAATTTGGGTCTTTAAGCGAAAATAACCATTCTAATGGTTTATGGTCACAAATGACCGAAAATTTCCTACCATACAGGTACGGCCTGAAATATTTTGTGGCCCACACAATAGCTAAAAGCTCTTTTTCGATGGTAGAATAATTTTGTTCCGAATTGTTTAAAGTCCGGGACGCATATGCTACGGGTAGGTCATGTCCAATGGGTCCTTGTGATAGAACGGCGCCAAGTGCAACGTTACTGGCGTCGGTTGTCAAATTAAAGGGCTTCGAAAAGTCCGGATACTGTAATATGGGGTCATTAGTCAAAATACTTTTGCACGATTCGAAACATGATTTAAATTCGTCGTTATGTTCTATAGTTGCACCTTTTTTTAAACATTTTGTCAAGGGTTTTGTCAGTTTAGAAAAATTGTTAATGAAACGTCGGTAATATCCTAAAAGTCCCAAAAAACCTTTTATTTGTTTTGTGGTTTTTGGTATGGGGTAGTTTTTTATCGCCTTTATCTTGTCTGGGTTAGGTTTAACACCTGCTGGAGTCACTATATGACCCAAATAAGCTACTTCCTTTCGTAAAAACTCAGATTTATCCAACTGTACTTTAAAGTTGGCTTCTCTTAAACGATCAAACACACTTTTAAGCCTCTCAAGGTGCTCTTGGAGCGATGTTGAGAAAACAATGATATCATCAAGGTATACAAGACACTTTTCGTTTTGTATGCCCCTGAGGATTCCGTCCATTGCTCTTTGAAATGTCGCTGGGGCATTTTTAAGGCCAAATGGCATCCTTAAATACTCCCAGTGTCCATTTTCAGTGCTAAATGCCGCTTTTTCTATATCTTTTTCCGTCATTTCCAATTGATGGAACCCTGACGCTAAGTCTAGCGTCGAAAAATATTGACACTTACCCAATTTGTCCAACAAATCTGTAATGTTAGGCAAAGGGTACTTGTCATCGATTGTTTTTTCGTTGAGACGTCTATAATCTACAACGATACGAAATTTAGCTTTACCAGATGCATCAGATTTTTTTGGAATTACCCAAAGTGGGGCGTTCCAGGCGCTTGAGCTTGGGCGAATTATTTTATGGTCTAACATTTTATTAATTTGATTTTCAACTTCTTGTTTATATATATACGGATAGCGATATGTTTTAGCATAAACTGGAACTTCGTCTGTTGTACGAATTTCGTGTTTAACTTTATTAGTGAAGGTCAGTGGCGTGTCTTCCCTATAAAAAATATCAGAATATTCTGAACAGAGTTTTAATATTTTATTTTTTTCTTCGTCATTTAAATGATCGGTTCGAATTTTATTAAAATCTAAATTAGTAGAAAAAGTATCGTCGAAGTTATTAAGTTCAAATTTCTCTATCGGAACTTTATCGAATTTTTCAACAATAATTGGTTCTGATAGATCTAATGTTACCGGGTTTGTACTAATATTAAGAACTGTTGTAATGGCTTCACCATTTTTTGCAATAGATAAAGATTGGGGTATTTCACAATTAGGAAATTTTTGATACGGTATAACAATTTCACCATTTTTAATACTAGTTTTTATTTTTATAACTTGTTCAGAGCGAGGCGTTACTGTTATTAAATTAAGATCACCTTTAATTCGGTAATATTTTAATTCTATTCTAGCGTAAGGTGTAACTAAATATCCATTAGAAAAATCTACTATTGCTTCTAATAATTTTAAGTTGTCTAAACCAATTAAACCATTAAATATGTTATGGAATTTAAAAAGATAAAATTTTAAATTTAAATTATTTGGTAAGTTAAAAATATTTGAAGCGGGAATTAAAGTACTATATTTATGAGTTGATTCTTGGAAAACTGATTTAACAACAAATGGATCATTTTGTATAGTTTTGGAAAAATATTTATAAGCAATTTCAGGATCTATAAAAGATTTAGTAGAGCCTGAATCGATTAAAATTTTTAGATTATGTTCAGGAAATACAACATAACATAATTCACTTGAGCTATTTAAATTTAAGGATATAAGTTTTGGCGTTACCTTTTTTTGCTGATTTTGAGGCGTTAATTGAAAATTTATTTCGTCGTTTTCGACAGATACACCTTTAAAATTATTTTCGGAAAAATCACCTTGTGAACAGTTGTTTCCGGGAAATTGGTTTTCTTCAAACGGTAAATAATTTTGTTCGTCAACTTCAGCATTGAATAATTCCTCCGAATTAAATTTATTTTGAGAATAAGAATTATTTTGAAAATAGTTTCTGGATGAATTTGGTGCAAAATTACGCGTTGAGACACTCATAGGTGTTGTTTTATAGTTACTACTTGTATTTCTAGTAGAAACACTCATGGGCGTTGGATTTGGTAAATTTACGTTTCTATTAGGTTTAAAAACATTTTGATTTTGCTGAGGTTTTCCAAAAACTTGTGCGTTAGTGAAAAATCTTTGCGGTTGCCTTGGTTGTTGGGATTGAATTGGGACAGGTTGCGACGGAAAAGCAATTTGTCTGTTGGAAAAGTTATTCGACGTATTTGAATTAAAAGATGCTAAATTAGGGTTAAAATTTTGTCTTTGAATTTGTGGTGAAACAGATGGTCTATTTTGTTGAATTCGTACATTATTTAAATTATTTTTATTGCCGAAATTTTGGTAATAATGAACATTGTCTTCTTTTAGAACATATTGCAAAGCTTCACTTAATGAAGTAGGTTTCATACATCTAATTGTTGTCCCTAAAGGTTCCCTTAAACCAGTTAAAAAGGTATTTAAAGCTAAATCGTTATATAAATCGCGTTTTAATGCTTTAGATGCAAGGATGTGTTCGTGAGCATCAACATAACTGCACAAAAGATTTAGGATGTTTAAAACTCTATCATAAAATTGTTGTGGTTTTTCAGTAGCTCCTTGTTTCATCATAACAAGATCCCTATTTAAACAAGATTCATCTCTCTGATCTGCAAAGTTTCTAGTTAATACTGATTTTAAATCGTTCCAAGTTGAAACATTTTGTATATTTACTACTAATTTGGCATTGCCACTTAATTTTGAAATTAAACAATTTAACAGATAAACATTTTGAAAACAATTTGGCTGAGCAATATTATAAAAATTATCAATCAAAGATGAGCATACGGATAAATATCTATTTAATTCATTCGGGTTACCGTCAAAGTTGGGTACACAAGTTAAGTATTCTGGTTTAAAATCAGGCATTATTATTTCTAAATTATTTTCGAGATTCGAGTCAGTTGAAGGGTCTAAATATAAATTAGAAAGAATATTTGACAAATCGTCAATTACGGACATGTGAAATGTACTTACAATAAAAATATAACTTTGAGCATCCCTCTATAGAAATAAATCCAGGTCAGCAATTTTTGTCGTTCCCAGAAAATATCTCTGCAGAATTGAACTATTTGGGTTTCAATTCTCTCTTCCGCTTTAGATCCACTATTCTTGTCGGGTCTGCGATAGACTGGGTTTCCTGAAGTTCAAGGAGCCACTCCGGAACAATGTCACAAACGAAAGTCACTTAAGTTCGATATACGGTAAATCGTAGAAACGAAAATCGATATGTTCGATACAAATCAATCCCGATATCCTACTGACTGCGCCAATTAACTCCTACTAACTCAAAGTTCGTTTTTTAAAAAATTACTTTTATTACTTAATACAACAATTATACTTTTTATTACAACTTAACAATATGGAATCTAGCATCTGACTGACTACTCTAAAAGAGAATAAAAACGTCTAACAATAAAAAATGCAAAATAAGATAAAAATGAATATATCAGAACAAAGAGTTTTACAATGTCAGCATTCTTCTATAAGGGCCATGTATAGGAGTCGACATAATTCATGGTACATAAAACTCTTAAATATTGTTTGAAAGTTCTAAATTCATTAAAATGTGGAGTTATATTTTGTTAATGATCCAGTAAACTCTCCAAAACATATGAAAGATCAGTGTACTCTGACATACAGCATACTTATCTGGTATACCTAGAATTGTTCTTTTAACTTGATAAATCGATTCAACAAATATTTAATATGTCCCTTAACCCTTAGACATTTTCCAGATGCCTAGAAATTTGAAAGAAAATTTTGTTTAAAAAATATTTACAAGGTTGTTAAAATTGAGAAAGCAAGTCAGTTATTTAAACAATAATTCAAGATAAAATACAAATTGTGAAACTGAATGTGAAAAAAGGTTTCATGAGGTTTTTATTTCCAGTAAAATAAAGAAAATTTGTTAATTGAGAGGTTCTGTTTGTATTTTCAAGTAGTAAATAATAAGTTGAAAATTGGACACTTGATAAAGGATAACCAACAATCAAATATAACTTAAATAAAATTTGCTGGCAGTTTTATAATAAGCAGCACTGTACTGTTACAACTTAGTCCCATATCAATACATTTCTAAAATGTTTTAAACTTTAAAACTACCCCATATATTTTTATATGACAATATCAATCAATGTAGGAACCAAAATAAATGAAAGATGCTTAGGTTGGAGATGCTTTAATGTCATACAGTAAAGAATTGAATTTTTTAGTAGTAATTGTTATAAATCTTTGGTTGGGATTTCTTTAATAAAACTGACTTATTTGTGTTAATCACGAATTTCAAGACAGTGCATTCATGTATTTCCAAAATTGTTTTCAAATGGAAAATGCTATGGAGTTTTGTTTTTTTTTATTTTTGACTTTTAAATAGAGCAAATAAAATATATATTCCTAGAGATATCCATTGGATAGTCAAAAAAAAGATTATTTTAAAAATTGATACAACTTTAAGCCAAACCATGAGGTAAATTTAAAATACGACCAGACTGGGTTAAGCGTGCAGTGGATAAGAATGAATTGTTTTAAGACATTAGTAATCTTGGCTCCATTGGTAATAATTGGGGAATTTTTACATGAAAATGTAATTGTACTTTTTTAAAGATAGATTGTTAATAAATATTTAGTATTATTTAAAATAAATTAGGTGGGTCATGACCAAATGACCTTATGGAGCAGTGGTGCCTGATAACAAGCATGATAATACTGATGAGTCTCATCATCTTGTAAAGTCTTTTGGAGTAATATTTTGGATTGTTAAAGGTGACAGTCATTTTATAAATCACTAAATGATAATGCCATAGGTCTAATTTAACTAAAAATCTATAAAATATGAATAAAAAGTTATTTATCAATAAAGTTTCCTGGGCAAAAACCAAACTCTTCATGATTTAAAATTTTGTTAAGTATTCAATAGAAAATTATTTGATTATATGATTTACATACTGGTTGGTTTGTTTTGAATGTTTTTAGTTACCATTTTTGTACTGTTTAAATTCTTTATTCTGAAATATAAAACAATAAACTCTCTGATATCTTTCACAATTTACTTTATGTACATATTATTGGTTGTAATTACCTACTTATGTATTTAGTTTCAATAATAAATGAATATTTCATTAACATTTACAGGTTTTACAATTATTAAAAAAAATACATTTTCCATTTAGTAAGTATTTAAATTTTTTTAAATTCAGGGACAAATAAAATATTTTTTTATACATATAATTGTTGAATGAAATCTACATAAAGGTTAGATTGATCACTTATATTAAATGATCAATTGCTAATTGTTGTCAAGGTAAACTTTGTTATAACATTGTATAACAACAAAAGAATACTTATAATCCTATTCATTTCTGTAGATAGATGATAATTTATAAAACTAAATAAAATACCTGTTTATAATCTAGGTATTGCATGCTTACATTTATATACACTTACTAATCAGTAAAAAAATTTGTTGTTTTAATTACCTACTTAATAAAGTATTGTTAAATGGACAATTTTAAAAAGCTTTAAATCTTACCATCTTCCTCACTTGTGGACTTCAGGCCACAAACTTTGCAAATACAAGTCACCCAGGACCTCATTTCGTTCTCAGTGTCTGCAGCCAAATAATAAGTACGGGTTGGAGTTTTTATATCAAAAACATGATCAAACTTCAGTTTCCTTTCATCCAGCTTCAGCCCCAAATCGACCTGTTCACAGTGGTCCAAATTGATAACACCCTTAAGTTTCCTGCAGTTTCTGTCTGTGTAATAAGTTAAAATGTATTGACCAGGAAGTTCTCCAGAATGTGTCAACAAAAACCACCTCCTTCTCCATCTCTAAAATTATAAAATGTAAATAGACTCATTATCTAGACATATGAATCATTAATTTAAAGATAAACAATACAAACAAGGTGTGATAATTGAATGTTTTTTCACTTACAGCTCGCCATATTCTTTTGGTTGGTGGTGACTTTGTTAGCCAGCCTTCAAATACAACTTCTTGTGGATTCTTGGCCATCTTTTGCATAAATAAGTTCACGTATTGCCCTAGTTACCTTTTAATCATGGATTGATGACTAATATTAAATATTATCAGTTGTCAAAATGCTACTTTCCCTTTCCTTGGAGCCTTCACTAAAGTTTAAGGTCGCTCTTTGTAAATATCGCTTTAAGTGTTAGTGGCTAAAATATCGGAATCGACATACTGAAATCGTTTGTAATTTTAATTTATGTTCGTTTTCGTTTGGCTAGCTGCCACTTACAATTATTTAGTTTTAATCATTTTATTTTGTAAAAAAAACTATAAAACAGTTCGTTCGTTAGCTGGCAGTGTTGCCAACGTCACTCTGACTGTCAGACAAGTCTGACACCACCTGTGTCAACGCCAAACTTCACTAAAAAAGTGAAAACTGAAACTAATTAATGAATTGGCAACCAAATCATCGATTTACTTTCTAGTTAGTTAAAAATATAAATCCTATTTGTTTATAAGTTCAACAAAAGTCGCATTAGAAAGGACATATGGACAAATAGGTATGCAACACGTCATACACATCAGTGTAAAATTGGTTGTTAGGCAATCCAAATCACGTGACATATTTTGTAACAAAAACGGATCTACAATTTGAATTTTTTAGTTGAGTTTAGTTGAAAAATGGCAAATATTAATATTTATTAAGAATATATTAATATTTAATGTAATTTGCATTAATTTTTAACAGTCAAACGTTAAAGAAAGTCAGGTTGTTTTTGCCCATTCTTCTTGACAGAGGACGTTCGATTACCTCCATGGAGGAAGCATAGGATATGGATAGGATTCTCTCAAGAATTATTTACACTATCAAAAGAATAGACTAGTTTCTCAAATCTGTTTGTGGAATCCGCCGTTACCAAATGTCGATTTGTGACGTCACAGTAGAACCTCGTACGAATTTAAACAAAATAATTAACATAAGTTTTTAATTAATTTTAATTAAAAATCAAGGTGGTTGAACTCTTAATTAAATTTGTTACACTAGAGCAGTGATACTCAAAGTGTGTTCCGCGGAGCTCTGGGGCTCCGGAAAGCTTTTGTGGGGGCTCCTCTTGAGGACCTTTTTATTTAGAAGTCACTAAGAGGAAGGAGGATATAATTTCAACTTTTTTTGTGTTTAGGGCTCCTTCCAATATTTCGCTTTTCAAAAAGGTTCTGTCGCCAAAAAAGTTTGAGAAACACTGCACTAGAGCACGATAAATACATTTAAAATAAAATAATAAGTAGCAGAATCAAGCGGAGTTTTCATTTTATTTTTAATTTTAACATTCTTGTGTTACGATAGGAAAATCTTTGAAGCAGTTGATCGCTATACAGGGTCTCACTATTTCATAGGGACAGTATTGCTATTTCTTAAACCGTAACACACAGAAAGTTGGTTAAATTAGACAAAAGTTGCGCAGTTTTGTGCTCATTAAAAGTTCCAAGACACCTTTGATATAATAATAATAATAATAATACTCTCCCTAATTTACCCCTTTACGAGTGAATTTTAACCCCAAAAGCTGAGCTTGTATGGGCAAACGGACGGCTATTATTATTATTTGTCGTGTCGCTGCAAAACTTTCCTAAGGAATGTATTGCTCCAATCCAACCATCTTAAAAAGGTATCGCTTCTTAATTTTTAAACTTTTAAAAGAGTTCAGCTTCCCTGTCTAATTACAGAAATCAGTAAATAGGAAAATAATGCAAAGGTATATTTTTAAAATATATTTATATATTTACAATCGTATTATAATTACAATTAAATTTTAAAGATTACATTCCATTAAGCGCAGAACTATTATATACTTTTTGTTTTAATCAAATCAGTGATTTAAACAACCTATAAAAATTAATAATAATAAAAGCCTTTATTTGGTAAATACAAAATACAAAGGAATATAATAAAATATTTACCAAAAGGCAGAGTTAGGTATAGTCCTTGCAAGCAAAGATCAAGTCATCTCTTAATCTCAACCTGTTAAAATAAACTTATTTTCTACTATACAGGGTGTTAAAAAAAGTGTCACAAAATGAAATGGTGAATAGTATGACCCAAAATAAGCAGAAAAGTCTAAATAAATATATGACCGCAAATTAACGGTTTCGGAGATACGGACCATTTTGTGTTTATAACAATTTTTTATTATTATAAAAAAACAATGATATTTATAAACAATCAATAACAACATAGAGTTAAATGAGATGTTCAAAGTGCCCTCCCTCCATTTCAATGCATTACCATTTGCACGACCGTACATAAAATGCATGTCAGCTAATTCAATATTATAGTGTAAACAGGCATAACGAAAATTTATAAAATTATTCACCCACAACAAAATAATAACTGCAAATAGTATCTATGAAAAAACATCGGTAGACTCCGATAAGAAAAGCAAGTTTTTGAGAATGAAAAAAGATAATCAAAAAATGATACAAAACACTCCGTATCTCTGAAACCATTCATTTGCGGACATATGTTTATTAAGACTTTTCTGCATATTTTGGCCCATACCACCCCCCGTTTTATTTTATGACACTTTTTTTTAACACCCTGTATACATTAAATGTACAGTTTCAGATAAACGTGTTACTTTTACTGCTAAGGCATTTTAAACAATTTTAATTTACTAGACAGTAAAAGTGACTAACCAATCAGCCACAATAAAGTGATACAAAAAACGTTATTAAAGTAGCCCTTAGAAAATTTCACGTAATGTAATTCAGAGCCGCGCGTAGTTATTACGAACATGACTCGTATCTTTCTTTGTCGGCATTGGCTTACTTTAGAATCTCTTTTATCACTCTACGTGTTTTATGTAAAATAAAGTTTCCGATTTAAATTGGACCAATTTTATATTAGTGACTTGTTTATATCAAGGGTGGCTCCAGGCAGAATTTTCATGGGGAATGCATTGCCATTAGCCATTTTCTTTTTATCCTATTTTTTTAATAAAAAACTTTGTATTGTAAGAATTTTTAAATCTTGGTGGAAAGGCATGGGGCCCCCTCCTTGTAGCCGCCCTTGATTTACATATCACATAGTAATATAACAGAAACAATAACTATTCACTCATTACACTTTCAATTTGGATATTTAACATTTTGATTCACCCTTTCATGCATCCCTCTGCTCTCCCCACCCCCGAGGGATTCCGGAAGACTCCCCCCCCAATCAGGCTTGGGTCCAGCCAGCCACTGGCTCCCCTCAATCAGGCTTGGGGTCCAGTCTCGTCTGCTTTCCCTCCTTTTGGGGTTCGCATGGCGGCACTGAGACACAGATGGTCTGTTGTGCCACCATTTGGATGCACTATTCCTTCCCATTCATTTCTTACACATAATAATTCTTCACTACCTAGTATTACCCGAGAATAACCAAACGCCGAGAAGCGACAAAGACCCTTTCCCGCCGGGTCGGTTTTCGAATGCGCATGATCGAAAATATGGTATCTATTTGCATGTGGCCAACTAGATCAGCGCGACACCATATACGAAGGTGTCCTGTGATTTTAATCCGAGCGCAACAACTGTAGTCTCGACTATTTTGAATTATTTATTTCAGTTATTACTGTGATTTTTATTGTGTTTTCTGGATAATTTCGTAACAAAATGGTTGGATCTTATTATGTAGTTCATGAATGTGATTCCAAAAATGGCAGCGGAATGAGTCTTTTTGCAGTCAAAGGCATATAATTTTAAATGCAAAATAAAAAATGTACTCCCTTACTAAAAACATATTTAGAGTTGAGCAGTGTAAATTACAAATTTCCGCGCGATCGCGAGCCAATTTAGCTTGCGTGCAGTGTAATTATGGTGTCTTCAAGGTCACCGCAAATCGATCCCACAAACATCAAACGTTCCGACAAAGCTGTCGCTTCTCGGCGTATTGTTATTCTCGGGTATTACTAACTAACTAGGACATATCACCTCTCCCATAAATCCTTTTCTGGTAATTCGACTAAAGTAATTGTTCTACATGTCGTTTATGTACTCGCCCATCGTCTGTCTCTACATTATAATGTAGTATTCCTAGTGTTTCCTTAATTTTTCCAGACATCCCTTTTTCTACTTTATTTCCGTAATTTCCTATTTGTACCCGGTCTCCCATACTAAAACATCGTCGTTCTGCGTTCTGTTTAGGTGTACTCGGTTCTGTTGGCCTACCATTCATAAGATCTAGACGTGTTCTGATATTCCTGCCAAACATTAACTGCTACGCATTTTCTCCTGAATAGTTAGGGGCTTTTCGAATTTGCATTAATATTCTACTTAATTGAAAGAAGTATTACAAAAGTTAAAGAATGGAGAAAATTTGAACATATTAGGATACGTAAATAATATACATTACAAGACGACTGTATATTTCGAGGCTCAAGAGTGGTCATACTGACATTAATGCAAAAGGTATTAACTGAATTACACATAGGACATATGCGAATGACAGAAATGAAAGCATTGGCTCGTAGTTATTGCTATTGGAAACAACTAGATAAAGATATAGAAAAGATGGTGAGTGAATGTAGAGAATGCTGCCTTAAGCGAAACGGACCACACAAAACTGAACTCCATCCATGGGAATTACCGCAAGAACTTTGGCAACGAATTCATATCGACTTTGCGTGGCCCATGAATAATACGTATTTTTTTATTGTAGTAGATACATACACTAAGTGGATAGAGGCCATACCAACAAAAGTAACAACCTCTGAATGGACCATACAGCAATTAATGAAGCTTTTCACAATGTTTGGACTGCCGCTGACAGTGGTTTCGGATAATGGACCCCAATTTACCTCACATTGGTTCGAGTAATTTTTGACAACTAACGGAATTATGAAACATCAGCACCATATCACCATCACCCATCTACAAATGGACAGGCAGAACGCTTTGTACAAACTATTAAAAGAGGTCTAGGAGAGAAAGTTTCAGAACCTACAAGATTAAACTTACAACTAAGTAGAATATTAATGCAAATTCGAAAGGCCCCTAACTATTCAGGAGAAAATGCGTACCAGTTAATGTTTGGCAGGAATATCAGAACACGTCTAGATCTTATGAATGGTAGGCCAACAGAACCGAGCACACCTAAACAGAACGCAGAACGACGATGTTTTAGTATGGGAGACCGGGTACAAATAAGAAATTACAGAAATAAAGTAGAAAAATGGATGTTTGGAAAAATTAAGGAAAGGCTAGGAATACTACATTATAATATAGAGACAGACGATGGGCGAGTACATAAACAACATGTAGAATAAATACTTAAGCCGAATTACCAGAAAAGGATTTATGGGGGAGGTGATATGTCCTAGTTAGTTAGTAATACTAGGTAGTGGAGAATTATTATGTGTATGTCATGTTTTTGTCATATAATTATTATTTGTCAGTTGATATAAAAATAAAGAGTTTGGCAGAGATAATTTGTACATAACAATGTCGTCGATGGTTAACCGCTAGTCGGCTAAGTCTAGCGGTCAGCCATCCAAGACGTGACCGGAGACGTAACTCCTAACTGCGAGAACGTGAATGACTAGTCACGCGGCTAGCCTCTCCGGTGTTTAACATTACATTAGTATAGCCAAATCTTTAAGATATATACATGATGATCAAAAATTGACATTTAAAAATTATAGAAGTTATAATATATAAGTATTAAAAAGGTTTACTTTTTATTCGTTACATAAAAGGTTTCCATATTGTTGGACAATTTTTAAAACACACTGTATAAAACATCGAAGAAAAAAATTATATATGTTCAATATGACAATGCTAGAGGGGCGCAGTAATTCTGTTACTTTTTCGCCAGGACAAACATGAAATATACAGAGTAAAAGAAAGTCTGCTTAATTTTTTCGAAGAAAACTGTCCAAATAAGAAAGGTCGTCGGCCATATATAAGGAACTGTTTATCGAACAGATCTAACATTTTTTTTAACAATAGTGGTGTTAGAAATGACCTGAAATTATTTTGAAATTTCTAGGTTTGCCGCTATGGGGAGTAATTCTTATGCGTATGATAAAACTCCATTTTTTTTTTAAATTCCAAATTAAATTATGTTGAAATTTTACTCTATTTTGACTGCCCACTCATTTATCTGTTCATTATTGATTAACATATTGCAGCTTCTAGTGGCTTTAGCTAGAAACTTGAAAATAATTTCCAGCGATTTCTCTTGGCCACTTTTATCGTGAAAAATGTTTACCCGAAATTCTACGAGGCATAGTTTGCGAGAAACAGGCTATATCATAATACTACAGTCGTAGACAGTTTATCTTTTCCAAGGATACTTGACAGAAGTTAAGGTCTATCCACATTAGCCGGACAAGGCACGGTCCGGTAACGATCAAATCTATTTGAAAACATTCACTCTATCGGGTCATGTCATCGTCATATTCGATCAGTTTTTCCAACGTACAGCAGGCAATTGTGCATGAGTGGTTTTTTAGAGTATTTTTGCTTGTGACATCGCGATCCGCGATCTTAAAAAATGTTTTCCACTTCATTAATTAAAATCGCAATTATTTTGGATGCGGCAGAACAGCAAAAATATATAAAAAATAAAAGAAAAAGAAGATTTTGGGTACATCCAATTTGAAAATAAAAAAAAATCGAAGGCGAATTTTTTAGTTGCATGAAAAACTTATGGATGATGAAACAAAATTTTTTGTTTATTATTGAATGAAAATTGAAGAATTTCAAAACATATTTTTGACAATTAAAGTAATCACTCTATCCTTTTCGATACTGCCGACAGCCCGCTTTTTTGTCTGGCTTGGTTGGTCGTTGCGAGCGTCAATGAACAGTTACGGTCCAGTCAAATATTGCTGGAAATGATCGGCCCGTGACTTGACCGTGGCTTGCTTGTTCGATGACCGGCATGTGTGAACAGTTTAAAAGAAATCTCATTTAAAAGCATTAAAATTATGACCAAATAATTTTTGATCGGACCGTGACTTGATCGTGGCTTGACCTATAGTAAGAATAGACCTTTAGTATCCTTCATCTTTTCTTATTTGGTCATGTTGATTATTTTTTGTCATTTGCATTGTTGCCAGATTGACCGCTTTTCCGATAATAGTGGTTTTTCAACGTTATCACTTAAAGTTGAAAGACCAAAGTTACCACTATTATCGGAATGTTTTTTAATTTCATGTAATAATAAAACAGGAATCGGTATGCAGTGGCGGCATGTAGCCAAAATATTGGGAGTTCATAATGGCAGAATATAGACCTCAGTACAGATTTAGGTAAAAAACTTTCAGTGTTTTAGAAAGGTATATATAAACACTGAAAGTTTTTTACCCAAATCTGTATTCTGTCATTGTAAACCCACATCCCAAAATTTGTAAATTTTTGAGGAACGATCGAGAAAATTAAGAATTTCTAGACTTTTTTGACTTTGTGTATTTAATACAATGTCCATTTAAAACAACATTTTCTCACTGATCGACAGCAAAATGCTCATTTTGTAGACATATAAAGCAACACAAATGATTGGAGTAATGGCAAAAGTAAGATTTTTAATTAATCAATAGGTACTTAAAAAATAATAACAATTTGCAAAATATTTTTACAATCAGCGAGAAAATTACAAAATGTTCAACGGTGCAACATATTAGATTAACGGCCTTAGCTGCCTTCCTAGCCTTTGTCTCAATTTTTACTTTCCTATCTGTATATTAATTTCAAAATTAATAATATATTTAAGACAAAATTTTGTAAGTGAAGTTTTTGTTCCGTATTTTTAGTTTTGTTAATTGTTTACAATATATGTAACTTTTTTGTACGTAATATAATACTCGTCGAACTATTGTATCCCACTCCCCATTCCAACTTCTACCTTAATAAAAAAAATCCATAACCTATAAGAGTGAAATTTTTTTTTAACCATTTGCCTTTGATAAATATTTTCAGGCAATATTCAACCGAAGGGTAAAGTATCTGCTATTAGAAAGAATATACTACAATAATTTTTTTATAATAATAATTTATTTATTAAAAAATATATAGTTATAAAAATACAAATGATAGCTTAAAATTATGAGAAAATGAATAAATAAAAGTAGGTTAGTACAATTTTACAATAATTATTTAAAAATATTTATCTACAACCACCCCAGTAAATCGCCTATTATGTACCGTTTTGTTTATAAGTAAATACATCATTACAGATACTGTTACGTAATGAAATTCAAAACTATTACGTAATATATATATATATATATATATATATATATATATATATATATATATTACATAACAGTTTCATTTATCAAACTACCCCTATTAGTCCGTTGCTAGGTGATCGCCATGGTTACGATTAATAAGTTTTGACATTTCAGAAATATAAAATCGCCATTTTTGTAGTTACAGCATTATTTTTTTAAATGAATATGATTTCGTCAGATAGCGAAAATGAATTTCAAGAAACTCCACCTGAAATTCTTGAAAAAGCTACCAATACCACTGAAAAATTACTGCCAACAAAATCAAGAACAAGGTATGAAATAGTATACCAAAAGTTTATGGACTGGCGTATAAAAAACAAGATTAATTCATTTTCTGAAAATGTGCTTTTGGCATATTTTGGGGACCTAATGGAACAATTTAAACCTTCATCAATATGGGCAATATATTCCATGTTAAGGACCGTCATTTCCATAAAAAAACAACGTGAATATTGAAACATACCCAAAATTAAAGGCATTCCTAAAAAGGCAATCGGAAGGTTTTAAAAGCAAAAAATCAAAAATTTTTTCTTCTGATGAAATAAGTAAATTTTTAAATGAAGCTCCTGATTCACAATACTTATTAACAAAGGTTTGTATCTAAAGCAATTTTCCTTCAGTTAATTTAGTATTGGCTAGTGATTTTACTTTTCAATATTTTATTTAAGGTGATTCTAATTATTGGAGTTTGTGGCGCATGTAGGAAACAAGAATTAAAAAATTTACAAATCAAGGATATAAGAGATGTTGGTGACATACTGATTATTGAAATACCTGATTCAAAAACTAAGATAAGCAGGTCTTTTGTGATTAACAGAACCTTTTATCAAATATGCAAACAATATATGCAACATCGCCAGCAAGTGCAAAATCTTGATACAAATCAATTTTTCATAAACTATCAAAAAGGAAAATGCACCAAACAAGTGGTCGGTATAAATAAAATTGGAAATGTACCCAAACAAATAGCACAATATTTAAACTTGCCCAATCCCAATTTATACACCGGCCATTGTTTAAGAAGAACTTCTGCCACAATTTTAATTGATGCAGGTGGTGATTTATTCGCATTAAAAAGGCATGGAGGCTGGAAATCCTCAACGACTGCTGAAGGATATGTTGATAATTCATTAAATAATAAAACTTTAACGGCTCATAAAATTATCCAGTCAATTGAAAAAACAGATTTTCCACCTAGCACATCAGAAATAAGTGAGAATATTTCTACTTATAATATCCTTCAAACCATAAATAACAGCAATCAAATAGAGTCTAATTCCTCTGCACCATCTACATCATCTCTTTCAGTGCCATCTACTTCTTATAAAATACCTCAAAATACTAACGAACCCATAATTATTCAAAATTGCCAAAATTTTACCGTTAATTATTATTCTAAGATCAATGATATGTTAATGAATTATTGTATTTAATAAATGTTATAGATTATGAAAGCTTTTTTATTATGAATGTATGAATGTGGTTGTAGATAAAGTATAGTACATAACTCGAGTTGTAAGAGCAATTACATGCTCGTAGAATTACTACACTCGCCGCTAACGCGGCTCGTGTGCAACTTTTCTACTCGCATGTAATTAGCTTCTTACTACTCTTGTTATGTAATATACTATAGTGTTATAAAGATAGTATACGCTTGAAAAGTTCTTTCAGGATTCATTTAATTAAATTGTATTTCATTTGTATATAAAAGGTTTTTATATATTTTTCTTTTACCTTAAATATTCTATATTTATATTTTCTTAGTATTAGTGGGGACTCGTGACCTACATATTTGGAATTCACAATGACAGAATATCGTTCTCAGTACAGATGTAGGTAAAAAAACTTGGTGTTTTAGAAAGGTATATATAGAAAGGTATAATATACCTAAGACACTGAAAGTGTTTTACCTACATCTGTACTGAGATCTATATTCTATCATTGTGAAGCCCTAATACTTTGCACACAAGCCGCCACTGCTTAATATCTGATACAAGCATTTTGAATTAAATGGGTGGATGGCATCAGACAATCACATCTATTTACCACAGAAAGTTTAAACTTGGTAATTTTCATGAGTATTATAGATATCTATTTTAGGGCCGATTCCACCGTTGTGTTAAACGGAGATTAAAATGACATTGTTAATGTAAAAATGTCATTTGAAACTTCGTTTAACACAACGGTGGAATCGGTCCTTAGTGCGTTAAGTAAATTTAATAATGGCGTCCAAAATAAGTTAATCCGATTGTAGTAAAAGTGAAGAAATATTGAATGGAAATAGTAGGGAAAGTTTAATTAAATTTTCATATAATACGGTACTGTGTTCAGCATTTTTATTATATTCTAAGACTAAATGGACAAAAAATCAAAAATTCCAATTGTATACAGGGTGTTAGTATATTCGACATAAAACACAACCCCAAAGAGCTCTCGTTAATTGATGAATTTTAATATAGGAACGTAAACCCTTAAAGTTCTTACTTACCGAGATACAGGGTGTTAAAAGTTTTAAATGAAAATTCAAAATGTTACTATAAATCAAAGTCTTTAAATATTTTTTTTTCATTTTCATTTTGAAATGTATGCTTTATTGTTATTAAAAACTCGTACATCGAAAATATTAAAGGTATATATTCATGAACATTATTCTACATACCCTTCTTACCCACTATCCGATCTCCTATCGTAGACATACATAGATTTCGCATTCTAATGTTTTAATAAACTTCTGAATATGTTTAGCAAAATTATATTGTAAACTTCACTGCAATTCTGAGGCTGGCTCAGCTCATTCTGATTTTTTTCTGATTATGTATAATTAGTAAACTTGAAATTTGTAGAAACTGTAACCTAGCCTTTAGGCATTTTGGGTAAATTAACAAATATAAATAAATTAATAAATACATAACCATCTAATGGTCTCCAATCCACCAGTTTTCGCTCCATATATTGGATATCTTATCCACTTACTTGGAATTTTCGGAAATTTCATCCACCTTATCCTAATTTTTTCTGACCTAGCAAGATCTACCATTACTCCTTCCTTAAGTTTCGAGGGTCTGTCCTTTTAAGCACTGCAGATACAGAGCTGGGCCCGCTTTTAACCCCCCCCCCCCCGGATGATCTTCGATGGAGACAATACACGTATATCCACAAAACCAGGTTAACTAGCGGTTACGAGCATTTTAAATTCATATTTAGTTGGTCATTTTCATCTTTTCTACTCTTGTAGATCTTGCACCTCATTTTTTTTTTGAAATTTACTTTTGTAATTCCATAATATAAATCCAATTTAGTGATTTATACAAATTGTCAGTAAAGGGACTAGGATAGTTCTAGCACAATCCTTATGTAAATTAATAAGAGAAATCGCTAAGGTTCATTCTGCCAATTTTTGTCCATATCAAGGTCACTCGTCTTGACGTCACCAACCAAATGTTGCCAACCTGACCTAACTTAACCAGAACTGATCCCGAAACTATTCCCGAACTGATCCGGAACCGTTTTAGATCTGATCCGGAACACTTTTAGAACTGATCCGGATCAGTTCGGGAACAGTACCGGATTAGTTCGAGATCAGTTCCAGAACAGTACGTTATCAGTTCTGATTAGGTCAGGTTAGCAACAGTTGGCTGGTGACGTCAAGTCGAGTGACCTTGATACTGACAAAAATTGGTAGAATGATTGTGCTAGAACTCTACTAGCCCCTTTACTATTGTCAACTATTTAATTGTAATGACTCTTATATTGTTCCTACTAAAATTGAAGAATTTATTGTATTACAGGTCTCATAATTGACGTGGTATTGATTTTGAGGTTTTATTCTTTGAGTAAGCTGACCACATTTGAGATATGGATAATTTATTATTCGTGGTATATTTTAAATTTAACACAAGGCCATTTCAAACTAAACAAGATCCAAGCTATTTTTTCTATTTTTAATTTCAAAATTAAAGCAACTCAAATTGTTTGTAATACCTATATCAATTTCCACGGATTGACTGATAAAGAACATACTGAATATTTTTGTTAATTTTTAACTAAGGGTTTTACCAAAGTGAACTTTTAAATGCGCCTCTAAATTGCATTTATGACGATATTGTTTCGAGCATATTTCACATTTAAATGGTTTTTCTCCAGTGTGAATCCTTAAGTGCGTTTTTAAATTGCTGCGAAGATTAAACTGTTTCAAACATATTTCACAATTAAACGGTTTTTCGCCAGTGTGAATTTTTAGGTGCCTTGTCAAAATGGATTTACTTCTAAATGGTAACGAACATATTTCACACTTGAATGGTTTTTCTTCTGAATGAATTCTTAAATGCATTTTAAAAATATTTTTTCGAATAAACTGTTTCGAACATATGTCACACTTGAACGGTTTATTTGCAGTATGAATTTTTAAGTGTCTTTTCAAATTGCTGGACTGAATAAACTGTTTCAAACATATTTCACAAATAAATGGTTTTTCGCCAGTGTGAATTTTTAAGTGCGTTTTCAAATTGAATTTACTTCTAAACGGTAACGAACATATTTCACACTTGAATAGTTTGCTTTCAGAATGAATTTTTAAGTGCTGTTTAAAAGTACCTTTATTGATAAATTGTTTCAAACATATGGCACACTTAAACGGTTCTTCTCCTGTATGATTTCTTAAATGCGATGTCAAATTGGATTTATGCCTAAAGTGTAAATAACATATTTCACATTTAAACTGTTTCTCCCCAGTGTGAATTCTCGAGTGCGTTTTCAAAGTACCACGACGATTAAACTGTTTCAAACATATTTCACACTTGAACGGTTTTTCTTCAGTGTGAATTCTTATTTCACACTTAATGGGGTTTTCTTCAGTATGATTTCTAAAGTGTTTTTTCAAAATATATTTTTCACTAAATGATTTCGAACATATTTCACACTTGAATGGTTTATTCCCAGAATGAATTTTTAGGTGCTTTTTAAAAGCACCTTTATTGATAAACTGTTTCGAACATATGTCACACTTGAACGGTTCTGCTCCTGAATGATATTTTAAGTGTGATGTCAAATTAGATTTATAACGATATTCTTTTGAACATATTCCACATTTAAATGGTTTTTCTCCAGTGTGAATTTTTAAGTGTGATTCTAAAGTACATTTATAAGAAAACTTTTTCAAACATATTTCACATTTAAACGGTTTTTCTTCAGTGTGATTTTTGAAATGTGTTCTCAAATTGGATTTATCACTAAACGATTTAAAACATATTTCACACTTGAATGGTTTGTCTCCAAAATGAATTCTTAAGTGCTTTTTGTAAACATCTTTACGAATAAATTGTTTTAAACATATGTCACACTGGAACGGTTTATCTCCAGTGTGAATTTTTAAGTGTGTTTTTAAATTGGATTTATTTCTAAACGATTTCGAACATATTTCACAATGGAATGATTTGCCTCCGAAATGAATTCTTAAGTGCCTTTTTAAAACATCCTTATGGATAAATTGTTTCATACATATGTCACACTTGAAGGGTTTGTTTCCTGTGCGAATTTTTAAGTGTGTTCTCAAATTGGATATATGACGAAATTCTTTCGGACATATTTCACACCTAAATGGTTTTTCTCCAGAGCGAATATTTAAGTACATTTTTAAATTGTGTTTATGGTTAAAATTTGAACATATTTTAGACTTTGACGGTATCTCTTTAGTGTGTATTTTCAGATGATTATTTAAATTTTTATTGGTTAGGAACCTTTTAAAACAAACTTCACATTGAAACAGTTTTTCATTAGGATAGAGCTTAATGTTAGCTGCAGGTTGAGGTCTGAAGATATAATGTAAACAATTTTTACACCTACAATGATCAGTTTTTCCAAATTTTCGCTTACAAATTTTTGTTACATTCTTAACATAATGAATAACAACAAAATGAGACAGAAACTGGGAATTGTTAAGGAAAAATTGGCCGCAATAGAAACAAGTTTTATAACATCTACCAAATTGAGCGTTGAGTTTTTTTCTAGAGGGCTTGAAAGCTAAAACGAAAAGTATATTAATTTTAATACCATTATACATTAGCGTTTGATTAATATATTTTTAATCAAAATGGTAGCTCTTAAACTTAAATGGAAAATTAAAACGCTTAATGCAATTTAAGTCTTAAAAGACCTAAAAATTACATTTATACAGAATAATTTTGAATTGTCCTACATTCGCCACGTGCCGTTTTGCTACGGGAATAAAGTTTCGTCACTCATAATTGACATATTTTCTAACAAGTGCTGCTGTTTTGCCATGAATGATATTTGCTCACCCGCCTAAATTGCAAAATGGCCTTTTACCTTTGACAATGTAAGTAAAAAAAACATTTATTTAAATGACATTTATACAAATAAAAAATCTAATTTAATTTGAAAATATGTTTAGGCTTATTTATGCACTCAGAAATATCAATTTCACTATTTACAAGTTTATCTAAAGTGCTTTTAATGATAAAATCAATAAAATATTATGTTTTGATCTCTCTTTTAAAGTTACATTAAAATTTACCTGATTAATAATCAGTAGCGTAACTAGAATTTGTTGGTCCCAACACAAAATACATATGGAGTCCCCCTTTCAGTTACAAATCACAAATACTGAATAAAAATAAAACAAAGAGCTCTATTTTTTATTCATTATGACATATAGATCTGAAGATTTTCTGACTAAAAATAAGCGAATTAAACGAACCTTACTTGAATAAAATATTACTCGTTTCCGAAAAACAGGGTGTTAAAGTTGAAAATTAAAACAGTGTTATTATCTATACTTAATTTTTTTATTTCTCAGTATAGTTTTATTAAATATACCTATTATCAGCAAAAAAATCAGTTAAATAAACTTTACCGATGGTGAATGGCATGGGTAAGTAACACCTTCATCCCTTCTAAATTTTACGCTAGTGTTCAAAAACATATTTGGGCTACAAATTTAAATTTTTTGATAGTTTTTTAATTATATAAACTTATTGGGAACTTATAATAGTGATTGGTTTTTGAGTTCGTCGCTCTCAAAAGTTGATATTCTTTATTTTAAAATTTTGGATTTTTTTTATTCTTTATTTAAGTAACATGAAAAATATAAAATTATAGTAAAAATAAGGTTTTGGACAGTGGCGTGAAATCTTATGACATCAAAAATGTTTGTTCAATTTAGTAAAATTATACTGAGAAATAAAAAATTTATATTAATAATTTTTAAATTTTCAGATTTAACCTCCCTATTTTGGAAACGAGTAACCTTTTATGCAAGCATGATTCGTTTAATCAGAGAATCTTAAGTTATTCTATGTCCCATTCTTAATAAGATATTTCTTTCCATCATAGAAAAAGTATGTTAAAAACATATTATTTGATGCTTTAAAAAATATAGTAGCAAATGCATTTGACTTTAAAACAAGACGTACAGTAGAAGAAAATTGGAAGCTACGTGAATGGGGATGATACTGCTGGCTACATCCTCATCACAAGTGCCAGTTCTTAGACTGGCCACAGCTCGAATTTTTGGGTTTAAAACGCTGCGTCAATAAAAAAACTGCGAACTTTTGTATACGTGTATAATGCTAACATGAATATGAACAAATTAACAATTATTGTATCAACAAACTATTTTTTCTGTTAACTAATAAAGGGTTTTAATTTCAATAATTTCAAAAAACGAACGACGACTGAAAGTGTACAATTCGATAGTTACAGACGCGTTACACCAGAAAGCAGCATTTAACGAGGTCTTTTAGCCACTAATTTCGGCGAATTTAAAAAAATCATTAGCAAGAGATTAAGAGATTAAATTTGGGGATTATATTAAGAATAGTGCTGTTGAGGAATGCATTTAAATTCGTTATATTTCAAAATTTAAAGCCCTTTGTTTTTTTTTATTGAAAATGGAAGGAATTAAAACTTTAAAATATATGCATATTCTAGATATTGCCTAATTTGTTTTGCCAAAATTTATTTATTTTTTTTTAATTACTTTTTGAGATATGCTTGTCCGAAAATTATAAGGGGTGCTGTAAACACCTTAATAAAGATACATCAATTCTTTACAAACTTACAATCTGACGAGAATTTTGAAAAAAAATTTGTAGTCGGCCCAATATTTAGCAGTCAGTTCAGATTATGATCAGGTCGCGAAAAAAGAGATTGTTTAAATATGAAAGAGAGGATGAGATATGAGAACTTTTTTTATTCTACATCAGACTTAAAAATCAATTAAAGACGAGTTTAAAGAGCTTAAACAATGTAATCAAATATTTGGATTCTCATACAAAGATGAGAATGCAATAATTGTAAATATTTTGAAATTAAATTAACAAACCAAGATAACACATACTTGTGCCTGATTTGTTCAATGAAATTAAAAGTTTTAAAACTATTATTTTAAGCGTAATTTTTAAATAATATGCACGTACAAAGAGCTTAAACAATATAATGAAATATTCTGATTCTCATACATAGATGAGGATGCAATAATTGTAAATATTTTGAACTTAAATTGACAAAACCAAGATAACACATACTTGTGCCTGATTTGCAATTTTATTTAAAAACTTACTTATAAGTACCTTGCCAAATATTTTAATAGCCAAAATGCTAGGCGGGCCCTCACTTGGACGTTTCTTCCTCTGCGTGAATTTTTAAGTGGGTTCCTAAATTACATTTTTGGCGAAATTCTTTCACACATATTTTACATTTAAATGGTTTTTCTTCAGTGTGAATTCTTAAGTGCGATTTTAAAATGCTTTTATAGAGAAACATTTTCGAACATATGCCACATTTAAACGGTTTTTCTTTAGTGTGAATTCTTAAGTGTTGTTTCAAATTGCTTTTATCATTAAACGATTTCGAACAAATTTCACACTTGAATGGTTTGTTTCCAGAATGAATTTTCAAGTGCTGTTTAAAAGTACCATTCCTGATAAATTGTTTCGAACATATGTCACACTTGAACGGTTTTTCTCCTGCATGCATTTTTAAGTGTGCTCTCAAACAGAAGTTATAGCGAAAATCTTTCGGACATATTTCACATTTAAATGGTTTTTCTCCAGTATGAATTTTTGAGTGCTGTTTCAAATGACTGCGTTGGTTAAACTGTTTCAAACATATTTCACACCGGAACGGTTTTTCTCCGGTGTGAATTCTTAAGTGCGTTTTCAAAATATAGCAATAAATAAACTGTTTCAAACAGATGTCACACTTGAATGGTTTTTCTTTAGTGTGAATTTTTAAATGTGCTCTCATATTGGATTTATCATTAAACGATTTCGAACATATTTCACACTTAAACAGTTTGTTTCCAGAATGAATTCTTAAGTGCATTTTCAAACCGCGTTTCTGGCAGAACTGCTTTGGGCATACTTCACACATAAATGGTTTTTCTTCGGAGCGAATATTTAAGTGCATTTTTAAATTGCGTTTATGGTTAAAATCCTTCGAAAATACTTTAGACTTTAAAGGCATTTCTCTAGTGTGCATTTTCAGATTATTTGAATTTCTATTGGTTAGAAACGTTTTAGAACCAACTTCACATCGGAACAGTTTTTCTTTAGGATATAATGTAATATTAGCTATAGGTTGGTGTCTGAACATAAAATGAAAACAATTTTTACACCTGCAATGATCGGTTTTTCCAAATTTTCGCTTAAAATTTTTTGTCATATTCTTAACATAATGAATAACAACAAAATGAGACAGAAACTGGGACTTGTTAAGGAAAAATTGTCCGCAAAAGAAACAAGTTTCATAACATCTTCCAAATTGATCGTTGAAGAGTTTTTTTCTAGAAGGCTTGAAAGCTAAAACGAAAAGTATATAAATTTTGATACCATTATACATTAGCGTTTGATTAACATATTTTTATTCAAAATAGTAGCTCTTAAACTTAGGTGGAAAATTGAAATGCTTAATGCAATTTAAGTCTTAAAAGACCTAAAAATTACATTTATACAGAATAATTTTGAATTGTCCTACATTCGCCACGTGCCGTTTTGCTACGGGAATAAAGTTTCGTCACTCATAATTTACATATTTTCTAACAAGTGCTGCTGTTTTGCCATGAATGATATTTGCTCACCCGCCTAAATTGCAAAATGGCCTTTTACCTTTGACAATGTAAGTAAAAAAGGAAGAACATTATTTCACATTTACATTTATTTAAATGACATTTATACAAATAATAAATATAATTTAATTTGAAAATATATTTAGGCTTATTTATTCACTCAGACATATCAATTTCATTATTTACAAGTTTTTCTAAAGTGCTTTTAATGATAAAATCAATAAAATATTATGTTTCGATCACTCTTTTAAAGTTACATTAACTAGAATTTTTTGATCCCAACACAAAATACATAAGGAGCCCCCTTTTCAGTTACAAATCACAAATACTGAATAAAAATAAAACAACGAGCTCTATTTTTTATTTATTATGACAGAGAACAACTGAAGATTGTCTGATTAAAAATAAGCGGATTAAGGAACCTTGCTTGAATAAAATATTACTCGTTTTCGAAAAACAGGGTGTTAAAGTTGAAACTTAAAAAGTATTAATGTCTATAATTTTTTTATTTCTCAGTAAAATTTTATTAAATTCGGTAAACATTTTTGGTGTCATAAGATACACCTATTATAAGCAAAAAAATCAAATAAACTTTACCAATGGCGTTTGGCATGGGTAAGTAACACCTTTATCCCTTCTAAATTTTACGCCATGTCCAAAAACATATTTGGACTCTAAATTTAAATTTTTTGGTAGTTTTTAAATAAATTATGTACACGAGATAGTCGTTCTCAAAAGTGGATATTCTTTATTTTTCAAAATTTTGTTATTTTTTATTGTTTATTTGAATAACATCAAAAAATTTAAATTATAGTAAAAAGGTTTTGGAAAGTGTCGTGAAATTTAGAAGGACAAAGGTGTTACTTTCCCAGGTCATACGCCACTGACAAGGTTTATTTAACTAATTTTTTTGCTGATGACATTAAAACTTTGT